TTACACACAACACAATGAAGTTATTTTTTCCTTAGTCTTCATAAAGCACTCAACTCTCACATATTCTCTCTTTTTGAGACTTTGTTCATATACACAGCTTCTGCTTCATACTATTTCAAACAAGCCAGTTGCAAGAAGGAAGTTCTAACTCCAAAGTAGGAAAAAACAGAAACCTGAGAAGAAGTATTAGAAAAACTCATTAGACACAGAAGAAAGTGATTTTTGCTACCTGTCATTGCCTGCCTGAATAAGATGCTATCAAATTACCCTAGAACTTAAATAACTAATTTTCTTCAGTTTTGAAAGTAAGCAAATAATAGAACCAACACAGTTTTTGCCGGAATAATGAAATCATTGTTATCGCTCATCCAGAAGAGCCTCAAAGTGCCTTAAAAAAAATCCCCAACCAAATTAAGCCCCCTCCCCACACAATATTTTATACATGAAGGCTGACAACCAAAAGGCAGTTACTTGTGTCAGCTGCTTAACAGCTCAGCATTCACTGCAGTCTTGCCATGTACACACCCATGCACTAAACAGAAAAAAATGTGGGCAAAATGAGTCAATCCAAACCAGAAGCTCAGCAGACCCCCTTGTTTTCTCTGAAGTGATACTTCATTCAGAAAAAGAGCACACTAAATTTAGCTATGACACTGATGTCTGCAGGATAACAGTACAGACTAGCAATTATGTTTGATAAGAACAGAAGGAAAACCAAATGGGAGACAACTTGCACTCCTTAGGACTGGGCTGTATCAATGCAGCCAAAAAAAAATAAATCCAATAACTATTCTTGCAAACAGCAAAATCTATGGGAAATAACAATCAAAAAAAATCCCCTCAAAGAAACTAAATCCGCACCTATTCACACAATATGCTTATTTTGATCCCTTTTTCCCAGGTCACAACAGCTGAGGCTGTTTTAGGGAGTCGAGAGATCTGCCTGGATAGTCTAGAGATTTCTCTTTGCAAGTCTGCTTAAGAAACAGCTGTGACTCAAAGCTGTACCTTAAGAGGAAGCTGACTATTACATTCCTCATCACCCACAACTCTAGAAGATTGAAGACATTTTTCAAGAGACTATTCTCGCTAAGCTACATGAAAATCTATTTGAAATAAAAAAAAATTAAAAATCCATGGAGTCTTGAGTACAACTTCCTGTAAAGGCCAATCCTCTAGCTATCAGTCGTAAAGAAATGTGCAAACAGTTGTGTGGTTTCAGGAAGAGAGAAGAGTTTCGTACCCCAGGAATGCAGTTTTCTTACAGAAAGAAAAAACACAGTTATTTTGGCCTTTTTTTTCTGATAATGAAGACAACAAATTCCTGATTCTGACAAATCCAAGCTTGGGCACTGCTCAAATTCTCTTGTAATAAACCAACTTGGATTCATTTAACGTTTCTTTATTAAGAATAATAATGTGTTGAAAAGGTCTTTTCCCTGCACCACATCAAGCATTCTGTTTCACAAATCTGAACTGGAATCAGGTTCCTTTGGAAATTATATTGGTATCCAAAGCTCAGAGCTATATTTTTATTAGGGAAATAGGTACTTTCCAATCTTGTCAAGTGACAGGGTGACACAACTATCAAGTAGGACAATTAAGAGGGAACACCTCTTCAGTTACTGTTTCTACTCCCAGAGGTTGCTAAGAATGTAGAAAAAGTATCAAATTGTGGTAAAAGGCATTAAAACTAACAACACACACACACTACAAAACAGAAGGCAGGTTTTGATATTATGGTCAGGAAGTTCTTTGGAAAGAATACTGAACCCAAAGCCTAGTTCAATTGAATTCAAACCCCAGTTAAGTTTCAATTTTCAGATTTCTTCCATGAAGAGTAAGAAGTAACAATGAATTAGTTCCAACCATTTCCACTTATTCTGCCCTTTGAAAGGAAAACTAGCAAGCACAGGACTTTATGCATAAATGCAAGCTTGATGAACAGTAAGTCAAAAGAAAAATTCACTTCCTGTTCATAGCACGTGTGGATTCCAGTACTGGCACACATTCAGGAACATTCAGGACACTGATGTAGAACAAATTGAGTCCCACAACTGATCTAAAACATGAGAGGGCTAAATTGACATTTTAAAGAGAAAAACTCAATGAAAACTTTATGATTTATTTTCCTTTGCAATCTAAACTGATTTGTATGTCCTAGCATATATCCTATCTATTGCTTTAATCCTCTGACACACCTCTTGAACAGAGATCCACAGCTACAGCATTCCCATTTCACCAAAGTATTTTGGAACCTAAGTTTTTTGGTATTATTTCTCTGACAAACCCCAGTGGTACACAGATTTTTCCTTCAAATCTTTATTTAATCTCAAGTAAGTATCTCAAAGTTTTCAGTGTACATCTCTCAATCCAATTCAGAACTTTTCAGGGTTTATTCCTTTAAGTAGTAATCTGACAGCAGATTGTTGGCATTAGCGCACACCTGCCTTTGCCCATTTTGACATAAGTTATTTCCTTCATCACATCTTGGTTCTCCTTTTACCAACTGTAGATTTTAAATGTTCTTATTCAACAACAAATTTGCTCATTCTTACTTTAAAATACAGAAATGTGTGTTGCTAATGCTTTCAAAATTGTTATACCGAACTGAATTACTGAGAATGAAAGAATATTGCATCATAAAAACTCTTCCTTTTTTCCTAGTCATAGCCTAAATGAACCAGCTTTTCTGCAGTTGGTTCTCTGAAATAGGATATTTCTCCCTGGTGCAGATAAACAAATCAAATGGAATTTTCCAGAATGACCAAACACCAGGAGCATTTGTGTTTAGCTTCCATTATTAACAGAACACCCCCTCCAACAAGTAATCATTTAAATAAAAAATAAACATTAATCAAATGTTTTAAAAATAGGGCGGACTACTCCGTGCATAAGGAATTGGCTGGATGGATGCAGCCAGGCAGTTGTGGTCAATGGCTCTATGTCCAGGTCAAGGCCTGTGACAAGTGGTGTCCCCCAGGATTCTGCCTTGGGCCCAGTGCTCTTTAGTATCTTTATCAATGACATAAAGAGTGAGATCAAGTGCTCCCTCGGCACAGTTGCGGGTGACACGAAGCTGAGCAGTGCAGTTGACACAAAAGAAGGACGGGGAGCCTGGACAAGCTTGAGAAGTGGGCCCATGAGAACCTCATGATGTTCAAGAAGTCCAAGTGTGAGGTGCTGCAGAGAAGGACATGAATGAAAAGCTGGTCATGACTCAATGTGCTCTGCAATGGCTGCACAGAAGGCCAGCTCCATCCTGGGATGCATCAAAAACAGCTAGGCCAGCAAGGAGGGAGAAGATTTTGCCCCCCTCCTCTGCCTTTGTGAGATCCTACATCCAGCTCTGGGGTCCTCAGCACTAGAAAGGCGTGGACCTGTTAGAGCAGGTCTGGAGGGAAGCCACGAACATAATCACATGGCTGGAGAATCTCTTCTATGCAAATATGCTGAGATAGCCAGGTTTCTTCATCCTGGAGAAAAGAAGGCTCCAGGGAGACCTCACTGGGGCCTTTCAGTACTTAAAGAGGGCGTATATAAAAGAAGAAAAGCAACTATTTACACAGGCAGACAATGATAGGACAAGGGTGGACGATTTTTAAACCGGAAGAGGAAAGATTCACATCAGATGTCGGGAATAAATTCTTTACTCAGAGGGTGGTGAGGCACTGAACAGGTTGCCCAGCAAAGCTGTGGATATCCCATACCTGGAAGTGTTCCAGTGAAGCAGATATTTCAAAGTTTACTTTACTTTTGTTCCAGAGCTGCAGCAGAGCCCTAGGGGCCAAAAGGCAGCTTGTTTCCTCTTTAATCAACTGATGTGGCTGCGAGAAGTGAGAGAGAAGACTTCTTCTTACAAACAGTCTCACGTACCTAATAGGACTTTCAAAAGATTCGAGAAAGGTATCCTGTGTATTCCAAGTGATTTGGGAAACAAGAAAAAAAGATATACACAAACCAACCCATCCCAACAGGGTCAGAGTGAAGTGGGTTAAATGCAAATTCAGTTTAAATTAAATTAAGAAGTCTCAGTGACTTCAGTATGATTCCATCCCTCCTCCCCCTCCACATACACACACTCCCCCCTCAGTAAAGCCAATTAAGTAGGAACCAAGCCTTTCTTCCTACCACATCAGTAAGGCAATGGTGCTATTAGTTCCAGCAAAGCTCCCAAATACTCTCCTCACAGACTGTACTGGCCAACAAACAATTAGATCACTCCTGAATTAAAGAAATACCCAGAAGCTACTTTGCATAAGCACTATTTTCTTTCAAAGCACAATGGAAAGTGGCACATTCTGTATTTACAAGAGCTGTAATCTACTTTTGAGAACACACGCAGGATCACTCTCGAGGAGAAAAGGCAATGCAGAAAGAACCGTGTCTTGCAGAACACACCATCTAAGGAGTCTTTCTGCTGTGCCTTTTGCAATCGGATATGTCTGTCTCGTATTGGCCTCATAAGCCACCAGCGTGCCTGTAACAAATGTGGATAGAGCCTTCCCAAACCTTCGTTCGCGAAGCCCAGCCATGATGAATCTACTTTAAACATGGGTTTATTTTAAAGATCTTCAGCTCTCACCTGTGGGCTATTTCAAAACCCAGTGAATCAGCAAATAGCTACTGTTTATTGGAAAGTTTCCTTCTTTAGGACACCTTTATCATCACTCAGTAGAGTTTGCTGAAATTGTGAAAAAACTGCACCATCAGTCTTTGCTATAGGCAACTGTCCACAGGTGTACAGAATCAAGAATGTGAAGTATTCAGGATGCAAATTTAAATTTTGATATACAGACCTCTAATAAATCAAATATTCTGCAGACTACAGAAAATTTAGATAGCAGCCATATAACAGAGAGCTTCTTGCAAGTATTTACAATATGCTTAGCATCATGTCATGATCTTAGGTGTGGTTTTTTCCTTTGTCCTCTTCCAGATACTCATGGCTTTTAAAGCAGCTCAACCAGGTGTTTAAAGGAAATCAGACACTACACAGGTTAAACAACATGGTTCTATTAAAAACTATCTTTAACCATGGCACTCAGTGACAGCAATACAATACTTTTTTTCCACAAAGCAACTAATATAAAAATATGCCATAAAATCATCTGTAGACTAGTATGCTAGTATACATACATATAATCATAACATTCTTTTATAAACTCTTTCCTGAGATACCTTGGGTGGTTTGATTTTCTCATATTACTGGATGCATCATCTTTATAATTCATCTAAAACAATTGTAAAATATTTTCTATGTGCAGGACACTCAGTAACATGTAAAAAGTAGTACGTAAATATATGGCAAAGAAACAGCTCTTAGAAATTATGCGCTTTTTTACTCTGATATATTTTTTAACATTTGGCTCCTTGGGAGACGGAAGGGAGGAGCATGAAAAACCTGAAATTAGAGCTATGAATTGACAAAAAGCAGGAAAGCATTCAGGAATGTTAGGAGTTGGAATATAATATAAATGACACAAAGAGAAAGCCATAATTCACATTGGCTATGTATTGTCTTATAAAGCAACTGGACATATCTTAATTCACAGTATAATAAATATTTTTACTAATCTGTTTTGGAAGAGCAAATGTCTTTTAGGGTTTCAAGCTCCTGTATAAGTTTCTTGTTCTGAACTTCTAGCACTGCAACACGACTCTCCAGACATTTTATGTATTCTTTCTTCCGACGTCGACATTCTTTAGCAGCTTCCCTGCAAAAAGCAGAAGTAAAAAGTGCAAACAAAAAAGCCATTTGCATGCCATTAGAAAGCTCAGCAGAGTATGGAGACTATGACAGAATTCCAAATTTTGGAATATCTCCCAAATCAGTCTGACAACACTAAGCAAAACTGGGTTCCACAAGGGCCTCAAGTGTCTCTTTCTCAAGTTCATATGGCAATCTGTAGAATTGCTTCCTCTCATGCCTTGATTAAAGTTCATAATAAACGAGGTCCAAATGAAAGACAGTTATTCTGCTTTATGACAATAAAGATCTTTGAGGGCCTTGAGTTCCTCAATGAGAGTCTTGTTTTGGTTTTCAAGCACAGCCACACGATTTTCAAGACATTTGACATATTCTTTCTTCTTTCTGCGACATTCTCTGGCAGCTTCCCTGGAACCAATACAAGGCAAATGACTACAGGAACAGCCACAATATGGCAAAGACTGGATAAATGCAATTACCTGCAATCCCTGTGGTTCCACAATAACAACAATAACAACAACCAACTGCTGGATTGCACAAACAGAACATAAGGTAACAGCCAAAAGCAATAACATAGTTAAAATACAATTCAAAACAACTAGAACCTGAAACTAATTCAGCATCACCAAATCTGCAGATGGAACTAATACACAGAAGAACTGAGAAAAATAGTGAGTAAATGATAATGTATTGATTTGAATTGTACTAAACATTAGGATGGAAAGCAGCATTTCTTCTTCCAGTCACATTCCATTTTGTGTGTTTATCGGGAGCATTGTCTTCTGCCATCAAAATCTTAAAACCAAACCCAAAGAATTTACTTTCAGAAAACACAAGCATAACACTACTCTCTTCAGATAAAAAGCTAGATGCCAAGCTTACTAAGTGCTCTAAGTTTTTACCTTAAGGTAAGAACGTACAGTAAAATTTTAGCCTTAACAAATACAATCAATTAGCATTTTAGAACTGGCCATCTGAGCACATTCACATGAGTCTGTATTTTTTGTTAGTGGCATATGATAGCCTGAAGCCATTCTCATAGTTCTGCTCAGAAGTCTGTTATATTGAAGCTAAACACTTTAAATAGTGTTTTCAGAGCATGTGACTAAACAAGCATTCAATTCCAGAAGAAATATCAGAAGTACTGGCAGTCCACTCCTTTACCACCTTGGAACATAATAAACTGTCAAACCATGAGAGTAATGTTTCAGCAAGTTATGAGCTATAGCATAGGCACTAGTTTTAAAACTGAAGAGAGGAGAAACAAAAGGAAGCGCAGCAATGCAGTGATTCTCATGAGTAATTTAAAATAAAGGACAGGCATGAGAGCAAAGCAATACCATTCATTCAATCATAAGGCAAGTGGTTAGTCAGTGTATTAGAGATCTGCACAGCAGAATATTTCTTCTACTAATCTGCCAATGATAGAGATGGCTACACATTTAAAAAAAGACAGACTCCCTTAAGAATAGAAAGAAGAATGCACAGAGAAAGACTGATATTTACAACATTCAGTCAAGTCCATGCCAACTAATTAAAAAATATACAGCCACCTCACACAATATGCCTCACAAAATGACAGGGACACTGCAAAGTAACTTATCCCAGTAGTCAAGTATTTAGGAAAGTCTATAATTATCATTCCATCCTAGAATAAGTCCTCTTCATAGCATCATTAATGGACAGCTGCTAATGAGGTCCTCAGATATTTTCCTAACCAATTCTTTGCTGGGATGTTTCAAAATGAAAAAGCCCATCCTGTTCACTTTACTGTCAGAAGTAGGGAGGAGGGGAATTAAAATTCAACAAAAAGCATAACTCCGGATCATCACAAAAATATCTGATACTTATTTCTGCATTACCATACTATTTTCAAACTAAAAATCCATGGGGATACAGTCAACTCTAGCTTTCCAGAGTCAACAGCCAGTAGTCTATGCTGTAAGGACGTGGGATGACTGAAAGAATTTTCTGCCTTCCCTTCATCAATTACAAGCAGTGCTCATGACCTTAAGAAGAAAATTTCATTAGAACGTTTTGGGGTTTTTTTTGAACCTGATTATGAATTGCTGTATAGTCTTACCTATTTTTCAAAAGTCTCAGCTCTCTCTTGCGTGTTGCCTCTTCTGCCATTTGCTGAGGACTATGCAAAGTCCCTGGTGAGGCTGCCATGACCACTCCCTGAGGTAAGGTGGTAGTGGGAGTTCGAATCTGGTAAGCTGGCATGTCTCCAGTGGCAGCTGTATAAAAGAAACATATTTTAAACTTTATGGCAAAAAATAACTATGCATATGTTCTCTCTGAAAATAACAGATTTCTGTCAATGAGTTATCTGGGATCCCTAATCCATAGAATATTTCACAGGTCTGTAATGTCACAAATATATTTTTTACCTTAATAATGCTTATTTCCACATGTAAAATATTTAAATTGCTCTAGCATTGTGTCCCCACTAGCCAGCCAGACTGAAGCCTGTGAAAACTTCCACATGGCTCTCTTCAGACAACACGGAGAAAGCTGTTTGAGAAACAGTTTAAGCATCCACACTTATTTCCTGTTTGCACAATCCCACAAAAAGATGGCCCTGCTGTTGCAGCCACTGAGGTTTATATGCTACCCTGTTCTCTAACAGATTTCAGGAGTCAACCTGCTTCAGTAGGCAACTTTCTCCTCCTTCCTTGTGATAGTCACAGTACCAGCCTTACATTCCCTCCTTCTCTTACAACAGCAGTTTGGCAACCCTTGGAAAATCAGTGAGAGCTGCTGTTGCTAAAATGAACAGGAACAGACAGGAGCTCATGAGGACAGGAGCGTGATGACCACCGATAGGAGGCTGTGGCATTAGCAAGAGGAGGTGGCAGTGGTTGCACAGGAAGGAGTGTAGCTGTACAGTAAGTCAGAGGGCAAAAGTTCAGATTCATCTCCTGAGCCTACCAGTTTTGAGCTCTCCCCAAGCTAAATGCTGATCTGACATGTTACTTGAAACTGATACCTTTCTGATAGCCTCACTTCATTTCTGTATTTCTGATGTACTTTGTTGCTACTTGATGTACCTCAACTTTAAAACACTGTGAAAGTCCTAAGCACTTGTGACTTGTCTGATGTAGAAAAAAAGAATCAAACAAAAAATGTATCCCTCTTCAAATTCTAAGCAAGTACTTATCTGTTCCTCTTTATAAATATTTTATATTATTACAGAAAAGAACTTCAAATTTTCTCATTAAAACAGCGGAACATAAAAGATGACATTTCAAAGGCTATTATGTTGCACTTAATTCATACTTTAATTCTTCAAAGCAATATTCAAATAATGGAAAAACTTGTGTGTCATGGTTTAACCCCAGCCTGCAACTAAGCACCACACAACCACTCATTCACCCCACCCACCACCCCCCCCTCTGATGGCATGGGGTAACAAAACTCATAGTTGAGATGGGAACAATTTAATAATGGAAATAAAATAATAAATGTAAAGAAAGGAGAATAACTAAAAGAAAGAGAAATAAAACCCAAGAAAAACAAGTGATGCAAATGAAAAGCAATTGCTCACCACCCACCGATGCCCTGACTGTTGCCAAGCAGCAGTCCCTGGCCAGCTTTTCCTACAGTTTATGTGCTGAGCATGATGCCTTATGGTATGGAATATCCCTTTGGCTAGTTGGGGTCACCTGTCCTGGCTGTGATCTCTCCCAGCTTCTTGTGCACCCCCAGCCTACTCACCGGCAAAGCATGGGAAGCTGGAAAGTCTTTAACTTAGTGCAAGCACTACTCAGCAACAACTAAAACATCGGTGTGCTCTCAACATCATTCTCATCCTAAATACAAAACACAGCATAGTACCAGCTACCAGGAAGAAAATTAACTCTATCCCAGCTGAAACTAGGACAACTTGGAAAAATAAAATGTAGACACAAATATTTTGGGGAAGCTGACAGCTACAGAAATAAAGAAACATCAACTACAGGGGGAAAAACTAAACTTAATAAAAAGATACTATTATTCTTATTATATTAGTGCAGGTGCTTCGCTAATTAAATAAAAAAAACAGGATGAAGTTGTGTTTAGGCTACAATTCCACAGCCATGTCCTGAAATCATTATCAGCTTAAACCCCTTGCACCTCCCCCAGCTCTCCATCCTTCGGGTAAAAGTGTTTGTGGAACTACAAGATGAACTGGACCAGTGAACTGACCTGGATAATCCCCTGGGGATGGAGGGACGGAGGGAGGGAGGGAGAAATCAGCTCAGAACAGCCCTGTGAGCGCTGACAGGCAGCCGCCATGAACACAGGGCTTGGTTGTCTTGTACATCTACAGGGGAATTACTGAAGCCTTTCTTTAAGTTCTCCACAGTCACGTCAATGGAACGATACTTCAGCTCACTATTTATAAAAATGGAATGTTAGCAACTCTTCTGGCTCACCTTTATGCTGGCCACATTACATACATTTTATAGACTCTATGTTAAGAACTACCTTTTTTCTACCTCATCACTAGGCATAAAAGAGATGTTGTCTTAGTTTGCATTAGCTATAATGAATTAGAAATCCAAGCAAGCCATTTTGTCGACCAAGTCATGGGGAAAGCCCCATAACCCAGGTCACCTCAGCCTGGCAAGACCAACTCCTTTGTTGTCTTTGTTTGATTTGCACTCAGATGGCAGTGAACAGGGCTTACTGCTGCTGTTGTGAAGAGGACTCAGTGTGATCATGTACGTGCAGCAAGGCTTAGCAGAAGTGATTCCATATCTCAGCCGGGATCAGCAAACACCACTGTAAGTAACAACAGGTCCCGGTAGTGGCTGTCCCTGCTTAACAGTTGTCTCACTTATAAACCTGCCAGCATGATAACACAGATAAACAGCCATTCTGGTGGTACAGACCTTGCAAACCCAGACACCACTGTCTTTTAAAAAAAGAAAAAAAGCATAGCATTGACAGAATATCTTTTAGCTGAGCAGTAATATGTGCTTTATTATACATCACTGCAAATCAGTACTTTCAAAGACCGCAAAGTGGTTTGTATAGTATCTCAAAAAGTTAGTGCCACTGCGTTCCCCAGAAAAATACCTTGGGAAAGGTGACATGGGCTTCAAGGAGGGGGAATAAACTATTTTACCAAGGGTATTTTAAATCTACTAATGTGTCTATATGACAGAGAAGCACACATTTTGGCATCTGAGACAAATATCCCACACTTAATCCAGACTGACAAACCTCTGCGGCCATTTCTAATAAACTTCACAAAGGTTTAAAGTAATTCCTAAGGCACTAGAGGTAGGACCAAGGTTATTAACAAAGCAACAAACCTTCAGCTGGCACAGTTCCCTAACACACTGCCCCAGGTCAAGTTTGCTGGTTTTTTTTTTCAGCTCCTTAATACTGCAAGGGAGTAAAAAGTCACTGAAAACCTGAAGCTTTCAGTTGAGACTTACAAAAAGAAAAATTATTAACAGGAAGAGAAACAGACAAAAAACAACTACTAAAAAAAACCAGACCACATCCAGAAGAGTACAACAAACTTCGTAAATTAAGCTCTGACAATTAAAAAAAAATTTAAAAAGCAATACCTTCTTGGAAAAAGTAGCTTGCTGAACATTAGAGAGCATCCCCACACTTGCGTGGGGAAAGAACTCGAACTCGAGTTCTTTCAGTGACTATCCAGGAGAAAAAAAGCCTGATGTATTTTTATGTCTGTTCTCCCCTTCTGTGAGTCATAATGGTGGGACTTGATTATCAAAGGGGTTTTAACTTCACCACTAAACTGGCTACACCGGGCATGAATCATTACCCCTTTGAGCATTAGAAACACCGACTCGGAGAAGATACTCATCTTCGGGTTAATCAAACAATGTGCGCCAGCCCGAGCAGCAGCACGTAGGAGCCTGTGCCGGCTGCGAAGGGGTTAAAGCTGCCGAGCAGCCGGAGGCAATTGACGAAGCAGAAAGGAACTGACTAAATCGCAGCATGACTTGGAGCTGACGTCAATGTGTATCTTGTTTGGAGTTTAACTTTTCCAGCTCCCTACTGCAACACGATTCCAGGAAATCTAATGACGTCAGCCTTTTGAACTCAATTAGCTGAGGAACAGACCATTTTAACAGTGGAGGAGAAAACAAGCAGGCGTTACAACACTTAGAATTATTGCTCTCAAATTTATTTACATTCAGTATTTTTTTAATGATGAGAGCACAGGGTTTATTTACACTGCTGAAACAATGCACACCTTTTCTTTACAGCTAGGCTTAAGCCCACGGCTATCAAATCTGTAGTGTTTATTGCTAAACAGAAAAAAAAAAGCAGCGTCATTTTTACAAAACAAGAAGCAACTATAAATATAGTAGCATATATGACTATCTTCACAATAAAGAAAAATGCAAAAGACGACTGGTGGCTTTTTTTCAGCAAAATTCTGCCTCAAGTAGTAAAGACTATTTATCTGAACTAATCTCTTCAAGAACTCATGCACTAACAATGATTTTTTGGTTTCTTTTTTTTTCCAATTGAAACTATTAAAATTGCCCTGAAGTCCTACACTAACTAGATAGAAGCTATTTATATGAGTTTTGAGAGATGAAAGAGTTACAGCAACAGGTTCAAAAGAAAATGTCACAAATAGTAACTACATCTGCTTAGACATAGAAAAATACAATGTAAAAGGTGAACAAAATTTTTACCTGTTTCATCTCCTGTTACAGCCATGATCAGCTCCTGCACACACAATTCTCCTGCTCCTCTACCAGAGCCCAGCATGAACTGTTCCAAACTAGCAAGCATGTGCAGGATTACAAGCAAGAGCACTGACATCACAGTGACCTCACTTGCTTACCACTGTCATTAATATGCTCTCTCACTGGAACAGCTCACTGAAACTGCAGCCCAAAGAATTCCTTTTCCAGTAAACTTGTTTTGGTTTTTTTCCTCTTCCATATTTTTATAATCCTAGCTTTGTTCTTTTTCCCTGAATTATTCATAAAGCTACAGAAAGCACTCACCACAACACTGGCTGTAAAGTACAGCCTGAAAATTCACAGCACTGTCTGACAGAAATTAAAATGTGGCTCTAGCACTCATGAATGAATTGAAATGATAAAGCTATGACTGGATAGAAAATAAGGAAATTTTAAACAGACATGCAACTGTTTTGATTGGAGCAGTTCCACTAAAAGGCAGAGAACTCTGTTGGTCAGACATGCGAGACAGGAAAGCTAATAAGCTATAACAAATAGGTAAATGAAAGGCTAGAGCTCCTTTCTTTGTGAGGCTACCAATAACCCACTCATTTAATTTCAGTTAAAAGCTTCAGAAAAGATTAAACAATGCTCCAACAAAGTAAGTCAACCTAATGCTAGCGATTTCAGGCAGAACAATAACTCTGGGTAAGGGCTATCTATTCCCCCTTCCCTGCCTTTTCAAAATATGTCCAAGAGATCTGGTTGACTTAATTTTAAAAAATAAATAAAAAAAAAAAATCAGCTCTTACAGAGTTCCTCCTTACTTATATCAATTTAAATAAGTTTCAGACCAACTGGTCTGCATGTAGGGCGTGGCAAATTTCTAAGGTCCTTGTCTGTAATAAATAAATTCAGACTGGTAATTCATCAACTATGAAACTAAGCTGGATGGCAACAGTGGAAGTATCAATGTGAAAAAGGAACATTCTGTGATTACAGGACCGCTTCAGGATCATATGAACAGAAGATCAGAACTGAAGCACACAAGAAATTCAAGCCACAGATCTCAAATATCACTGACCATTTAATGAAAATACACATAGATCCCAACAGAATGATTTTTTATACAACTTTTCTATGCTCATTTTTCACTAATAATCAAACATTTTCTTCTTCTTCAGCTAGCAAAAAAACCCTTAACCTGTATTAAGAAACTGTCCAGACATTAGATCTGCCTCTTATTTTGCCTACAAATGTAAACTTGTAGCAAAAGCACTGTTACTCAGTTGGATCAACACCTTTGGCACTTTTCTCCTAATATTTTTTCCCACCACAGGTTATCAGAAATATCAAGCACAGGGTTTACGTAATCCATTATTACATGAGATTCATCAACAAATACTTTAGAAAAAAATATCAATACATATGTTATCTGAAAGATTCTGAAACAGATCTTTCTGCCCTGAGACTGATATTTGTTATATTTTTTATTCCTTTACTTCTATGATTATTACCAAAAAAATTATGTGCTACCTATCCATAATAATTATAAATTATTACCATATATATAAGTGGGAAAATACTAAGCAGAATGTTTTTTCCTATTATAATCTGTGCTATCACAATATAAGGTGACCATTCAACTACAAAGTGTACATAAATGACAAATATTCATAACTATAGTCTTACAGACTTTTTAGCATAGGTAAGATGACCTGTACTAAGGACATTTCAGACACCTGTATATTCACCTAATTCCATTGTCTCACCCCATCCTGAATAACCCAGGTTTGTTGACTGCATACAGCTGCATCACTGTTAACATCCTCAGGTGCTTTCACACTCTTTTTATATACCCTTTTTTAACTAAAGATTTATTATTTTTAACATTTTCCAATATCAATAGCATGTATAGTAACTTCAAGTCTTTTATCTTCTCGTCATATTCAAGGTCATGCTCACGTATTGTTTGGTTTGTACTTTTCGCTGTATATATATGTAGCGCTTTTCTTCTGTGTCAACACGAGCCTCACTAAAGCACTGGACTTTGAGCCAAAGGAACAGAGAATTCCAGGAAGTCAACTTCTCTGACCATGGACAGAGAACAAATCAATGTCATTAAAGGTATCTAGAAGCTTCCAGAAACATGATATGGCAGGTATTCAGTAACTGTCTCTCAATCCATTTTGAAGGTTTCTATCCCAGGCAAGACACTTCATGAGCTATTCCAGCTCGTCAAGCCCATCACTGAGACTGAGTAGCCCCATCAAAGGACTACTATGTAACCAAGAGTCTGTAAAGGAAGGTTGGTCAAATGAAATTCCCAAGGACTGAAATGCTGCCAGATAGAATCCTTAAATTGTGTCTCTTCACAGACTTGGAAAGTTTTTGGAAATAGGTGAGGAGTTACTCTCTCTGCCCTGACCCCAAAGCTCTGAAGAATCAAAGCAATACCTATAAAACACTGGAGAAGATGGAGAAGCCTCTGATTTAAGGGATGTGTAGGCACATGCATAGAAGATACTCAGAAAACGTACTATCAGTGAGAAATTTGGTTGCGGGACAGCCAAATTTGGGTCTTAAGGCTTTGCTAAGAATGTATTCATAATAACATTTAGGGATGTTATAACAGTACTCTCTGCACAATAAAAACTAACATTTGGCTAAGGGTTTTTCACATTATAGTCTTAAAACTTTCCTGAAATGCTTCTGAGAAGTCTTGGGACAACGATGTATTACAGCAAAGAATTAACCAGAGGCAATGGAAGAACTCAAATTTCATACTGCTATTTCGCATTGTCTCAACAAATTCAGATATTTACAAGCTATTATTGTTATTAACACTCTTGGCTACCTTTACAGCAAAGGAAGAGAAATAGCCACCTAAAGACAGAACTTATTTCAAACATCTACAGCAGGTAAAATAAAGCACCTCAACCTGGACTTCACCAACTACCTCAGATATCCATGCCTACACTTATTTGATGACTTTCATCCACTCCATGAATACATATTTAACACCTTTCTAGCTCTTCTCACAGTTTATTTCAGATAGCTGTTTTGGCTTATAAGCACCTTCAACAGCTGGACTTCACCAACTACCTCAGATATCCATGCCTACACTTATTTGATGACTTTCATCCACTCCATGAATACATATTTAACACCTTTCTAGCTCTTCTCACAGTTTATTTCAGATAGCTGTTTTGGCTTATAAGAGCATTCATACAGCCCTCCCTTCCTACTTCTGTGTGTCAATAAAATAAAAATTTTTTAAAATCCCCTATATCCTCCATAGCTACTAATTTAGTGACTCCACAGAGAAATCTCTTCTCCATTTTCAAAGGTTTTCATCAGCATTACCCAATTTCCCTGATAATGATAAGAATCCAAGACACCTTTGGTTCTCCTGTTCCCTCAGCATTACCAAAAGGCTGAGAATAGTGGAAGGAAAAACATCATGCACAAAATACAGTAAGTCTCAAGAATTCATTATTCACAGTTCAGTTCATGTGTGCATTTTATAGGATCTTCAAAGTGCTGTTCTGTGAGAAAACTAACTTCAGTTAAGGATCTGCACTCTAATAATGACAAGAGTCATAAGTTGCAAGAAAATTCTGCACTAAACATATCCAAAGAACTTCAGAATTTGTTTTTTAATAAGATTAACTGCTGAAAAAAATAATTTAGTTTAATATACTAAATGAGGTGCACCTTCAGCATCTCACTTCAATCTGTAACAGTAACTATATTCCAATTAAATATATGTCTCCAAAATCTGGACAAGAGAATTCAAAGAGAATTCTAAGCAGAAAGTGATTTTATATTGTTATTTCCTTCTTTTAATCAAAAGTAGTCGCTGCCTTGCTGAGCACAGAACCTGAGTCCCCTCCTAAGACTATCTTTCATCTCGCTATCCATAAGTATTGTATTTAATAGTGCAATAATGTCAACACAGTAAAAAACCTTTTAAGAAAAATTGTTTAATATGAAAAAAATTATAATGCATTGGACTAATAAAACATACCTTGAACAACAACTTGGCTTCCAGGAACAAAAAACTGTTGTGTGCCATCAGATGACTGTCCTGCATATTGCACAATGGTAGCACCCGGCTGAGGAGCTCCTGAATTTGTCACTGTCTGGATTGTACCACCTTGAGATATAGTAACTAAACAGAAAAGAAAAAGGTAAGTTAGGCAATAGGAAGAGATAACATATGCCAAAAAGCAAAATTCCCTTTTTCAAATAAACATTGTCTGATAGGACTCCTGGTCCTCTCCTTGCTTAAAGATCAAGTGTACAATAAAACTTAATGTTAATACTGATTTCCACAAATATAAAGCCTGCTTTGTAGTACATGCCATATGTATAACAGATAAAAAGCCATGTTCAACATATTTTATCTACTTCCAGAAATATGAACTCTCCTAGAATAGTGTTAATATAATTTTTAAAAATAGTAGCTCCTAGCCATATAGAATCATTGTTGTTCTAAACACAAATGTAAAAAGTTATTTTAAAAGCTATGTTTATTGCCTCCCACAAAACAAAACTCAGGACATCTAGGCAAAGAAAGAGAAAGTCTTCTGACACTCACAATCCTTTCCTTACTGCAAGACAAAGTTTAGCCTAACAATATTTATCCAAGTTGTACAAAGTTGTAAAGAGTCCAACATTTAGATAAGAAGAGAAATAGAACAAAGTGGGATTTTTCCATCCATGTAATCAGCAATATGAAAAATACAAATATACTTTCCTCATTAAAAGATCGTATTGTATTCCTTGCCATAATCAAATATTTAGAAAAAATGCAATTCCCTAGAGACATTATTAACTGTATATTCCTTTTGAAATTAGTATTGCCTTTCTTAAAGAGAGAAATATCATAGAATGGTTTGAGTCAGAAGGGACCTTCAAGATAGAATCACAGAATCATAGAATCGATTGGGTTGGAAAAGACCTCCGAGATCATCGAGTCCAACCCTTGGTCCAAATCCAGTCCATTTACTAGATCATGGCACTCAGTGCCACGTCCAATCTGCGTTTAAAAATCTCCAGGGATGGTGAATCCACCACCTCTCTGGGCAGCCCATTCCAATGCCTGATTACTCTCTCTGTAAAGAATTTTCTCCTGATATCCAACTTAAATTTCAGAGCCCCATTGCTGAGTGCCAGCCAACCCCCACCTGGCCTTGAACATGAGGTCTCTGACAGGCTAAACAACCCCAGCTCCCTCAGCCTGGACTTATGCTCCACCCTTCACCAGCCTGAACTGAGGGGCCCAGAACTGAACACAATACTCAAGGTATAGCATCACCAACGCAGAGTACAGGGGAAGGATCGCTTCCCTGGTCCTGCTGGCCACGCTATTTTTGATACAGGAGATCATCTGGTTCCAACTCCCCGGCCATGGGCAGGAGCACCTTCCACTAGACTGGGTTGCTCAGAGCCCCATCCCAGCTGGCCTTGAACACTGACAGGGGTGGGGCATCCACAGCTTCTCTGAGTAACCTGTTCCAGTGCCTCACCACCCCTACAGTGAAGATTTTATCCTAGTATCTAATCTAAATCTATCCTCTCTGTTTAAAACTGTTGCCCTCTCGTTGTATCACTACCTTCCCTGACAATGAGTCCCTCCCCATCTTTCTTGTAGGCCCTCTTTAAGTACTGGAAGGCCACTGCAAGGTCTCCTCCCTAGAGCCTTCTCTTCTCTAGGCTAAACAACTCTAGCTCTCAGGCTGCCTTTATATGGAAGGCCTCCAGCTCCTGATACCTCCATGGCCCTCCTCTGGATCTGCTCAAGCAGGACCACGTCTGTCTTGTGCTGGGTACCCCAGAGCTGGATGCAATACTCCAGGTGGGGTCTTACCAGAGGAGAGGGGCAGAATCACCTCTCTTGACCTGCTGGCCATGCTGCTTTTGATGCAGTCCAGGACAGGATTGGCTTTCTGGGCCACAAGCGCTCATGGCTGGCTCATACCCAGTTTTCCACAAGCACTCATGGCTGGCTCATACCCAGTTTTTCAGCCATCAGCACATCCAAGTCTTTTGTGGCAAAGCTGCTCTCAATCCACTCTTTGCCCAGCCTGTATCCACGTTTAAGATTGCCCCAACCCACATGCAGGACCCTGCACATGGCCTTGTTGGACTTCATGAGGTTTGCACGGGTCCACCTCTACTTTGTCAAAGTGTGACCATCCAGTGAATTCCTTATCCACCAAGTGGTCCACCAGCCAAATCCATGTCTCTTATGCTAATTAAAACAATCCTGAAACTTTCAGCTGAGAACCCAATTCCCAAGTAGTAACAAACTCCTTTCTCCCCTAAAAGATATTTAAACTACAAACATCATGATTGTATTTGTGATCTGAGATGCTACAAAAGTCAGATGTAAGTACAGATTAAAGTCAGATTCAGGCTTGCCAACTCCTCTGAATTCACTGTCAGATTCACAGTATTTGATTACATTCTTGAAGGTTGAGCTCTGCTTATCGGATTTATGTGAATTTTGGAGATGGCTGATTTCAAATATTCTGTTTTAACAAGAATTGAGTACCTTGGAAGTGCAACTTCAGATATAAACACTTCAAAGAGCATTGAGATTGCCAAATCCCAGCAGCTAAATTAGCTTCTTTAGGGCAAAAGATGGAATTCCTCTCATGCTGAATGAAGTTCAGAGCCTTATCTGTAATACTGGAATAGGGTTCAGCATGGACCTCCAGTCCTGCCTTTGGAATGGGGAACATGCAATGTAGGAGCATCCTAACATGTACTGCACACAGGCTCTTGTAAGGCACTAAGGAGTAGTGGAAGGAGGTGGCAGGGTGAAGAGAGCAAGATGTTGTTTTGGTCTGGCCTCTAAAGCAGAAAATGCCCCATTTGGGGGCAGGGTGAAAGAGAGAGAAGCAAGAGAAGTAAATTGTTGTATTCTCTGTTCTTCAAGAGGTCCAGGACAAGAGCAGCAGGATTTGTCAACTCTACCTTCCAGAGAAGTTATACAGAGCCAAATTCTGCCTCTCAAGAGTTAGCACTAAAAATGTATGTCAATACCATCACAGAACCATACCACATAAAACCCAGTCAGTTTGGCTTCCTGAGCAGTAAAACATCAGCACAGAGCGATTCAAAGCTGTTCGCTCCACAGTGATTCTGGTTAAACAATTATGTCACATCTGTACTGCAATTATTCATTCAGATCACAATCCAGGACTTCCTAAACAAGAGTGAATTAACTCTAGTAACTGCCTCCCCTACAGGACTGATCCCTGCCATATTCCCAGAACAAAACACTGCCCATCCCCCCATTCACTGTCCTGATCTCCACCTCTGCACACACTTGGTTGTGCTGGGGCTCTACTGAAAACTGGGCTTTCTCTCAAGACCACAAGACTTTCCTGGACAGTCCCTGGAGGTGGATGGGTATAAGTAGCATCTTCTAGTCAAGACTGAAGACAATGCTAATACCACTGTCTGATTACAATAAACTGCTCTAAACCAGAAAAAGAAAAATCAGATTTTTCCCTCCCTCCCAAAACAGGAACTAAAGTTGGTCTTTCCCAAAAGACTTCTTAATTCTCCAGTTGTTAAAATGCTGCCTTAAGACAGCAAGCAACCCAAACAGATGGCAAAAGAACTAATGATTTTCATTTCCCCTGCATCTCTTCAGGCAGATCATCATGATATGCACGAGTAGGCAGGGAGGTGGGGAGGTTGATTCACACACTTGCACATTAGACCATCACCATAGGTGAGGAAGAAACTATTTTTTTTTCAGTATGAAATAACCAACATGACAGAACTACAGCCAACGGAGTAGGTTCATAGTCAAACAAGGCTACAAGGCTCCTACACAAGGCAGTGCCTTGTGCAAAACCACTCATTCCTCTGACAGAAAGATAACACATATGTTGATAGAGGTAACTGGCAAAGACATTTTATCTGGTCATGCCTGTCAGTTTGTCTGCTTCCATAAGCCAAAGCCAAGAAGCTCTGAGGAAAAAGATATTTGGAAACCATGGCAACATACCATTTTGGCTGCTAAAAAGTGGAGAACAGCCATCGCTGTTGCTAATAGAAAAAAAATACATTTGTTTTCCAGAAAAATTTACTTATCAAGTTATTCCAAAAATAGTTATCCCAGACACCCAGACACCAACATACAGTCAAAATGATCTTTTCAACTAAACTGCCTTTCCTGAATACAGGAATAGAGAGAACAGTAGAGGAAAAAGAACCAGCAAATGCAATAACATATGACATCTCTTTTCAACCAGGGCACACCACAGATGGCCACAGTGACACTGCAAGACCAGTTCTTCATTGCCATGGACACTGTACAAGCTTAATGCATAAACTGCTGGGTGCCTGCACAGGACAGCCTGTGCAAACAATGCTGGCCAGGAAGAGAGGAGTGCTCAGGCATAATAATGATAGGCAGCAGTAAAGAGCTATTGACAGGAGATGTAAAGATAAAGTAGATATGTGTGGTGACCTGCATAATATCCAGTTTAAAAATCAACACACAAGTTGCTGCATTCCCACACAGTGTTCCTGGTTCTAGCTAACAGCAGTTCCTGAGAATCACAGGCAGCCAACAGGACAGCTCAGAAATGCTCCAGATCTGTGCTTTATACATGTAAGGACTAGAAGTCAACAGTTAAGCTCCTTGGTAAATTCCAAATTTGGACACGCTCTACTACAAGGAAATGACTATCCTTGCTACCACCTGGTACCAATTTTTTCTAAAGAGAATTAGAACACACAGACTTCACTGAAGCAAAAGATGGGTGATAGTTTAACTTACAAAGCTGAACTTAAAAAAAAAAAATCATCAAATAAATAAACAAATAAATTGGGTCAGAAAAACCACTTCCAGGAAGACAAAGCTCTCAAAATGAAGTTTTGGAGCCAGAAACAAGAGAGTCCATGAAGGCTGACATTGCATCCTGAAGCAATGCCTCATTATGATGAGAACCTTAAATATACAGCACATGTTTTAGGCTACAATGACAGCTCAGTCAAAGAAAAAGTAGCAAAAACCCAGAAATCTTCCAAGCTTAGCTTATAGGCAAGTTTAAATTAAGAGAAATGAAATTTAATGAAATCTTTGTGGATTCTGTTGTTCAAGCACATTGTTGGTATTGCTTCTTGTTGCTTAATTTTCACAAGTAAATGTCTGATTGAACAAGAAAGCAAAAACTCTGAATCTTGTTATTCACTTCCCTATCCCTATGGTTTATGGCTGTGTTCAAATGAAAATATTCCCTACTAAGAATCACCTGCTGCAAGACACTGCTAGTCAAAGTACAACTCTGGTTTCCTAGAGGAAACTATGATTAAGAAACCTAAACTCTAAAATTTCTTAGAATCCTAAAGGTTTTCAGGCTCCCTAGATCATAGTGATAGTCTAGCACTTCTTTTTAAGCCTTGAAATGGCAAATATATATGTATTTTTTAAAGTAAACCTAAGCAAAACCAAAAATAATATTAAAAAATTTAAGAAAATAATTTCATTAGGTCATAAATACCTGCCAGATTCTGTACTAGATAACTGTAATTTAGCATGACCATTAGTCCACAGAAAAGAACACTTCAGATGCTTGACATCGCACAGCAAACATTTATCTATGTCTATAGTTTGTAGAAAAGGTAAGAAAAGCACCCTAGGAGCACAAGCAAAATTACTTTTTATGCTGAAAGGATAAATAATATTATAGGCAAATTTTGCCTTCTCAGAGTTAATAATTAGTTGCATAAATTAAAAATAACTGAAGAACTCTAAGGGTGAGTAAAATGCAATTGGAGAGCCATTCTATCCTCTTTTATATGTCACTGCAATGTTTTAATAGACTTCCTCTGTTTTCTCATTTCAGGAAAAAAACACAACACTTCTTATGCAACCTTCCTGTAATTATATCAAAGGAAAAATACCTGCACTTTAGTGTGTCTACTTATGAAAAGACATGAAAAAACCCTACGAACAGTAGGCGTGAAGCTTTATCAAACACATAATTGAAAAAGAGTTATTATAAAGTTAACCCTTAGACAATATCTGATTAAGCCCAAAGAAGCCATAGAGAGCAAGTTAAACAACACTTTTACCATAAATACAGGAATAAAAATATCCCAAACCAAATCTATAGAACAGAACTGCGAATCTAACTTTCAACTTGCATTTGGATGAAGTATCAAATGTTGGAAATCACAATTTAGGTTAGTTCTGCAGTTTAAGTGTTCATACATGACAACTGGACACATAGTTCATTTAAGAACAAAAATTGAAAATTAACAAATAATTTCATACTCCAACCTTGCAATTCAAAAAAGTCTAATTGTCATTTCATATAATAGCACTAATACATAGCAAATCACAGGAGTTTGAAACTGCAATGATTTAAAACACTGACTATTCATATAAAAGTGTCAACCTTTTTCATTTCACCTGAGTTTCACCTCCACATTTTAATGCCCAGAAACTCTAGAAGAACTAAATCTAGCAACTAACAAACATTACAAGAAACAGACTGAAAGTCTATAATGACCATGTTAGGAAAAATTAAATATAATAATTGAAATTACTTAGAAATACAGAAACTCTTATTCTTTTTCATCAAAATCCAACATCCCTATTTATTATGAAACTGTTACAAAGAAATTTGTGCTATGTATGTTCTGCAACATCACATAGTACATGTGCAAACATACGGTATTGCCCTGTGTTAGTATGATACAGGCTGGTTGGCATGGCCATGGCAGAAATACCAGAAGGAGTTCCTTCATCTTCTGACTTCTCTTCTTCTTCAATCTTTGCTACTGCAGGAGCATCTGATGAAAGTTCATTCAAAATTTTTCTAAAAAAGAATGTAAGTAATTTTATGTATTTGAAAATCCATATCCATAAGAAAACTAAATAACTGGCTTTTATCAGACAGTTTTGCTGTAATATATAAGCTGCCTTTAAAACCAGCAAAACCAAAATAAAAAGTCCTTACCGGTATGAAGGCCTTCTTGAAAGTATTTCCCTACGTTTTTGGGAATCAATTACCACTTCTGATACTGCAGCTTCATCTGCAATCGATGCTACCTGTAATAGCAAAGTTCCTGAAATTCATAACTTCATTAAAAAAAAAAGATAGCAACAGAAAAAAAATACTGTTTTTAAAAATCCCTTCCATGTTTGCATATAGGAAATTTATGCACTTATTTATCACTAATCATGAGATTTCAGACTTTTTTTCCAAAGCAAAGAACAAATTATGAGGTTAGACAGACATAGCCACTTGGTTGACATTTTCCATTTGAAAAAGAAAAAAGTCAGAGTAATCCAGGTTACTTTTTTTGTGATTGACACTTACAAAAAGTATTGAAGATAGACTTCTTTAAATATAACAATATTATACAATTTGATTAGCTTTTAAAGTGAAGTTAAACATGTAAAACACAAAACACTTCACTAATGTGTCTTAAAGAATATATATACAATATAAAAGTCTCTCCACACAACAAAGCTATTTAGAAAATAACTTTATTTAAATGTACACATTTATTACACTTACTAACACATATGCATAAATACAAAGACATTGCTTAGCAATGTTGTGTGAGTTTTAGAAACACCTGACAAGTCCACAATGTCTCATTTTTTCAGACTTTTAGTATTAGTGTTGTCACATCATGTTCTTCTCTTAAAATTACCTAGGACAACATTAAGGCCTGTGGCTAAATCACATTCTTGACCACTAACTATATTGTTACACAGAATTGAAAGTCATTATTGAACAAGGAAAACACACCATTTTCTTGGATTCATTTAACTACTCAGAACTACCAGTGTGTTAAGATTTCCAAACTGAAACACTGTGATAAAAAATCTTTTCACATAAACACAGCCTAGACTGCAGTTTCAGACTAAGCACTGTCTTAAGCACTGAACAAACATGATCTAAGTGACCAGAAGGCTCAGGTGTTTGACCTGGGAGCGGAGGCTGCTCAGGGAAGTCAAGGAATAGTTCTACAATTAATGCATCTGCCAGGCTTCAGTGCTCAATGCTAGAAAGAAAACCTGCTTGACCTCAACAGAAAATGAGTGTCTGGAAGGTTCTTGAAATTTATAGGCCTGGGTCACCTCAACTCAAACCTGCAGAACTACACCTTGAAGGAATCACAGATTATTGCAGAATAAAATTACAGAATTGTTCCTTCACTTGTTATTTTTATTAAATGCCATTTCTATGTAAAAATATTTGTTGCAGCCTCATTTTGCTGGGTAATATGCAGCAAACATCATCAGATCACTCCATGTCTGCCTCTGTGCCACCTAGAAGGTGAGAGGTACTCCTGCATGTGTACAGATGTTCAGCTCCAAAACCGACATCAGAGCTCAATGGCAGAGATACAGGCGCTTCAAGAAGTCTGTGTTCCTCCTTTTGCAGGATGGACCAATATTGAGAGGCAGAGAGAGGTCTTGAAAGGCATTTCCCTCCCAGTGTGTCTTCAGTGATCCTTCAAAACTAAGACAGTATTGCACAGCCAAGAGCTTGGGCATCCTTACTCAAAACAGAATTTTCATTCTGCTAGGGAGTGGAGGGTAATAAATATCTATTTGCTCCAGCACAAACAGCAGGAAAACAAGACCTTAGTTGCCTTTCGACCTTCACATTAGACTAACGGTTATCGATAGCCGCCCCTAGTCTCTGAAGATGGCTGAAGAAGCTGGGAACAGTCATACTTTGGCAAGAAGGTAAGGAAATCACAAGATGATTTAAGAATTCTCATGTATGTGGAAGAGGACATTTTCTGCAAGAAATTTCAGAAGTTTTACTTTCCATCATGACAAAGAGAGAAACTAACATTTCAGATCATTCTAACAGCAAGCAACCATAGCCACGATGTTAACAAACAAAAACCATTGTCATTTTTCCTGGATGTCGTTCAGATTACAACTTTACCTACTTCAACTTTATTTGCATGGGAACAAATCTAACTTCAAACTCGCGTTAGTCTGCCAAGACCTAGTACGCTACAGGGGGAGCAAGCAACAAGTCAAATAACAATCTGAACTTCAAATCTTCCTACAAATAAAAAAACATTAACAATACAATAAGGAACATTACACAGATAAGCATTTTTTTTCACTCAAAAAGCAGCAGCATTACAAGAAAAATTTTGAACTTTCCGGTTGGGAGCTGCAGGTGTTTGAGGGAGAGGTCACGCAAGCTTCAGCATCAACCTTCAGTATACTTTTTTTTTTTATTAAAGTGATATAATTTCCCAAGTCCCCCATTGTCTGGCAGAGAGAAGATATCAAGTTAAAGCCAAATGATCTGGAGGAAATGCCAGATGGCAGGATAAAGGACTGAACAGGAACACAAAAGGGCTGAACACCCTCGGTAATGGAGTCTTTTACAGCATCTTCAAGCCCTTCTCACAGAGTGATTTCATTTGCCATTAGCAGCTCAAACGAAACCAAAGCAAAAACCTGGAACTAACTAGTCGGTATTAATTGGGACAAAAGTTTCTTGTTTCTAGTGCTTTGGGGAAGGAAAGACAGCCAGAGTTCACTCAATACAACAAATAGTTGACTTCCACTCCCCTAAGACAACACAGCAGCAGCTGGCAAGAGATTCCTAAGAAATTGCTCCTTCTGAGCTTTGAAGAAAGTCCTCTACCTTTGCATGTATATCCTGCCTATACTGAGAATGACTAATATGCTTATCAAATAAAGGTTACTCCAGTAAATTACAGTTAGAAAGAATTCAAATTAAAAAAAAAAGTAATTACTTTGAATACTCTGATTTGACTTCATGTTTGACCAAAACCAAGTCTCTTGACATCTACCGCATGTCTTTCAATAGTGATCTCGAATTCCAAAACCTTACAAGGTTCCATCATCTAGACCTACTGCTCAAAAATAAAATACTCATTATCTGGCCAAGGTTTTATTCCCTTTCTCTAATATACATCATACTTACATGTGCTTTTTTAGTTATTATATTTGAAAGTTACTAAGAAGTCTCTAACATTAAAGACAGCTTCTCAAGAAGACTGCAACATGTTAAAGAAAAGCCACGTGTTGCCAATAACCACAGGTAAAACAGTTCCCACATAACAGGTGTATTGCCTCTCTTACCAGAGGTATCAATTCTATTTGCAAAACGCATTTTGGTTGACATTTCCCAATCAGATTTTAACAAAAATAGAGCAAAGGCCTGAATAGCTTACAAGAAAAACACCAATGGAAGACCAAGTCACATTCAAAACACTGTAAATTCATTCTCTCTCTAGTCTTTTTCACTATTTAAAAGCTCTGAAAACTCTTATACATTTTGCATTGATTCCTGTTTTCTAATACCAGCAACTTGAAACATGTGAACATCAGCCACATAAATGTTTATTTTGAGGGTGCCTGTATTTTTGGTCTCTACATACCCACATTCACAAAAAGCAATACCTGATGCTACAACAGGGCCTGCTGAAAACAAGGAACCACTTGACTGTATATGTAGTTTCATTACATCCAGACCCTTCGCAAAAATAAGAGATACTTGAAAATTTATGACTTCATAGTCTCATTAGAAACATGATCACAGAATTTAACAAAACAGAAAAACTGCAAGATACAACTAGAGTAAGGCCACGTTATCACACAAATTTGCTGTTGCATAAGTGCAGAGTTCCAAGACACCATTTTTTAGAAGATAAACAGGAAGCATTAAGGAAATGCTACACAATGCTTGTAGGGCTGCTACTGGTTGGATGTTTGCCACCTTTCCCTCCGCTGTTTCCTGCGCCATATGAGTAAATCTTGCAGCACTGGTAGGAATGAAGAGAAACTGAAGATGGATTGGGAAAAGAGTCATGAAGTACCAAATATTCATGAAAATGTAACAATAAAAGAGCTAACCTGAACAGCTTGCATGTGTGGTGACTGAATGACTGAGGGCTGTGTGGCTTGAATGACACCCTGGACATGAACAGTTTGACCAGAAGGCAACTGCACTAGAGTTACAGCTGGAGATCCTCTTCCAGCACTTGAAGCAGCTACAGAAACCTGTAAAAATTACAATCATCATGTTTAAGTAACATGTCTTAAGACTTCAGCAAATGCTTTTAGAAGTGACACTAAAACAAACTGATTTTGTTGCCATATCTAAAATAGCTTAGATGCGTATAGTTATCACCCACAAAAATTAACAAGTTTTACTAGTCAAAGTTTGGCATGTACCTTTTCAAAGGGTATGGAAAGCTTAAAACTGTTCCCTAACAAATTGCAACTCTTTCTTCTTTTTTTTTTCCTCCATAGACATCTTGTTTTCTTTTCAATTAAAAAAAAAAACAAACCAACCCTAGGCCAACTCACACCAAATCTGCTGTTGCTACCATGAAGGTTACGAAGAACCTCAAGAAATGTAACAAAAACATGCATATTCACTGAAGTGGTATGTAGCTGCAACAACATAAAGGGCAGAATGTTCTTAGTCAGGAAAAAAAAACAAAAACAGAACTGCTTCAGTTTTGCTTTCTTTGTTAGGTAAGAAGTTATGCTTTTTAGATGGATGTCTCAAGAGATGAGAATTTTTCAGATAGCAAAAAACCACCCTGTTAAATAAAGCAATCAAGGATTTGTAAACTGATTTAGTTTAACAGACTCTTGTTATATATATATTTATATATCAAGAAAAACAGAGTTGGAGTGTACCAGGGCTTCAAAATACCAACAAAAATAAAGAACAGCTGGATCTTCTTTAAGCCTAGCACAGCTGAAGTGTTCTGTTTAGGAATAATCTGGTCCTTTTTTCTGCTGACATTTCAGAGGACACAGCTTTCCCCAGCCTTTGGCTCTCAACCCTCACTGCTAAGGATGAATGGGTTAAGAAACAGTTTAGCAACTACAGGCTAAGAAATAGTTCAATATTTTTGCTATTAGTGTTAAGTCTATTAACAGAAACAAATGCTGATGGCAAAGGGAAAATAACTACAATTGATCTCAAGTACTGTGTGATGAAACATCTCTAAACTCAGAAAAGGAAGAGAATTACAAACAAACTATATGATAAAAAGAAATACTGTGGTTTTTTAAGTAAACTGCATTGAAAAGTCTTATTTCTATATCCCACACAATCAACAATAAACGCAGACTCAATATAAAATTTTGATGTTATTCCCTTCCTAGCTTTGTTCTCAGCCCCAAAAGGTACCTGGATTAGTAAAGCTAAAATTGAGATCACAGAATCACAGAATATACTGAGTTGAAAGGGACACACAAGGATCATCGAGTCTAACTCCTGGCCCTGCACAGGACAGCCCCAAGAGTCACACCATGTGCCTGAGAGCATTGTCCAAACGCTTCTTGAACTCAGACGAGCTTGGTGCTGTGACCACTTCTCTGGGGAGGCTGTTCCAGTGACCAACCACCCTCTGGGTGAAGAACCTTTTTCTGATATCCAACCTAAACCTCCCCTGACACAACTTCAGGCCATTCCCTCAGCTCCTGTCACTGGTCACCACAAAGAAGAGATCGGTGCCAGCCCCTCCTCTTCCCCCACGAGGAAGTTGTAGACTGCGATGTGTGATGAGATGACAGTGAGAAGACAATCATGATGAATGCTGAATATTCAAAAAAAAATTAAAGAAAGTTTTGTATTTTTTCTGTATTTACAATGAAGGGGTTTTTAATTCCAAATATTTTTTAATTCCAAAGAAGTTTTCATTCCTGATCCATAAGCCATAGCTTGCCTTGGAAATATTCCTTTCTTGAAGCAAGTGAAAAATGTTAACTACTATTAAGATGCACTGCTCTCAAAAAGACTTGATGGTGGTTCAAATTATCTTGAAGAAACACTGTTTCTAGGAAACAGAGACAGGATCTTGTCAACAGTCCCCATGCAGTTGTTCAGCGTTAGAGGAACCTGAACTGCTTTTCAAGAAATAGAACAATTTAGGGCATTTCTAACCCTGAAATGGAAACAATCATTCCTTAAGTGGCATGAAATTATATGTAGATAGGACGTGCAAACCTTTTTCCCAATCTGCAGAATAAATATTAATGTTAAGAGAAATTTATCAGAAATACATATTTGAGATTGAGCTCTAGAAAGTCTCAAAGATCTGAAGAGAATAATCTATTTTGTGGCAAAGTTGACATCCTTAACCCAAGCTTCAAGGAGAGAGCACAGAGCAGTCTAAATGTTTACAAAGCATGCCAACTCCCAAAACATTATAAAGGCAATTTCACCAAACCTTTTGACTTACTGATATCTTTGTAAGAGTTCTAATGTGATACAATACTCTGTGTATCAGAAAGAACTTTCTGAGTACAACACATAAAAAACAGTACAAAGTGAACAGTTTAAGAGTTTCTATTTGTACACAATGAGTTAGGCACACATGATCAGGAAATAATCCAGTACTCAGGATTAAGAAACTACACTAATTTAAAAGCTCCTTAATCAGTATAACCACACGAGAAAAAAAGAAAAAAAACCACACTCAGCTAATCTCTTCTGGACTGAAGTTTACAATACCACAGGAGAGATTGTTCTGTTCCCATTAATTCAGATAAAAGATTAAACGAGGGGGGGTAGGGTTGAGATGGCAGTATTATAAAACTTTCAAACGTCATATTCTGCAACTCTTTTATTCAATATTAGAAATTATTAAACCAATTTCAATTCACATTTCCTTTTCCAGTTTTCAAGCTGAATATTCTGGTGTTAACTGAAATACTAGAACCTTTTGGTGCTATCATGCGTAAATGCTGACTGAAACAGACTTGGTAAAAAAAAAAATTCCTTTGTGACATCAGTGATGAGCAATGCCACCTCTATCGTCATTACCTCAAGGGCTGTCTGGCACAGCGACTGAAAATAATCTGCAGAAGCAACTCGGGAACACAGTGGGTGAGGGGAAGCTTAACACATTCTATGGATTCTATGCTCCTAGGCGTGCAACAGTCAAGTCTAACAGCTTCAACAAATACCAACCATGCAATCCGTAACAGTAGTATGGTACTATACTCCATGTGTTTGGAAATGTAAGTGCTCCCTCTTCCACAGAGAGAAAAGCAGCCAACAAAGATCATACACTACTTTCATATCAAGGCACAAACTCCTGCAGAGAAAGAGGTTCCTCATCATTTATCTGACTTCAAGATGCACTGTCCATCTGAACAGTTATTCTGTGGATGTACACGCTCCCTCACACATGGTCAGATAACTTTTCCCTACTGAGAATTAGAGGTTACATTTACCTTCAACCCCTTGTACCTTCAACATTGCCAATACGAAGTAAGCAGTACACAGGTCCATCTGATTTCTGCCCCTGCTGTTGAATCTAAACACTGCAAGGACTCTAGAAGTAAAGTGAAAATTCTGGGAAAGGAGAAGTCAAGGCAAACCCATCCTGGATTCATCTAACAGAAGAGCAAAGGACTTGCCACGCTTAGGCACCCAGTACCCTCTACAAGGAAAAGCTGGAGACAGGGAAGTTTTGATCAATTCCAAAGCTGATGCAAAAATAGAAGCACATACTTTTAAGGAAAACAATGTTAGGCTGATTTCAGACATGTGGTGACAGCATACCCTTCAAGGAAGCACAAAATGGTGACAAAGCTGCACATTTATAATCCTCTAACATCAGCTTTGCTAATGGTCTAGAGTTGCATTTGGCAGATCGGTTTTAGGACCAATTTTTTTAAAGTCTGGCAAACTCTTACAGGGCTCAAACTACTGGGGGCAAGATATAACACAGTTTGATGTTGAGAGCCCACAAGGACAACACCCTGAAGTGCTAAACCTGAGCAGTCCCAGCTTGCACTGGCTATGCACTCCAGGCTCTGAAAATCTCCCTTTGATCTCTCTGACAGCAGTTCTCGCATTGTAAATCCTGATGTATGTCTAACTTAGGGTCAGCACCAAGAGGCTGACAGATGGTATCTCAGACAAGGACAGCAGACAGCTCTACTGACAGACAACATGACAAAGTTAACAAAAAGTGAATCAAAAAAAACCCATCAACATGTAGGATTAAAAAAAAAAAAAAAACATGACAGAACTGAAAGTGTTTTTGTCAAATCTGAAAAAGGTCTAAGTACATTGATCTTACATTTTTATAATTATATTTAGTGTAGTGAGCACATGGCAACAGAGAATGCAGTATGGTTTCTAGAAATCCTGCAAAAAGAACATCTAATTTCTCCTTGAATACCATTGCAGATGTAACTGTTCCAAAATATAAGTTTGGCTATCATCACCACTATAAGAATATTCTAATAAAAATTAACTTCCTTTTAAGAACAGATCTATTTGTATCAACAGAAGATCTGCGCATGTGAGACAACCCATGGAGCCCATCTCTAAACAGGTTGAGAAATTTTCCATCTTGCACCTTTGCTCTTCCCTGAAAGCATCCCTCAAAAGCATCAACCTTTTGTACAGATGTTCTGTACACTTTCAACAGCTTCTAAAGAAAACCACCAAAGTTTTTACCAATTAACATTTTCTTACCTATTTCTTTTGGTGGCTGGATCACAAAAGACTATGTCAATTCATTAACTGGTTGAAAGTGATGGATGCAAGAAATTAAACTATAAATGCAATCTTATTCTACATTAAGTCACTTTATTTAAAAAATAACCCTTTAATGGACAGAAAAATGTACCTCATTTTTGCTAGTTTCAAATTTACTCATTTTTGCTTTTGTAGAAAAAGTCATTTTACTTTCATCACCAAAAAATTGCAGGAGTATATAGCAGTATCTATGACACAAGCTAGGAAAACCCCCCAAACACTATCTTTTCCCTACTAATAATGTATAATAGCTCCTTGTTAGCATCAGAGGTTATCCCATCACATCATAGTGCTCCAGCCCAGACATTCTTAATGTCTCCTCTGCCTCCCAACAGGGGACACATTAAAAATGCTTCAGCACAAAACAATCTCTGCCCTCTAGAGATGATCATCTTATGGAATACCTGTCCACCTTTTTAAAACTAAATGGCAGGTATTTCTTTAAAAAGCCTGAACTCCAGGGGAGGGAAAAACAAACATGCACACAAAAAAACTCCAAAACAAAACAAAAAACAACAAACAAACAAAATCATCTCCACACCAAAAAAAACCAAAACCAAAAACAAAACCACAAACAAATCGAAAAAGCCCACCTCCTACCTAGTTGTATCCCCAGCATTTTGCTTGTCATTCCCTGGACAAAGTCATAATAAAACCATTACATTCCACCTGGACATAAAAAACCCCACCCTTTTACTGCAAGAGCAGTCATCTGCTGGCACAGATGCCCAGAGAGATTCTAGAGACTCCATCCTTAGAGATATTTAAAATCCAAGCAGACACAGTCCTTCACAACTTGCTCTCACTGACCCTCGTTGCGCAGAGAGGTCAGACTAGATAATCCCAAAAGGTCCTTCCAACATCAGCCCTTCTACAATTCTTTGGTAATACAAGAAAACTACAAATTGAGTATTAAAAGATAGCATATTCAAATGTTTTACTTCTGACTGAAAAGAACCCAGGTTAAACAAATATCTTGCTGAAAAAAAACAAACAACAGCCCCAGTCCTCTGTGCCTGTCCCCAAGATATCTGAAAAGGAGCCCTCAGCTTCAGTGATCAGGAATTTTAGCTCTTGGTAAGAATCAAGTAATTCTTTTCTCTATTTCTGCATGTTTGCAACTAAATTAGTAGGAGGGATGGTTGGAAGTTGGCACAAGGTACATTTCAGTCACTTTTAGTGGCTGTCTTCTCTTCCGCGCTCATCCAGAGGCCAAAGAGGGAGACAGGATCTGTGTCCCTCTGTAACAGTCAAAATACACAGACACTGGACCAGCAGCACAGCCACAAATTCCTCAGAAACACCCCAAGTTTCCCATCTGGTACCACCAGCAAAACCAGTCAGATGTCCCACACAAACCCCTCAACACGCACCCCTGACTCCCATCACGACAAAGCACGTCACCTTCCAAGCCAGCCAGGTAGGAACATAGACTAAAAAAATCCTACTCATCTTAAGTCAAAGGAATGTCATAACAAGGTAAGTGTTCCACCCAGGCCCGCTTTACCAAAATCAATGCTGTGGCAGTGCAGCCTCAGGGCACTGAGGGGGTGTCAGGGCTGCAGGCCCTGGGAGCCAGTGGCAGCACCGGGTGGTTGAGGAGAGAGGCCTGTCCTCCCTGTTGAGGAGAGAGGAGCTCCACTCCTCTTCAGAGTGGCACAACTGCACCAACCCCCTTTTCTGGACAGCACACAAGAGGGATGTCTATGGTTACGTGCACCAAGCAGCTCTGACAGGTCCAGGAGAGCTCTCTGGGCCGTCTGACCAAAAAAAGGGACTCCAGATGTCAACTCTGGACTGTTAATCTTAACCTTCAAACTCAAGTACATGTTTTGGTTTAGTGATAATTGAATGAGATTCATCAATACTTCAGAGTTATTAGTTTTAACTGAAAGAGATGAAGCCCATACCCAATACAGCTGAACCTTCACACACAGTACTCAAGCATTAAAGGCACACAAACATAAAAAGTGTTTTCCTTGGGGAGGCAGCAGAAGCTCTCCTACAGCATTAGTGACAGTTTTGTCTCTAGATCAACGTTAAAAATCCCAAGTGACAGAATTCACAGGTATCTTCTTCAAACACTATTGTACAAGCCAACAGATTTTACACATAATTCATCCTATGAAGTTAAGGCACAAAATTTGAACTGAACTACTAAAGAAAGAAGAAATGAGGGGATGACATCAACAGAACAACTCAAAGTTCTTGATTTCATGCTCCACTCTTAAAGAAAAAAAAAGAAAAAACCCAACAAATAATATTCGCAATGCTGCATATACCAAAAAAAAAAAATGTTGATAAGTATTTTGCAGTCTTTGTGTCTGAAGATGTGAGAAAAAGAGCAGTTGCCTTCAGTTTTTAAAATATACCTATAATGTAAATCAAGTATCTAACATACCAAATACATGGCATCAAATCTTACAGATTAATAAATTCTGTAAGATGTTTTTTAAAATCTCTTCCTTTATTTCCACAAAGGGAGTTTGAAGATCCTTTTAAGTGGTTCATACAGTTTGCTGAAGCTATAAATCTTAGTAAGGTCAAGAACCTTATTTCTCTCAAGTGTCAAATGTTTCATATTTTAACATGTATATATTTTTAATGTTTGAGAATTGTTACTATATAATCTTTTATCCATTAACTACCGAAGAATAATCCAGATAGAGCAACCATACAGAACACGTGAAGTATGTTTTTAGAACTCCAGTCACTGTCATTGGATACAATAAAAATGTACTTGCAATTAGATGAAATATGTTCTGTACAAAAATTGGAACTAGGAGAAAATCATGGTTGGTTTTATTCAAGTTTTCATTTTTGTTATTCATCACATCTTCAAGATACACGTTTTAGATGTTTGATCTTCCAGTCACCTTAATTCCTTAGGACCCTCTTCCCATCTCTATAACAATCATCTTGTAAAAGTGAATGTAAAAAAAAAAAAACGTGTCCACCAATCATTCTACTCTGAAAAAGTTGGTTTCCTGAAAGCGTCACCTTTTAACAGACCTGATGTTACATTGGTCCTTTGTTAACTACTGCAGGCATAGTTTCCAGTATACCTTTACTATACTTTTCCTATTTGATAGCAACACTTATAAAACATGAGAATGCCATGCAAATTGATAATGTAAAAATCAGTGAATCTCTGAATATCACTTTAGTGATTCTTCTCATCTTTCCACATTTCAGCTTACCTCAGATCCTGAGGAAATCTGACTTCGCCCTGACTGATTCTGAAGGTGACCAGCATTTCCCTCTGTCATAGAATCCACTGCATTGTCATCCTGTTCAACCATTTCCATGGTCATCTGTCTAAAAGTAAATACATACACATTTAAATAATGCAGTACATGGAGGTATATAATGCAGTACATGGAAGAGTGCCATTCCAAACTATTTTATATTTGGAGCAGACAACTAACAGAAAATAAATAAATTTCTGTCAAAACGATCAGATTAACTGAATCCTTTCTTTCTGTTCCCCTGCATTAAAATATCAATTCATATAGGTAGGAGCCCTAAAACAAGTATTTTGGAAAGCTGCAAGGAGAGGCAGTTCTGGAAATGGCTGTCAGGGAGGGACAAGCACAGAGTCCCAGGGTCCCATGCATTGCTGCCAGCAGGGCTGGGAGCGCCGTGCTCCAGAGCAGCCCAGCAGCACCACCCACAGCAGGTCCCCCGGAGCTCACATCTTGCAACAGACATGGCTCAAGCTGCCCAGCAGCCACGTGCTGCTACGTTCCTCTCAAACCTTCCAAGATGCTGATTCCCAGCTGGGATCTACACTTGAACTGTCTGTGGCTCAAGACCCACAATGATTCTTTTAATTTTGCAGGATTAAAAGTAGGGTAAGTTTCATAGGAAAATTAGTAACTTGCTGACCCTCAATTCAAACTAAGAGTTTAAACTCCATACAGAAAGCTTCCAAATGGATCTGCTATATAAAAATGCAATTACCTGACAGTTCCTTTTCGATATCTCTTGGCACACTTAGTCATAACGGAAGGTGTGAATTTTAAAACAAGAGCTCGGTTCTCTTCGTCTCCCTTTCTCTCCTACCAAACCCTGCACTGAAGGTGCAACATTGAACAGGTGATGTCAAACATTGCCATGGCAACAGGTCAGTTTACAAACAGAACAGAGACAGGATAGGGTCAGGCAGAGGCAGGCAGGCCCTCAGGCATGCTCCCACCTACACCCTACTTACACAACCAATTGAGGCCGCAAAAGGAAGACATGGTAGAGATGAGGGATTTAAATTAAGAGGTAGCAAATCTCAATTCCTTGGGTTCCGTTACTGTAATTAGGGGATGGCAAGCCTGTCTGAACTCAAAGTTCAACTATTTCAACTGGCTGATAGTTACTTTGGTTTCTTCTCAGGTCTTACACTGAGAGATGGAAGAGGCAGGGAAGGAAAACTGCTACCCATCTGACTCTGAGAATCTGGAATTTAGTCCCACATGTTATAAGTAACTACACTGAGTCAAATTAAATGTAAACCAAGCTCCTTTTGCGGCACTATTTTAGAGAACATTCCAGGATCTTCGAGGATAAATTTTATTGGTTTCTTTGAAAGTCACCCTTTTCACCCAGAATAAAGGCACGAAAATATGAAAAGATATCCAGTCAAATGATGCAGAGCAGAGTTTGAGCTCATATGCCTCCAATGGTATTCTACTGACCAGACTTACAGTACTACAGCTAGGGGTAGCCAAGCTGTACACAATTCAACATTTTATAAGTTAACATTAGTATTTCTGCCCACATAAGTTTCGTATCCTATCCAGTATCAATTCAGATTAGAACCATAAGAAGTTATTTTACACCTAAAATCTTTCCACATTTTTGTCTTGTTAGTTACCACTAATTACCTTTTTCCAATTACCTAGATCCAATCAAATTAAGGATCTACTGAAATTCACCAAAGTCAAACAATTCTGGGGAGAATATTTTCACCAAGTTTTGCACCATATTTTTCCTAAGAAAATATTATCTTATTAAACCATTCTGGTTTTATATATACATGCAACATAACAACAAAAATAAAGTAGGAAAAAATTCTTTCTTCATAAACTAGGGCCATCCATACTCTTAAACATGAAAGCTCTATCTGGTTCATGGTAAGAATGCCTCCATAAGCTTCGTAACAGCTCACACACCAAGGAAGATTAAATAATGCATAGGTACTGGCAACATATTCAATGTAATCTCTTCCTAGAGATGGGAATAAAGTCAGAATTAATTCACTTTATGAAGGCCGTGAAGTATTTTTGTATCCAGAGCCATCTGTCACAGAAAACCTACTGTTGGGGGGGGGGAAGTACTTATTACTCCCACTGAATGAATTCCACATAAATTTTACCTAGAAAGAGCCATTTTTCATCTTGGAAAAAAAAAGAATTTAGTTCCTAATTTTAGCTTAATTCCTCACTGATTGTAGAACACTATAAAAATTTATTTATTTTTAATATTTATTAGGATTTTTCTCCCAAAGTCTTTTCATCTGCAGTGCTCCAGTAACTGATTTGGCAAATAGCTACGAAAAGAGCATCAGTGCAGCAGAAAATCTAACAAAGCTATTCCTCATACTTTGCAAAATACAATACAGACAAAAGGGTGTATTTTTTAGATTATTTATGTTTAATTAGAAAAAGAACAGCAAGTACTATACACATCAGTGAAATGACAAATATACCTAAGATTTTTGATATACATGAAAAACTCTGGAATTCATATGGATTTTCCATTTATAATTATGTATATGCTGACTCTTAATACAAATGATTGCTTAATTTAAAACTTTAGCAAGGTGGAGTAAAGTCTGCAAATATGACTGCCATAAAATTCAGCTGTTATCCCGGAACACAGCAAAATACTCTTCCTAGATAAGCTCAAACCCATCTCTTTTTGACAACCTCTGCTTGTAAACAGAGATTTGACTAGAAACAGCATTCAAATACTAAGATCCAACTATAGCCTAAAAAAAAACAAAACAAAAATAATGAAGTACATAAGTAATTTTAAAAGATACGCTAGTTATCTTGGCATAAACCTTCAATGAGAAAGATGACTAAAGATAAAATGAAGAACATTAGTATCATAATTCAGACATGTTACAAGATTAGGAATGTTAGATAGACACAAGCACAGAGGATCACAAAAGTCGCAGGAGCAGGTCAGTCAGCTGCAGTCATTTGAGCCCACAGGGTCAGTCACACAGAGCTGTGTCACCTCATGTGGGCTTGTGCACAGCTCAAGGCCAGGCATGCTAAGGAACTCCTGAAGTGCACAGTCCAGTCTGGATTGTCACTGTCTTTGGAGCACTCCCATAAACTGTCAGATTCCTATATATTCCATTATTCCTATAACCTGAATTGCACAGGGTTTGCATCCTGTATATAATTTTAACATGAATACTCCAAACTGTTTTTAAGAAATACACAGAAAAAATACTGAGCGATATCATAATTATGCTTTTTCTAAAACTTAAGTAATACAGACTATGTCACAAAAGAGTTTTAAATCCAGTCCAGAAACTACTGACATAAACAGTTTCCACATGTATCACACTCAGTCTACACTGCAAGCAAATTCTAACATATGCATTGCTTTAAGTTTCAAAGAAAGAAAAAAAGAATTTTCTGCCAAGCACTAAAAATCCTTTATAAAAGTCTATCAGTAGTAGTATCTAACACGCTTTAAAGTTCACGTTACCTTCCTTCTATTTTAAAGTAAAACTAAACAAACAGTTTTTACGTATGTGGTCTTAGGTCCTGTTTAAAATTATGTGTTTTTCTTCACTGTAAGATTAATTATATACAAGTTTTAGTCTTATACTCAGTATTAATACATTATTTTCTTACGTTTTCTACCTTAGTTGCTTACAGTCACCGAAGAGTAATTTTAAATATTCATCTGGATTTTTAAATTAATAAACAAGTTATATCTCTGTACTCCTATAAAAACGGGGCAAAAATGGTTTTCCATAATGTAAGCAAAGACACCTGCTTCTTCCTACAACTTAGCAAAGAAATCTTCAAGATCTGGCACAAAGTTTAACCGCTACCAAAACTTGTAACATTTCAATATATAAGCACATGTTTACTACAGTCACTGAGATGAATGCACAGCAGGTCAGTAGCAGATAAACACTGACTAAGATGATGCACACAGCGCACATCATAAGCTTCTTCAACTGCCATCAGTCGAAGCATCTCTGGCAGGACAAATCTGGCAGGCAGAATCAGCTGGAGGAAAACACTGCCAGGTTTCCTAGAAAATTGGGAGTAATTTACAACTAAAAGTGTGAACATTTTATATTTTTGTCCACAGGTAAAAGATGAAGGATGGCATCTGCATCAAGATACCCTATTCTGTAATAAAGAGCACAAAAAAATCCCTTCACTTCCCCCAGTATTGCTGCTTGTTTTCCATCACTGAATATTCATACAAATACTTAACGTCTGTTGATGAAATTAAACTGCAAAAACAAATGGGTACAATATTTTGCATATCTGAAAATGTGTGACTGTCTAATTAAATACCCAGAGACATTTTAAAAAACAACTTTTTTATTTCAACCATACTTTATACATCAGAGACTTCTTACAAAGGAGGCCTATTACAAAGAAACTCATAAGGGGCTGAGAAATATGTTTCAGCTCTTGCTCCAAATCACTTTGAAGGCTTTTATTCATAGGGGAGTTACTAGAAAGCAAGGATGTGAATTTACAAGCACCTGTTTTGCATTTATTGATGACTCCAGTGAGTGTGGAAACTCTCATAATGCACTCCTTTCAGACGGGCATTATGTTTTCAAGTATGAACTCTAATAACCTGTTTTACTACCCTATGGTGTGAAGCACACCAGCTGGCAAGGTGGTCACGGCGTTCAGCCAGGTAAAACAGACTAGATTTAGCAAGTGTAAACTTTCAGGTTTTTTTATCATCAGAAGCTTCGTCACTAAGTTTCTTGCGTCTCCTAAACTCTCAGTGTTTCCTCATTTTCTTCCCCATCCTGTTCTTCCTTGAAAACCCTAGCAAAACCCTAAAAAGAAAATTTAAAAGCCCAACCTGCCGTTCTTGTGCGCACAAGCAATGCTACCTGTCCACTCTGCATCTGCCACCTCAACCACCCGGACCGGGCAGCGCCGAGCCCGCTGGGAAGAGGACACACTTCCTTTAGGTCCCCCTTTAGAAGGGTCCAACCAGCCCCTGGATAGGCCAGAGGACCATTCAAGCATCAGTCCCTCTGGAATCACTTAGCACTCAGCACCAAGTATGATGCTGCAGCGGCAGTGGGGGATGCAGACAAAACCCTCCAACTTAAGACCTCGGACTCACGGCGCCCACCGTGATCCTCCCCCACCTGTTCTGCTGACCCAGCTCGGAAAATCCTGTGGGCCAGGATGTAATGGGGTGTAGCGGGCTACGGGGAAACGATACCGGGTATCCCCACTCCGCCTCGGCCGGGCCAGCCCCGCGGAAGCTCCGGGACCGGCCTTCGGGGCGCTCCGCCCGCAGCGGGCCAGCACTGCCCCCACTCCTCCGGCTCCGCCAGCCGAGCCGAGCAAAGCCGAGCCGCTCCCAGAGCAAGGGCCGGAGCCGCCCCTGACAGAGCCCGGCGACACCGCGGCTCCCGGCCGGTAACGGAGCCGGCGCTCCGCGAGCCTCGTCTGGAACTCCCAGGACGCGGAACGGCCTCAGGGCCGCCCGGCCCTGAGCGCGGCGCGCTCCCGGCTGCCGGCGTGGCCGCGCTCGGCCGCCTCACTGCGCGCTCCCGGCGGCGGGGCTGAGCCGAGCGCGGCACAGCGCCCCCCGCCTGCCCTGCCCTACCCTGCCTTGCCTTGCCTTGCCTTGCCCGCCCGCCCCTGCCCTCCGCGCCGCCGGCGCCGCCCGCTGCCCTCCGCGCTGCCCCGCTGCCGGCCCGCGGGGGGTCGGGCTGCGCGCACACGTGTCCCCGCCCCCTCCCGCAACTCACCCGCCGCCCTGTACGTGCTGCCCCCGTCACAGGGGGTGGGGGGGACCGGGGACCGGGCGGAGCCGCGCGTCGGCCTCACGTCAGCGCTGATGCAGCCGCGCCGCCGCGGGGGCGCCGAGGAAATGGCGTCTGCGGGGCCTCCCAGCGCCAGCGGCCGCGGCGAGAGGGCGGGGCTGCGCGCGGGCGGTGGCCGCGGGGCGCAACGGCCGCCGCGCTGACCAACCGCCGCCGCGGGGCCGCCGCCGGCACCGCCCATGGGCCGGGGCGGGACGCGCCGCGGAGCGGGCGGGGGGGGGCGGCCCCGCGGCGCCGGGGGCGGGGGCGGCCGGTAACGGCCTGGGCAGGCGCGGGGCCGCCGCGCTCCCCGCACACCGCGGTCGGGGTGCGCGGTGATAGCGGGGGCGGTGCCGCCTGCCCGCCGGGCCCTGCCGATAAGGGCGGTTGGCTGGGCCGCTCCTGACCCAGGGAAGGGGCGCAGCGCAACCCCCGGCTGTCCCTGGGCGGTGCTGGAGCGCTGAGGGACGCGGGGACCTGCCCGGGGGCCGCCCCACCGCGCTGATGCCCGCGGCTTGTTTTGTAATTGAGCTTGGTGGAAACACGTCCCTTACATCAGTCATTCGTAGTATGACATGGTGTTTTATATTTATTCGGATAAATAAATCAGAAATTGCCGACGAGGAGGGACGTGCGCGTTTCCCCGCTCGCTGCCATGGGATACGTGCGAATGTCATGAGTCATGTCGGGCTGGTGCCGTAGGTGTGAGCACGGCGTGTGCGCAGGGCCTGTGTGCTCAAGTTTAATAATATTAAAATGCCATAAGTGCGTGAGCCATAAACTTTGTTAATAGTGGTGTTTTAACATCGTATGTCTTAGTGTTGCTCAGTGTTTTACAAAGTAGTGTAAGAAGGGATTACACTGCAGTATATTTTAAATTACATATCTACACATCACTGCACTTATATTGTGAAGTTACATAATGTATTTACCATTTACCCTTTTTCCTTTTTTCTTTTTTTTTTTTTTTTTACTGTGAGAAACTATTCAGCAGTGTGCTAAATAAACATGAAAACCTAAGTTAATTTCACATAACTCATTGTGATTGAAGAATTGGAGGATGTGTGTGTCAGGATTGGTGATATGTCCGTGCAGGTCAAACACTCAGTCTTATTCATGGTATGAAGAGAACCTGGGTATTGATTTCCTGTGTTTAAAAAAGCCAAATAACTCTTATATCTGACTTCATAAAAGATGAATCATATTTACTTGCAAAGGTTTTTGCCTTTAAGCATTTAGTTCATTAATTTGCTTCACAGAAGTTATTTAGCACAGGTATCAAAATCACAATGTAGTGGAAATAATACAGGATCTTCAGTGTTGCTATTGCTTGTGCAAGTTTTCAGTTTTCATCCTACATTTCCTTTGTTGCAATATTGAACAACACCCCCTTCCTGTTTTGAGTTCTGTTTCCCTCCCTTTGTTTGTTGCATGTATTTTACGTGTCTATTCAGGGTTTTAAATAGGAGTTTCTCTTCCCATGATTAATAACCTTCTGGTTTTACAGCTTACCCATTAGGCACACAGTATTGTTATGCTCATTTATTAAAAGATATGCTTTACTAGAAAATCTCTGGTCAATTAGCAAATATTTGTTAGAATGGTAAGATAATCAAATGAACAGTCAAGTGTAAAACTACTGAGAATTACTCTGCTAAAACCTTTGGAAGAAATTCCAGCTTTGCCTAGTATAATCAAAAAGCCAAAAGTAGCTTGGGATACTTATAGCACCTCAAAAATGTTTTTGAAGGTAGAAGTCTTATTGCAAACAGGAAGAAATTTCGAATGAGTGTGTTAAATAATGGAAACCACTGGAGTGAGTTACTTATAAACAAGCTGAGAATTTCCATGAACTCTTAAAGCATGAATTTGGAGCAGTTGTTTTTTAGTAGTTTTCAAATCATAAGCAGCTTTGAAATGTTTAACTAAGAATTTACTACTATTTATACCTCTTCTCTCTGATAATTTAATGGAGTGTATTAGAGGAGTGAATGAGCTGCCAGAGGGATTTAGATCTTGGTTATACAAAGATGACTAAGCAGCTTTGGCTCTTAATACAGCTTGCTGAACTTGGTGGGCTGCAAGAGAAAGGGAATGAAGTGCCTTTGTGTTTGGGGTACTGTGTTTGTTACCTGAGGCCAGAATGGCCTTTGCCACAAAAGCGCTCACTTGAACTAAAACAGTTCTCTTCAAATTGGTATCAATCCCTGATATGAACCCATTTAATTTTGAATGCCAAGACCAGAAGCAATCTGTAAGAAGGCTGCACAGGTCAGGATTCTTTAATGATTGTCATAATTTACATAAGATGGTTCTGAACATAAGTTTGAAAGCCAGGCTCTTTGCTGTTGTCAGAATGACTACCTGAATCATCTTTTCTCTCTAATCTAAAATGTCCAACCTGATGTTATGTCCTGCAAATTCAAGGAAGTATCAATGATTCAGTAGCAATTACTTTTTAATTGAGTTTTCTGGGCTCTGGTGGGCAAAGCCAGAAATATCCTTTCAACCTAGGTCAATTTTGAATTCTGATCCGCTGCACCATCACAAAGAGAGAAGTACTCCATCAACTGAGGTGGGGTATTAGATGAGCAGGGAGTTTGAGCAACTTCATTTGGCACCAAAAGAAACCTGGTGCTCTTTGCAGAGAGTATAAATATTTCACCAATGCGTATTCCATCAGTAATTACTAAATTACTGCTCTGCTAAGGCACCGCTTTGACTTTTGTGGGTTGCAGAAGCCAGAAGCGCAGGAAGGAACAGCCTTGAGGAATTCCAGGTCTGGCTTAGGGAGAAGTCTGGCCTAAGAGCTGTGAGGCTTTGCACTACCTCAGCTAGCTCTGCTCTGCTTTGTGTCATGTAAATAAAAGGATTTCTCTGCTTGGAAGGCTTGAAGGTTATTATTGGTGAAGGGAGTGTCAAGTACTATACTAAGTCCATTCTTTAAAATATTTTTACTTTGATTTTCTCAGTTTTTAATTATTTAATTTTGGATAAAAATTTGCAGTAATGCTGCAATGTTTTACACCCAAAGGATGAAATACATTTCAATGTCTTTTGTTTGTGTTTGATTTGGGGTTTTTTACTTTTTTAGGATTTGTAATAACAAATTGAATTCTATAAATACTAAACAGGTATCACAAGTGATATGCTACTATCCGATATGTCCTGCAGTTTGAAAGAAGGGGTACTTACTGGTGCACCAAAACACACCAAACCAGAGTGCACTGGCAGTTAAACTTTAATCACATTATTAGTCACTGCTTGAACAACAACACAAAAACCTAAAATGATTTGTGAATGTATAGTTAGATACTTGGTGTGGTGTCTGTAAGTAAAGCTGTATGAGAAGGGAATTGACAGGAATCAGTAGATGATTCCTCATCTACTGGTCCTAGATCAGGACTCCAGAGCTATTGTCTCCCTACACAGTGGAACCAGAACAAAGAAAACAATGGAGAAATGTATAGTTTGACAAATAACTTGACATTCTAGAAATTACTGTGTACTCATTTGTTGCTTATTCATTTCATAAGAGAAATTATTATAGTGGAAAAATAATATTCTGACTAGGTGACAGTGTGAGGTGCGTGAAATGTTTTAATGACTGGTGAGTTCCATATATATGCATGATGGTATTTCTGTTGCAGCAGAAAAAAAGAATGGTGACTAAGATCTACTACATGAAATTTTGTCATTTCCTCTGCTGAATAATGAACTTTCCTTATATAATACTTTCCTCATAACATGAACCTCACATGTACTTAACAGTATTCATCACCCTTTACAATCTGTTACTGTTTGTAGAGATCTTCGAACTTTTCAGGTGAAAAGCACAAGGTTTGTATAAAACATTATTTTGTACTTATAGCATGAATATTATAGCATGAATAACTGATGTTCTTTACAACCACTTGAGTTCTATTTAAAATTTAAATACATAAAACTTCAATATTAAAAGTCTTCTGAATAGGCTGTGTTTAAAAAATTCTGCACAAAACACAGTTTGTAACCTAATGTGAATACACTGTACCACAGGAATGTGATACCACAAACTGTTTGCATATGCTTGTTCTTTGCAAAAGATGTATCCTGTAAAACAAGGTGAGCCACTGCAGCAATGTGGCCGGCACTAATAACACACTGAGAAACTGCCTTACACAAAGGTGGATGGCATCGACCATTCAGATAATGCTATAAAAGACAAACACATATAAAGATCTCACATTTATTAAAAAATATTAAATGAAAATATGAAAAAATACCAAGAATTATTTGCATTTGGTTAACAGTGTGGCTGTAGACTAGATTTTCTAGCCACCTGTAGGTTGCTTTCAACGGGGAAGCAGATTTTCTTGTTGGTGGTAGATGGTTGTAAGCAAGAATACAGAATATAAAATGAAAAGCAAATCTGCTGAATAAATGAAGGTCGCTAGACACAAAGTGAAGATGTCTGGGAACTATAAAGAGAAGGAAGAGATACAAGTGAAAAATAACTAAATGGAGTAGTATTGAGTATAACAGAAGATTATTAGGCTATTTGCAGTGTGTTTATTTGACAGAGCTTCCGTATTTCTTTCATGTCAAGAGTTGTTAGTTCTTAATCTACCAGTGATACAGATGAATGGCTAAAGCAACATATTTTTCTGAAGAGGATGTATCTTTCATCAAATGCTAGCTCAACTAATCTGTCTCCTTGATGATGCTATTTTGCCAGCTGGCTTATTTATGAACTGTTTTTTCTTATTCTATTTATCTAGCACTTTTGCAAATTACAGAAGGTTTTCATCTCCATTAAGTTTGAAAAATGTGTTTTACTGAATTATTTGAGAGACAAATATATGTATTTTTTAAAGTAATTTCTCAGAAAACCCAAGGAAACTGTCAGTGGAATGATGTCTAGTTTAATTTGGAAAATGATATTTTAGAAATGGGCACTAGACATTTCCTATTTATCATATTTTAGTGAAGATGGATGCTACTTGCTCTTCCCCCCCCCCCCTTTTTTTTTCTTTCTTTTTTTTTTTTCTGGAAACAACAACTTTGCAAATTCAGTCATTCAATCTTGTCTCAAAGCTAAGTTGTGTTGCCTAAAATTCATCATCACTTAAAGCTGTGTAGTCACTGAGTTCAAATGTTTTTCTTTTGTGTGTATATATACCACACACACAGATGTTGAAATGCTGCATACTGGGGTTCACTTTTTTAGTATAGGGGTGGAACCACTCAGGATTTACATGACTGTTTTCTCCAAAGCATTATAAAAGTTGTACAGATAATTGATCTTTAAATACACAATTTTACTTGTCACTAATGTTGGAGAATATTTTTAGCACTATTTTTTTTGACAAAAAGTATAACAAAGAAAGATTACCTAGGTTTGCTCATACAGACAGTTTAACTGCTTAGCTACAATGACATGAGAATAAATTGGTGTCCCTTTTTATAATGGATGGGGGAAAATGACATTTGCAAATTTTTTTCAAGCAATCTCAGATTCTGGGAAAGGACGGAATAAATTTGGGAGTGAACTAAGCACTTGATGGCTAACTAATAAATATTGTTTTTTGTTTACTTTCCTATTTCATGAACAAAAAGATGTGGATTTTGTCACTGTAGGTAGTGCAAGTTTAAACTCCTAAACTGCTGTTTTTTATATATCCAGCACTGCCATCTCGTGGCCAGGACTGCAGTGAGCATCCGCTTCCTACCAAGAATTAGAGGGCTTTAAGCAGATAAAATAGTCACACATTTAAAATTCTTCATAAACTTAAAAAAATGAAAGCTACAAGAATAGTACTTTATTACTCTGTATTTTTATAGTCACAAAAGGTACGCTCAGTTTATACTCGTATTTTCACAGAATCACAGAATCTGCCAAGTTGGAAAGGACACACAAGGGTCATCGAGTCCAACTCCTCCCCTTTCACAGGACCATCCCCAAAAGTCACACCATGTGCCTGAGAGTATCGTTCAAATGCTTCTTGAACTCAGACAAGCTTGGTGCTGTGAGCACTTCCCTGGAGAGCCTGTTCTAGCACCCAACCACCCTCCGGGTGAAAAACCTTTTCCTGATATCCAACCTAAACCTCCCCTGACACAACTTCAGGCCATTCCCTCAGGTCCTGTCACTGGTCACCGCAGAGAAGAGATCGGTGTCTGCCCCTCCTCTTCCCCCCACGAGGAAGTTGTAACTGCAGTGAGGTCTCCCCTCAATCTCCTCTTCTCCAGGTGAAACCGCATGAAAGACAAACACCCACAATAAAAATCTAGATTAAAAATAGCTGCAATGAAATAAAGGTTCATTCCTGATTTCATTTATCTTGTTTTTAATTCTGTACCAGCATAATACAGTATTAGATGTAGCATAAACATAAACAAAGTAGATAGCTCCCTCCAAAAGAACTTGTTACTTAAGAGAAAACAAGTTAATGCAAACAAACAGAAGTATCAGACAAGAGAAAACAAATGCATATAAACAACAGGGGTAACTCAGAAAATACTGCAATACTGGTGAACAGACTTGATAGCAGATGTAATTATAGAAACATAAAATTTGCGTATGTGGTGGCAAAGTTTTAAGGTGGCATATTCATGTAGTACAGACAATCCTGTGTTACTCACTACTGTAATCAACAATTGATAAAGAACTGATAGAAAGTTACTGAGAAGAAATGGACTTGTCCATAGGATCATCCTACAAAAACTTCCAGAATTTCCATCTGTCACCCATCTATGACTCTGCTAGCTACAGCTACTGAAAGACAACACTGGGCTCTGGTCAAGCAGGATTTAAAGTAGGTGTTCACATTTGCTGTCATCAAGAAATGCATCAGGACATGGCTAAGGTAGCTGAGCACTCCATTGATTGGTTAAGCTTTGTCAAATGGCAACTTTCTTCACTGGCATTCCTGGGCATGTCTGCACAGCGGGTTAATTCACCTCAGCAGCAGCTGGGCTTCAGCAAGTAGGAGCAGTCCCACCACAGAGCTAACAAACACAACTAAACTCACTGCTGCATAAATCATGTATGCACTCATGTAAAGCATTGGTGAACACACACAAGTTTTAGTCTTGCTCTTGGCAGATAGATTAGAATTATTTCTTAATGGACTGTAGGAGAACCTCTCTGTTCTTTTGGAAATGCAGGCAGCACTGTGGGAGTGACAGGCTGACCTAGGCAGCACACACAGTAATGCTCACAGCTTGTTCATCTCAGACTCCTGCAATATCCTGTTCTGTATTTTCCCTTGGTAATTCTCTGGCCAAGCTTGACAAAGAAACTTGATGAAAAGAATATCCAGATTTTATGAAGTTTTTGGACTTAGAAATTGTTATTTCCTAAATACATTTGAACCCCAGAACAATTTTTAAATACCTTACATAAAAAGCAATAAAGAATGTTCATGTTCTTCCTCCTAATCATGATTACCTCATCTGCAGTCTTACAGAACAGAGTTTGCAGAATAGTTAAGGACTCAGTATCTAATGTAGTCTGTGGGATTTGTGAATATTCATAATTTCAGAAAATCAGCACATGAGTCTCCCATGATGAACACACAGAATTATTAGCTTTGAAAATACCTCCCTTCCCATATCTATGTTTCCAGTTCTCAACAGTTAACATAGGACAGGTCTTCTTCATATAACAGAAATTTAGAAAATATGTGCTGTGTAATGGTTGGGTAGTGTACAGATAAGGATGTTTTTCATTAACTGCTGTCTAACTTGTGTTATCTGATATGATCCTGTACAATTAATACATTCACACAGCATGGTTAAATAGCATAATTTAATTGTGCCAGCATATATCTTAACTTCTAAGAGTTTAACTCACAAGCTTGTGGCTAACACTGCCCCTAAAAAAGAGCCTTCAGTCCTACAAAAGGGTGAAAGTACTGCAGATACAAACCAACAATTGCAGAAAATAACAAGCAATCAAAAGCTGAAAGTTACAACCTCCCTCCCCCCAGCAAACAGAAGTGAATCGAACTAGCAGAATAGAAAAAGAAAGGGCTTTAGGCCAAAAACAGAGGAAGTTGAAAGAGTTTAAAATGTCTAGGAGTTAATAAAAATAATTTAAAAAGAAAAAGAAAGCAAAAAGCATTAAGGCTTAATGAAAAAGCTTTAAGTACTGGAAATGAAATGGGCAAGGGCTTGATTTGAAAACAGGAAAACCAATTATTTTTACTCGAGTTTTGAGTAATTTGAACAACACAGTTTTCCGAAACAAGTATCTGTTTATCAGAGAACCATGTCTCTGTAGATACGTGCAATACATGCTGCAAATACAATCCTTTTCTTAGCTTTTTTTTAAAAAAAAAGAACTAATATTTTTAGTTGGGAGTGCTCTCTGAGCGGCAGGTCCGCGTTTAGTCCCGGCTCAGTGCGTGGTGTCTGCACTGCTACGTAAGCCCGAACCTGCGCGAGCTCTGGGCTCCCACAGCGCGCCGGGCACTGAACACCTTCAGCTACTTAGTCTCCAGAGCGACTTCACTTTGTTACTCCGAGTGAACAACTTTGCATTACCCTTTTCCGCCAGGAACTCCAAGGGGGGGCGGGTGCCCTGCTAAGCCGGCCAGGCCGGGCGGCGCAGGGGGTCTCCCGCACCTCCAGCACGTGGTGGGAGAGGGGGAAATTCCCCGCTGGGAGCCGGCGGCTGGATGGGGACACCCCCACCTTCTGGGGAAACCGCTTCACCCAGGCCCCGGGAACCCCGCGCCCGGGTAAGGGCCCCTCCCATCCTGCGTCCCGCCGGGTCCCGCTCGCCCTCCTGGACTCCATGTCGGGAGCGGTTCCCCCCAGTGGAGAAGGAGGAGGAGCGGCGCGTGCGCCGGAACCACCCCGCCGCCAGGAAGTGCGGCCGCCCGCGCTCGCCGTACAGCGCGGGCCGTACCAAGCCGCGCTGTCCGGCGGGGGACGCCGGGATCGGGAGGTGCCGGAACGCCGGGACCCTCTGGCCCCAGCCCGTCCCGCAGCCGGCGGGAAGAGCGCGGCGGGCACAGCCCGGGGCGGCGGCGGCGGCGCGGAGGGCGAGGCGGCGGCGCGACGGCCGCAGCTCCGAGCGGGGCCGCGGGCCGCGCCCCGGTCCGGCAGTGGCGGCGCCGGCGGTAGGGGCGGGGCGCGGGCGGCTTTGGGTAATGGCAGCGCTGTGAGGACGGAGCGGGGCAGCGACCGCGGCCGAGGGCAGGAGCGAGGGAGGCCGGGCGGGGGTCGCTGACTCGGGCCCCGGGCCGCCAGGTAATGCCCTTGCCTGGCCCGGCCCGCCTCGGCCGCCGCGCTGAGGGGAGGGAGCGCCGCGCTCGGGGCGAGGCGGCGGTCCCGACCCCGCCGGGTGTGCGCGGGGGCGATCGGGCCCCGCCGCCCCGTCCGGCCCCGGCCCCGCCGCTCCCCCCGTCCCAGGCCCGGCCGCGTCTGTGCGGCAGCGCCCGCGCCTGCCCCGGGTCCTGCCCTTGCCCCGCGGGGAGGGCGCGGCGCGGCCTCTCTGGCGGGGCCGGTCATTATTATGTCCTGGCGGCATCCTCGGCCGGTTTCGCTTTTGTTTTGGAGGGGGGAGGAGGTGGGGAGCGAACGGCTGGGTCCGGGGAGCGGGGCACAGGGGCGAGGGCAGGCAGAGCTGGTCACCTGTTGGAGGCCAGTGCTCCCGCCCTTGGCTGTGCACCCACCGCTGGCTTGTAATTTATCGAGGTGGTTCAATAGGTTGGAAATTTGGAGAATGCTTTGACGCTGGGGGAAACTACATTTTTGTGAACGAATATGTGCCGTTTGGCACTGGTACGTTTTAAAAGATGAGGCGATAGAAGCAATATCTTTTCGTTATTCTCATGTGTAAATACGTTTTAGCAATATCTGCTTACCTTAGGGCTTGTCAAACAGGTATGGTTTCCCACCCCCTGAATAGTATAAACCCTAGGGTAGATATTCTGCCCTACCATAATTCTTACTATGGAAGTGTATTTGCATCAGTACAAGACATTTAATATTCTAAGCTGGTGAGCTTGCACAATGCAGACAGCAAAGCACAGCAAACCTCAAAACCCCACCATCTTACAGAAAAGTTTTACTACATTTAGTAGTGTGTCTGTAAAACACATTTAAATTCATATTGGTGTGAAAGCTGTGGGAGACTGCAAAACAACAGTCAGCTTTATCTTAAACTATTTAACTCTGGAATACTTTGTTGACTATGTGAATGCTTTACTTGTTATTAGGTTTTGGTGATACTGAACACAAGTTTACTGATTCTGTGTGATGTACTGTGGGTAGGACTTTTTCTTCACCCTTCCTTCCTCCCTAGGGTTTTGCTTATCTGTGAAGAAAAGGTTCTTTTACCTTGGAGGTACCACGTGTGTTTCCAAGACAGTGACCTATAATGTAACACTCAATTAAGTACAACTTCATTACCACAAGCACTTCTTATGATTGTTAATTTTGTTTGTGGACCGTGATTTTTTTTTTTAGGGGGGGTGTCAGCTGAACATACTCGTGTTTTCCAGAATAATGGTATTAGAGCTCTTTGAAGACTACCACTTTCTCCCTTCCCCCTTTTTTTCAGTTCTCACTGATTTTCTGTGAAGTGAGCTGCTGCTGACATACCGGGCTTGAAGTAATAACCATGTTGCAAATATAACAACATTAACAGCAGTTGAGGAGCTTGGTTAGTTAGTCGAGGGGGTGTTTTGTATGCATGCAGGGTAAAAGTTACATCTGATTTTATTGTATTTTTTCTTAGACTGAGAAGTTCTTTACCCTGCAAGAGCCAGCAGTGATTAAGGTAGTAAGCTAGTTGCTAAATGGTTTTGTAGCATGACATTTGATTCTTTCCCTTACAGAGGTCTGCCTCTCTTGTGTTCAAAGTCTGCTTGTCACTAGCCTTCTGTTTTCCCTTCTGACCTTGAAGATTTGGGAAGACAAGAATTACTTGTTCATATATTTAAAATGAAAGAAGAAATATTCTTTCCACGTTTTATTTTAGTCTTACAATGTCATGTTTCTGAGCAGGAGCTAGACTTGCTTTGTGCGTGGAATGTCACACATCAGGTCCTTTCTAGATTAGGTGCATAGGACAGAGACCAGTGGAAACAAAGAAGAGGCCTTCACAGTTGTCTCTTTTTTTAAAAAATCACCTTACTTTTTCCCTGGTTTTATTTCGATAATTTAATGTTGAGGGTTTCTTTTTCCAGTAAATCTCTTCCAGTATTTTTTATATGAAATTATTAACACAGCTTCTGTATTTTGAAGCCATGTCTTTGAAAGATTTCAGGATTTGTCCTACTGCATAGTGCAGTAAGCTGCACAAGCTCTACATATTGCTCTGTGTTTAGATATGTTGTCTTTTTGCCATCCTGATCAAAGCTTTGAGCTTTTGTGGCTTTTTAAATGTAGCACCAAAAATGTCTCATGAAAACCTGAGGTGAACGTAGGCTAAAAACTGACAGTGGTAACTTCAGATACTCTGGTAATAGTTCAGTGTGTTCCTGCCCAAAATTTTCTCAGATACAGCTTAAACAGGCTTTGCATATAAGTGAACAAATAAGAATTTACCGGAGAGTTGTTATCTTCATATAGCACTGTTAAATGGACAGCTTGGTGAGACAATGAACTTCATGAGGCATGATGTTGTTAGATTAATTGGTGTTATGTTGTAGGCTACTTGTGCAACATGAATGTTTCATTCCATTACATTAAAAACAAGAGTTCATGAGCTTAATTTTGGAGGGTGGGGAAGCAGGGGTGGGTGTTCGTGTTGCTCTGTCATGGTGGTGCAACACTGTGCAAAGTTTAAATTGAAAAATACATATATTTTTTAATGACTGTGCAATGTTGTCTGACAAGTTTAATTCTTCTACAGATTAACACTAAAGCCCCACAATGTCCTTGAAACCACGAGTAGTTGACTTTGATGAAACATGGAACAAACTTCTAACGACGATTAAAGCTGTTGTTATGTTGGATTATGTTGAAAGAGCAACGTGGAATGATCGCTTCTCGTATCCTTTAAGTGAAAAATCTGACTTAATGTGTTCAAATGATGTATTTAGCACAGAGGAAGCCCGTGTTACACAACAATTTCAGTGATCTTGATCAGAAGCTTGTTGTAAGGCTGTACCTGTTATTAAACCTGAAGATCAGTGGATATGTTGAAAGGGATGGAAAATTCTGTGTATTTGGGAAGTATTCTGTATGAAAGTCACCATATTGACAAAAAGTCTCAGTTTTAGTCACTTTTAGTAGCTCTATTACTTAGCTTATGCTATAGCTGTTCACAAAAGTGCAGGCCTTGAATGTCCCCTATCCTGATAATGAGGTTTTCTTGTTTGTTTAAATGTGTATGTGGCAGGGGAAACACCAAGGACAGAGAATGCACATCTTTAAATTTGCGGTGCGGGGAATAGCGAGGTTTTTGTGTGTACAGATTTCTGCCTCTCCTTTGCACTTCTATCTGTACTGATGACTAGCATATTAGACATTTCTATAGCAAGGGTTTATTTAAAAGCCTTCTTCCTTTCCCTCCACTATCATAACCTCTCTATTCTTTACAGTTAAATCATGGTTAAAAATAATTACTCTTTCTGTGGTCAAATGGTGTTGCCGTTCAAGTCAGAGCTGTGTATATATCGTTGTAGTGAAAGGTTTGCATTTTATCTGTAAAATGGACTTGTAATTTTTTTAAAAGGTTTAAGTTGCAGTTAACTTCTTTTAAAATAAGTGTAACTGTTCTGACCAGTTATACTGTGCTCTGTGTCTATGTATTCATTAGCCATTACAGTGTGGTGAATAATTAGACAATTTTAGGAGGCTTTGCACCTCTTCTGCAGCAATTATACAGAGTTTGGTTTAATTATAAGGGGGAAGAATGGTTTAGACTTATTTATTGATTTGTTAATTCTTGTGGGTGAAAAAAGAAGCTCCTGAGAAGATTCTTATATGTGGATTTTTACAACACAAGCTTATTCTGCGTGCAGAATCTTGACTCTAAAGTCTCTTCTTGTTCTGAACACGTTACCCTTTCTCAGAATTGCTTTCCCACGTACACAGTTTTGACTGTGTACATGTGTATACTTAAATGGAAAATTTAGTTGCTTGTGAACCCTTATTGTGGTGCAATAATCTTTTAGGAGCTCTTTCATATTAAAACTTGGTAATTAATTTCTGGGGACATGGCTCGTCACCTTGTCTTGGAGTCAAGTTCAAGTGACTCCAGAATTTTCAGACGTTTTGAACAAATTAGTTTTGTGCTTATGTGCTGACAAGTTGAGCTGCAGTCATTCTTTCTAAGCAGTTTTTGAGGATTTAATATTTCAGTCTTCAACAAGTGGTTAAATTCTGTAGTTTAAAATTCTAAACATTTAGACAAGGGCACCTAAAATAGATTTAAATATAAAATAATAATTGTTGCATGAGATGTTGAATTGATTCCTCGTCACACTGTTTCACTTAGTACTTCTTATGTGGAGACCTTGTACACAAGTCTGCTGTTGATCCTCTTTTGGGATTTACTCCAGTTGATTGAACATCAGAAAAGGAATGCTTATGAATAGCGGACTCAGGAAGCAGTCTTGGAAGAATCATTAGGCATGTAATTCTTAAGACCTTACTTACTATCATCTCTTAATTATGGTCCTTGAAAGTGGTACTATTAGTGCCTGATTTGGCACAGGCATGACCCTTTTGGCTTATTGTCTATGGCTGAGTGGCCTGAGGAGTTTGTGTGACTTGTAACTTCCAGCTTGAATGTTGATTGTTTAGTACTTCTGCTTCCTGTAACCAAACTCTGTGTTTTAACACAAACTGCTCACTGGGTATTCCACAACTGGGTGAAAGTGGTAATTCTGTACAGCTGGTGTGAAAGCTTTTTCCAGGCTTTATATATAAAGAGAACTAAAGTCTTGGTGATATATTTTAAGTAGATTTACCCTTTAAAAAATATGTCATCTTGTTCTTTGTTAACTTCTTATTCTCAGTTAAATTCAATATAATTGGAGTAATCTGTTTCTAGACACCTACAGAGATTTTAAGGGAAATGTCATATTAACTCTATTTTTCAGATTGCTTAATAAGCACAGTAAATAATCTGTCCCAGATTATTTGAATTGTGTTTTAATGAAACTCAGACAGGTTACTTTGTTGATTATGGTATCGGTTGATCTTGTGCTGTGTAGTTGAAACAATAATGTGGAAACAAAGGATAAGCTACAGCAAAGAATCAGTTTTCATCTGTAGCAATGTGTTCTACGAAGTGTTTGCTTTCTCTTGTGCTGCTTGAGACAGCTGAGATCAAATTGAGTATGGAGGCTAATAGTATTTGAGGGACGAGAGGCTTGTACTGTGCATATTTCACTTCTAGAACTAATTTTTACCCCATTAGTTCCCCAGAACTTGTTTGTCTTGAATATAGTGTTTCCTTTGTAACTTATGGTAATTTTATTGTTAAAGGTAGTTTATTTTTAAATAAATCCTTTATCTCAAACTTGAAATTCTTGAATGGCAATGAGCTGGGAACCACAACTGTGTAAGAGTTAAAATCTTCTGGAAAAGATCACTTGAAAGACAATATGTCACTTTATTTAAACAGTGAGTCATCTTGAGACACCTTTGACCTTCAGATTTCCTTTAAGGTTCTCAGCAGAAAGAATTGTGTATGGAGTTGTTTCATTGTCTGGAAAACGAGTGACAGTTATGTCTCTATTTGAGATGTTATTTACAATAATTTAGTTATTGTGAATATGTTGTATAACTTCCTAGACTTTGCTGCTAACTGTTCAGTAGACCTGGGAGTGCTCTTTAAGTTAAGAGGCTGCTCAAGCTTGGTTAGAGTGGTAGGTAGTTCATCTGTGCTTTGATAACTACTTTTTACTTAGAACTTTTTCAAACAGGTAGAACATCAGGCTCTTCCTGTTGTTGTCTTGGATTTTCCACCACCAAATAAATAAGATGGACAGTACCCAGGGAGGATGGTAGCTGTACTGCAAATAGAATTATTTTAAAAGTATGCAGCATCACCACCAGCTTTTTTTTTTTTTCCATTTCTCTGCATATTTGTTCTTCTTCCTCTTAGTTCTCTGTTTTACAAGGATTCTATGATAAACCAGAAACTTAAACATGTGTCTGTAACAAAACAATCAGCCCAAAGAGAAGGAAGAGTAAATAAAGTTCACATGATCACAATTCTTTCTGATTATGAGTCCTCAAGTCCTCTGTGAATTTTGATTCTGTTATGGACGGAGACCAACAATTGAAAATTTACCCAAAGCTCTGAGTTGGTCTTCTAGAGAAGATCTATTCAAAACCTTCTGTTAATATAGGGTCTTACCTAGATGCTTTTTTTAACCCTGAGTTCAGTATTTGTGAGCTTTTATGACTGTGGATATAGTATTTTCTGGTTGATAGTAGTTTTGTTGTTCTTTCTTAGTTTGAAAGTGTTTAGGTTTGGATAATGCCTCGCAAATAACAGCAGCCAAAGCACTTAAATCACATAAGGCTTTTGATGTTCTTGTTCTCAGCACAGAGTGAAGGCCCTTAAGCAGCAGTTTGGCTTCAGCTTCCTTTCTCACCCTCCAAACCTACGTGCTGAACTGGAAGGACAGATGGCTTTCACCATTAAAGCTAAATTATTGAACAGTAAAGGCTTCTTCCTGACCTTCTAAGGAACGGCAGCACAGGAAAAATGTGCTTTAAGTTTATGGAGTAAAATGCCAGTGATGATTAATGATTCATCTACCCTCGGAGGTTATTTTTTTTAAGAGATTCACAACATTTTGGACATGACACTCAAGTTTGGATTCTGGACTGAAAGATAGATAAAGGAACCAGTACAAATAGAACAAGAATGTAGCAAAGCTACTCTGTAATGTGTATTTCAGTCTCATGATACCTTTTGTAGCAATTCAGAAAAGCTTAGTACCCCAGCAAGTAGCGTTTGGTGGATACAGGAAAAGGTGTGAGTTGCCTGTTAAGTGCTTCTGTGATTAGGCTCATAGTTTGCATACCTGCTGAAATTAAACAGAGTGGTATATGTCAAGGAGGAATAATAGATTCAGCTTTCTTTGTTTGCAAGAAAATTTTTTCTCTAGAGTAAGGAAAGGCGTGTTTGGAAGATGTGCATTTTCATGAAGGAGTACAGATATTATTTTCATACTTAAATAGGATTACTGCAATTAAGAAGCTTGTTTACAACAATCAAGTCATCCAGACTTCTAACAGAAGCCTAGGGCACAGAGGCTAGATTAATTCAGAGATATTTGTTTGCTGCTTTCAAATAAATTTCTGTTACTATTTTCTTGTGCTGTTTGGGTGAAGACTGCATCTTTTCTCTAAATTTGAAGTACATTGTTTTTGTAGTAGAGATCCCTTATAGTTTTGGTGATTCAGATAATGTAGTTGTGGATCTAAAGAGGAAAAAAGTCAAGTTCCCTTTGCTTGTGAGTAGCTTACAAAGATTTCTAATTCTGGAGCTTATTTTCTCAAAGATATCTTTGCATAGTGAAGAGGCTTGTGGTCTGAATTGTGTTGAGGATGCATTTGACTACCAGCCATCCTTAGACTGAGAAAATTTCTTGGAGAGGGGAAAGTGTAAAAAACAATTGTTCTTTATAATGTCTTTAAAAAACATTTCATTCTTCGCTATTAATTTAATAGGGATTTTATATTTTATTGGTTACAGCTTTGTAAGCTATTGCAGTGCAATGCTAGTTACTGTTACAAAGCAGTGAATGTTGCCTGTTTTGTTTGTTGGGGTTTTCATTTAATACTTCTTGTCTTTCCAAGAAGAATTCTGATAAAAATGATTTATATGGATGAAATAACTGTACACAAGATTAGATTCTGGTGGGGCTCTCTGAGATTCCAGTTGCCCAATGAAGGGGTTTTTTTCTGATTAGTTGTCTTACATCAGTATCTTACATCAGGCCAACAAGGCTGATATCCTGGTGGGAGTCTGTTACAGATCACCCAGTCAGATGAATTTTTCTACAAGCAGCTGGCGGATGTCTCAAAATCACCAGCCCTTGTTCTCGTGGGTGACTTTAACCTGCTGGATGTCTGCTGGGAACTCCACACAGCAGAGAAGAGGCAGTCTAGGAGATTCCTAGAGTGTATAGAGGATAATTTTCTGCTCCAGCTGGTAAATGAGCCTACCAGGGTGGAGCACCACTAGACCTGCTGTTCACAAACAGAGAGGGGCTGGTGGGAGATGTGGTGGTTGGTGGACGTCTGGGACACAGTGATCATGAAATAATAGAGTTTTCAATACTCAGGGATGCAAGGAGGGTCATCAATAAAACCTCTACGTTGGACTTTGGAGGGCAGATTTCGGCCTATTCAGAAGACTAGTCCAGAGTGTACCCTGGGGAAAACCCCTTAAAAACAAAGGGGTCCAGGAGGGATGGACGTATTTCAAGAAGCAAGTTTTGAAAGCACAGGAGCAGGCTGTCCCAGTGTGCCGAAAGACGAGCCAGCGGGGAAGACAACTGGTCTGGCTGAACAGGGAGATTTTCAGAGAAATCAGGGTAAAGAAGAGAGCCTACCGATTATGGAAGAAAGGGCTGACTACTCAGGAAGAATTCAGAAATATAGTTAGGTCGTGTAGAAAGAAAATTAGAGAGACGAAGGCACAACTTGAACTGAATCTCGCCACCTCTGTGAAGGATAACAAAAAGTCCTTCTGCAGATACATAAATAGCAAAAGGAGGGGCAAGGAAAACCTCCATTCTTTACTGGACATGGGTGGGAATATAGTTATTAAAGATGAAGAAAAGGCTGAGGTATTTAACACCTTCTTTGTCTCAGTCTTCAACAGTAAGACAGGTTGTCCTGAGGACAGCTGGCTTCTGGAGCTTGTAGAAAGAGACAAGAATCTGAACAGCCCACCTGTAATCCAGAAGGAAACAGTGACCTACTGAGCTGCTTGGATCCCCACAAGTCTATGGGACCAGATGGGATCCACCCAAGGGTGATGAGGGAGCTGGTGGAAGAGCTCACCAAGCCTCTCTCCATCATCTATCAACAGTCCTGGCTCACTGGAGAGGTCCCAGATGATTGGAAGTTGGCAAATGTCACGCCAATCCCCAGAAAGGGCCGGAAGGAGGACCCAGGAAACTACAGGCCTGTCAGCCTGACCTCAGTGCCTGGCAAGGTGATGGAGCAGATCATCCTGAGTGCAATTACACAGCACCTACAGAATGGACAAGGGATCAGACCCAGCCAGAATGGGTTTAGGAGGGGCAGGTCCTGTCTGACCAACCTGATCTCCTTTTATGATCAGGTGACCCGCCTGGTGGATGAGGGGAAGGCTGTGGACATGTCTACCTGAACTTCAGCAAAGCCTTTGACACCATCTCTCACAGCATTCTCCTGAAAAAGCTGCAGCCCATGGCTTGGACAGGGGCCCTCTGTGCTGGGTCAGGAACTGGCTGGAGGGCCGGGCCCAGAGAGTGGTGGTGAATGGTGCTGCATCCAGTTGGCAGCTGGTCACTAGTGGTGTCCCCAGGGATCAGTGTTGGGCCCAGTCCTGTTTAATATCTTTACTGATGATCTGGATGAGGGGATTGAGTCCACCATCAGCAAATTTGCAGATGACACCAAGCTGGGGGAGAATGTCGATCAGCTGGAAGGTAGGAGGGCTCTGCAGAGGGACCTGGATAGGTTGGAGAGTTGGGCTGATTCCAACGGGATGAGGTTCAACAAGGCCAAGTGCTGGGTCCTGCACTTTGGCCACAACAACCCCCTGCAGTGCTACAGGCTGGGCACAGAGTGGCTGGAGAGCAGCCAGGCAGAGAGGGACCTGGGAGTTTGGATTGATAGGAAGCTGAACAGGAGCCAGCAGTGTGCCCAGGTGGCCAAGAAGGCCAATGGCATCCTGGCCTGGATCAGGAACAGTGTGGCCAACAGGTCCAGGGAAGTGATTCTTCCCCTGTACTCAGCACTGGTGAGGCCACACCTGGAGTGCTGTGACCAGTTCTGGGCCCCTCAGTTCAGGAAGGATATTGAGGTGCTGGAGCGGGTCCAGAGAAGAACAATGAGGGTGGTGAAGGGACTCAAGCACAAGTCCTGTGAAGAGAGGCTGAGGGAGCTGGGGTTGTTCAGCCTGGAGAAGAGGAGGCTCAGGGGAGACCTCATCACTCTCTACGATGCCCTGACAGGAGGTTGTAGCCAGGTGGGGGTTGGTCTCTTCTCCCAGGCAACTATCAGCAAGACAAGAGGGCATGGTGGTAAGCTGTGCCAGGGGAGGTTTAGGTTAGATATTAGAAAGAATTTCTTTACAGAGAGGGTAATCAGGCACTGGAATGGGCTGCCCAGGGAAGTGGTGGATTCTCTGTCCCTGGAGGTTTTTAAGACAAGACTGGATGTGGCACTTAGTGCCATGGTCTAGCAGCCACAGCGGTAGTAGATCAAGGGTTGGACTTGATGATCTCAGAGGTCCATTCCAACCTGGCTGATTCTATGATTCTTTTTTTTGGTAGTATATATTTGTTTTGAGTATATTAAAAATTAAACATGCATTTGGAGAAAGCTGTGAGATGAGAGCTTGACACTGCTCTGTAGACTAAGCTGTCAACTGTCTGTGTCCTTTACCTCCTTTTACATGGGCATGTGCTTTTTTGTGGTAAAGTAGAGGAAAGCAGATCTTATGTCTTCCTTTAATTAAAGTAATCTACTAAATCATTATTTCTAGCATGACTGGTTTTATAAAGTGTATTTCTAGTATGGCTGGTCTTTTAATGCCTTGGTTTAGTAGAAAAGCATGATGTTTTAAACTAATTTTTTCAGAATTAGTTTATTTCTCCATGTGAGGCTTGACCTAATCCTTGCTTGACTTTTCTGAAAGCTAAATTCTTAATCATAAATTCTCTTCCTGACAAAGCATCAAGCAGCTCTTAAAACTTGATATAAATGTTGCAAACCAAAGGCGTAGCTCTGCAGGGTACTTTAAGGAGAAAATGGGCCTAAGAGTTATAAGTGTTAGCTGCTTTAAGTTAGCAAGTAAAACTGTTTTGTGTGGCTGTGATCTAAACAGGATTACTGAATTTATAATAATGGTTAAAAATGAAACAGTTTTTTTTTATCCACACCACCATTGTGATTACTGAATTTTCAGTGTCCCCCGAAATTGTTTTACCTGTGGAGTTGGGGGCAAAATGCAGGGACAGTAAATTGTTTTGAACTCCAGGAAGGAAGACTTGAAGTCAGCTTCACCTGATGTTTGCTCTGCTCTGTATCTTGCCTAATCACATTCTTAACCTAATTAAAGCTTCTTTCCATTATATGAAAAGAGTCTCAGTTCATGTTGGCTGCAAATACAGAGGAAGAGTTGTGTGCAAAAGCTGCTTTTTCACTTTGAGATAATTGTATGTTATTCGTAGATGGCAAATAAGTGGTAGAAGCCACATCAGTGTGGGGCTACTAGAAGTTTCAGGATCTAAGCTCTAACATTACCTCATCATCCACTATTTAAAATTTAGTATTAATGCTGTAAACTTAAATTCTTCCAAAGTAGTGCTTACACCAATTCAGAAAATGATCCATTTTATCTATTTTGCTTGACTATAAAACAAAACCCACCTAAACTGCATGTGTGTGAGAAAAAAGGGTTCTGTAAATCATAAATTTTGTTGATATGTTTTCACACTTTAATACCAACCTTGACTTTGAGCCCAGAGACATTTATGCTTTGTGTGTGGCCTATCCTGAACCTCTTGGAGAGAGACTTTATACTGAGACTAAAATTTTTTTGGAAAATCACGTACGCCATTTGCACAAGGTAACATGTACAGTTACTGGTGGGCACGTAGGTTTTGTTTGTTCTTTTTTGACTTCGGGAAGGGGGTTTGTTTGTATGTTTTTATGAGACTAAATCGCAGGTGACAGTTCCAGAGATGCAATACTTATATATGTGGTATATGTAACACATATCACACAACATAATATTATAGATATCTGTTTATGCAACACTAAAGAAAGAATTTTCTTTCTAAGCTAACGGTTACAGTTTATATAATACATTCATTGGTTTGAAAAGTTCTCTCTTTTTTGTTGAATGCTTGTTATCAAGCAATTTACAGAAATGTCTTAATTTTCCAAACGTACTGTAGTTTGTTGTTAGCCTTCTGTTTCAACAGAAAAGTATCTACTGCACTATCTTGGAAACTGATTGTATATACTCTGCTAAAACAAACCCAACCAACTTCTGAAATGTGTGGGAAATAAGAAAAATGCTTGGGAGGGGAGAAAGTAATGGCAAATTATTTATTATGACAATAGCAATATTTGTATACCTGTATAGTTGTGGGTTAACTTCTGTTTCATCAGCTAAGACAGCGGATTTTGTCAGAATCATGGTTCATCATGTTGAGTAGATAGGATGGATGAACAGTGTCTCCTTGTATATCAATAAAAAGAGAAGTAGATTTAAATAAGATACCTGCCTGCCTTAAGTGTCTTTAGAGGGGATAGAGCGCTGCAAATTCTGGATGGTGCTGCTAAATGGCTTGGTGCTATTTTTTGAGCTTATGTACCTGAGTATTTGACAAGATGGGCTGGGTGTCTTAGTGGGTAGTTCCACTGGTTGCAGAGAGGATAATTCTGACACTTTGCTAGACTAAATCAGTTCACTAAACTAGCAGAGAGCTCTGCCAAAAAAGTTCTTCCTCATTATTTAGTGAGCTGAATGAGCTCACTTAGGATAATCAAGCAGGTGCCAGCACAGTAGAAGCAGCAGGAAGTAGTGGAAAGCACACATCTGTGTTTTTAAATTGGCTATCCACCACTTGTCTTTGAAATAATGTTGGAAAAGCTTTGCAAAATGCATTCTGCAGCAGAAGGCCTTCTCAATTCTGTTTTGTCTACCAGCTTTCCTCTTTTACATTTTTATTACTTTTTTTCCATTTTTTGCATAGACTTCATTGCTGCTTGAGCCAGATTTTATAATTACAAACTCTAGAGAGAATTATACTTGAGTTCTTAGGATCATATTCTCCCTTACAAATCATAATAATTAGTTGAAATTGTTGAACTTATTTCTTTGAAGTATAAATATTTTGAGAAGGTGAGTACATCAGCAACTTTTAGTTGATGATTACCTTAAATTTCAAAAGATGTGGGCCTAGATTAGCAGAACTTCAAAAGTGTTTTATGTTTATATGTATCTGTGCTTTGGTAAACTTGCTTTATTGCATGATTCTTGGTAAGTATAAGGGCTTGTCTATCCAGTAAGGCACACTGGTTTTAAATGGTTATAGTTAGGCAATTCCTCCAGTGTGCATGTGGCTAAGTGTATTTAAAACTGATGTGTCAAGGAGGGAATAATTATGCAAGTTATCTCACTAGAATGATGTAAAAATACAAACCATGCGTATTCAAGCAAGTACTTTTGAAAAGATAAATAGAAAATAATACAGTAGAGAGGATGTTGTTTTTAAATGCAAAATAAAGCAACTCCAGGTGGTGTAGCTGGTTTACCAAAACTTGACAGTGTGAAGATATGTTAGTTTTCTGGTCATTGCAACAATGCAACAATTCTGAATATGTGATTGCTATTCCAAAATGATAATCCCATTATAACTTTCTGAGTATGCATGATATTTTCATACTAATTTTACTGGGGGGGGTGTGCCTTCACAGAGAGTTCTGGAAGCTGAAGAACAAGTACTGGTTATGTATCACAGATACTGGGAAGAGTATAGCAAAGGGGCAGACTATATGGACTGTTTATACAGGTAAGATTTGCAAAAGAATTGTTAAACTTTTGAAATTATTACAACAATCTGCAGGTTAAGTTGAAGAATGTTACTTAAAGAGAGCAATAGATGAATATGCCCCAGGTCAGTTTTGGAGAGAATATAGTTATAGTAGCAGAACATGAGCAAAAGGGAATAATGGCTCAGCAGGTAAGTTATCTAAGATGGTTCCTACTCTTTTTTCATTACTAGTATGCTCTACCTGATGTTGCAGTGCCAAATGTATTGGTGCTAATCAACCCTGCAGTGAATTAGGTCATAGTCCTAGGGGTTCTTCTGCAAGGAGGGGATACGTTTTGTTTTTTGACGGAATGTTTTGGATGAAAGTACTTCTGAAGACCTTAAGAAGATATTCTGCTTTTTATAAAGTGGTTCGAGTTCTTTTCTTACTTGCATGCCTGCTCTCAAGAAAATACTATAAATTAGTTGACTCTGTTGTATCCCAGGTTCTAATTTGTGTAATTCTTCCAGCAATGAAAACTGATTGATTTTTACAGCTAGTAATCTTAATGTTATTTAAAAATAGATTCCTTTAAGATTTAAGTAGGCTTGCATCTGTGCTTCTAACCTGGTAGGCACTATTTGAAACACTTCTAAAATGTAAGACACTTTTGAGCAAAACTCATAAAATGCAAGACTAATCATGAGATTGGCAAATGAGACAAACGTTTTCTTTCTTTGGTGTTGATTTTGATTTGGGTTTTTTTTCACCCACCCTCCTGGGTGCATTTTGCTTGGAAAACAAATTTGGATTCAGTTTGAAAACTAAAATCCCACATATTCTTGACTCTAAATATAGGTGATAAAACTGATGGAATAAGAAACAGTTGATATTAAAGAACCTTCTTCAGTTGTTTTGGTTAGTTCTGATGATAAAAAATAATAGATAAAAACAATGCTGGACATTAGACCTTATCAGTGTCTTGGTGCTGTAACTGTTTTCATAGATACGTGTAAAAAATCTGGTCTGTGTACTTTTATTTCAATTAATTGGAGGGTTTTCTTATCCAGCAAATTGAAATTAAGTGATTTAAAGAAAAAAAAACCCAAATTTTAAAAATCTGCTCATAATAAAATCCTAAAATCTAAACACACATAGTGCTGCTTTTATTTTGTTCCATTTTGTCTTTTTTTTAAAGCAGTTGTAATAATACCAGCATATCAATGTATAGCAAATTTTAGTTCTTTATGCTAGTCTTGGTTCTCTTTCTGTATGTACTGATGGAGAGAGAAGGTGTGAGTGAGGGGAGCATGGGGCTTTCCTTTTTAGCAAGTTTAACAAGAAAAAGTAGACTGGCAGCTGTTGGCTTTGTTCACATGGTGGAGGCTGGGAAAAGTACCATCAAGGAGCATGCCTGCTTAAGGCTGGTGTTCCAACTCTTCTGGATGCCTTACAGGTTATGTATGATAGTGGGCCTGTAGCCTTCTGCACAGACCTGCATTTACAGTTTGTGATGGTTATCAATGATAGCAGAGGGGTTTACAGTTCTCTGTAAGAGTCTAAAAGTAGGTTAGGCCACTGTATTCCAGTTTGTCATCACTGCACTGTCACAAGTTTTCCTTCTTTGGACTCTGTGGTGTCCTAAATTCTTTCAAGTTCACAGGTTTTCACAGCGTGTTTCTCCTTTTCTCCTTTGCTTGGCTTTTGCCTTCCTGCCCAGAGTGTTCAGGCATCACAAGGCTGGTGCAGCCTCTGAACACTGAATCTCTTCAAGTGCTGGCTGTTTTCAGTGTCTGAAACTGGGCATCTCAAAACTGCTGGTTAGATCAGAAGTTAAAAAAACATTCTCAGTTGTCTCATTTAAGCACTAACATAAGAAATATTATAAGTGTAGTTATGAATGATATTAGAATTTTTCCCAGTTATCAGGGAAAGGAGAATGGTGCAGTTTAAATATGTTATAGTATTTACTTTATGGAAATACTGGGAATCAAGAGGGATGTTTTCCCAGGTCTTGCACAGAAACCATTTTCTGTTATTTATAAAAACTGTGCATACAATAGTAAATACTGAATACAAAAAAATAAGCATTTATAACATTTCTTCTTTATCACTGTTAATGAAAATAATTTCTGCAAATTCTTTTCTATAAAATTTGCAATTTAGCTGTTTGCTAGTTATCATGACCTGGGTCAGGGGTCATAACTGACAAATGTTTGCCCTCTTAAAATTGACAGTACTTCCGTGTTTCAATCTGAGAGAAATGCAAAATAATAAATAATAGAGGTAGAGAAAAATATCTCATACTCAGGAGTGTTTTTCTATCATTAATAATAGATAAACCACTATCAATCTAATACTAGTCAACTGCTCAGAATTTAGCAGTTATTTTGCATATATATGTATGAGTTAATATGGCAGTGCATGTAGATAGGTTGGATTCCTACACAAGTGTATTGCTCACCAAGAAAATGCTGACAGTGATATAGCAGGCTCTTGTTTGATTTCTCAGTTACCAACATTGTACTGTTTTAATATGATGTAAGGTCTTTTAAATTGAGGTAATTTATCTTTTCAGATTTTCCTACAAATGGCACTGGCATTGGTTAAAGGAGGTTATATTTTGTAAAGACATTCCACAATTCCAAATATATTAAAAAAAAAAAGAACTTTTGCCTGTTTTGATTAGAATATCTTCATTTCTATAGGTACCTCAACACACAGTTTATTAAGAAGAACAAATTGACTGAAGCTGATCTTCAGTATGGCTATGGAGGGGTGGATATGAATGAACCTTTGATGGAAATTGGAGAGGTAGGTATCTCTGAAAGTGGGCTGGATATAAACTCTATTTAGAAGTGCTGCAAGTTCAGCTCTGTCCTTTTACAATTTGACTTTTCTGTGTCACAGAATAGGAATATTGTAGAGTATGTAAGCATTGAACCCTTTGTAAAATGAGAATACGGTTTTGATGTAGAGAAATACTGGCAGGTGAAAAAAGCAAATATGAAAACTATTGGAGAATTTCAGTTTTAAAATATGATAACTTGCAACCACACTTTGGATTATTAAGTGACACTATTATCAAGAAAACGTTTTGAGGAAGCAGTAATTTTGTTTTTGGAAACCCTTGAAATATTACTTTTAGGCTTCTATTTCTTGATGACACAAGGTACAAAAGCTTTTTTTTTGAGATTAGTCTTCTGCACATCTTATTTTCTAATGCAAGCTGTTTTGAACTTCAGTTCAACTCAAATTTTAAAAGAAAAAGTAGGTATTCTGTGCACAAAAGTGTCATGTAGGGAGGGTTTATCTTTAAAAAAAAGAAGTAATTTGTGGCAGGCACAAGGGTGTTGTCACAGTTACTAATGGAGAGGCTGAGAGTAATTTTTAAATACTTATAAAATAAAAAATCCTGCAGCAGTAGGACTACATTCTGAGACTTCACTCCGTGCACTGCAACTATGCAGAAGTGGGGTTTGTGTTGTTTGTCACTTGATGGCTACTCCTACCATGAAGTATAAGACAATAAAGCAAAAAGACAGTTTTACAGTTAAGAAAGAAGAATTCTTTAAGCTACAGTGCTTCAGTATGTCTTTAAAAAGATTTTGAAAACACTTTTTCAGTCTGCATCAGGATACAATCACAGTTCTGAATACAACTGAGTACCAACTTGTTTTTTGAATGCTTGTGTGTGTATGTTTGCTTTGGGTCCATATGTACACACACTGCTACCTGGAGAATTTATTCTGTCATTATATGTTTTGGTATCTTATTTTTTTCCTTTCCTCTCTACATTTGCCTTTTTCACTACAGTAGGAAGTGAGTACCTCTTCTCTTTTGCTTTGGAAGGCTAGAGAAAATGCTGCTTTTTTCCTTAATGTCAGAACTCGCCCTGTGAGTGATTACAGTTCTGGCTCTTTGATTTCATTGTTTGAAGCAGGAGATCTGTGTTACCTTTAGTTAAGAGTAAGGAGAGATTGTGATACATGAGGAAGCATCTTAGGTACTTCTGACGCAGTTGATGAAGAGGGCACTCACTGCCAGTTCAAATTGCTAATCCTCTGGCAGGTTGGGGATGGGCTGAAGCAAATTCCAGAAACATTATGTGCTTTAAATCAAGGCATTTTAGGGAAGGAAATTCTTCTCTCTTCTGTCTACGCTGTCTCCAAGGCTTGCTATTAGTGGCGTCTATGAAGGCTTATCAGAGCTTGGAAGTGCATATTGCTGCACTGTTTATGGTATCTCAAAATGGCATAAATGTTATTCCTTAGTTCCTCAGACTGAGGTTTAGCACAGTGTGTTCCCATGATTGGCAGAGGTAAATCACAGTCCTGTGTGAATGACTGTTAGTTCAGCTGCTTTGGGGGCTGGGAGTAGGTCTGGGATTGTTCTTGGGTGATGCTGGTGTATTAATGAATTCTCCCCATTTGAGTGCTGCTCCATTCTGAGGTATTGCCCAAAGGATGGTAGTGGCAACTTTTGTCCATAGCTTTCTGCCCTAGTTAATGTTTACCAAAGAAGAACAAACATCAGACTTGATAAACTTGGGTTTTTTGAGTATTCAGTTTTTTTCATGTTTGTGGAATCCTGAGTGGGATGGAAGGGCAGTGGCACACTTTTCTTCAAGTTTCCCAGCCATTGTTCCAAGGAGGATACATTCCTAGCTCATCTTTTGGGCAGGATATGGGGAGGATCAAGATTCTTAAGCTGTAAGATGGCAGCCTTTTTGATGAAGGTGTTCAGATGACAATGTCTGAAATTCTACTAATGAGTTTTTCATTACCTCACTCTGCAAGACTCCTTCCATTTCTCTGTAATAAATACTGTTTTTGTAATCTGTAATAGTGGGAGATAAAATCTGAGTTTGAGGCAGTAAAGTTAATCTCTGTTCATGACTGATGGAGGATTAGGTTTGTCCTGAAAAGTAATGGAGACTTGAGTCCTACACTCTTGTATTAAATTGCAGCACTGGTTTTGGTGAATTTGTTGCTCCAGTTCACATTTCTTGACCTATAAGGCACTCACCAAGTTTATCAAGTCTTTGGAAACCATTTTCTCTTTAATGATAGTTCCTGTAGGATTCTATCTTTTATTCCCTGGATTGCACAAGGGACTTTAGCAAAAGTCCAAGTATTTCAGTTGTTTGTCACTTTAGAATGGAAGGAAATTCATTTCTCCTTTTTTAGATGACTCAGATTATCTGGCCTTTATCTACCCAAGAGCAAATATGTTTATTTTATATATAGTTCTCTTCAGTCTCAGCATCAAGTTACAGAAGTAATACCCAGCATTTGTAGAAGAACTGTACTGTCTGTATTGAAGTTTCTGTCTCAACATCACTCATGTGTGCTAGTGAAGCTTTGAGAGCTTTTCAGTAACCTTAGACAAGTACGTGCTTGCTTAGTTCTTCTGGGGTGTGTAACAATAGGTACGTTCACAAGACCGGAGGTGCGTGTGTGAAGTGTGTGGGCATGGCTTCAAACAGCTCATCATCCCGATAAGTGTTCCAGACAGTCAGAAATTGTTGTCCTAGGAAACACAGAGGATGAGATCAGTTGGTGAAAATAGTCTGCCAGTGCTTGCAAGAGATTGCTTCTTTCCTCTCTTATGTTATGGATGCATGGTGAAAGATACTGCTTTTCTGAATCGAGCCCCTATCACCAATTTCAGATTCCTGAGTTTTCCATAACTCCATGGGCGCCCTGAATAGAAGGTAATTAAAATGTGCCTTCTGGTTTTTTTATTTCCCTCAGAAATAGATTCTGGAAAATGGAGAAAATTGCCATGTTCTGTATTACCAGTCTACTTGAAGTAAGGTCAGTTCCTCTCTTCAAGGAGGAAAAACTGTCTTGAACTATTATATCGGCTTGCTGGATTGACCAGATTGATCTGTCTGTAGTTTATTTGACAAGAAAATTCCAGCAGACAACTTGAATCTGCTTCAGATTGGTAGCTTGTATATGAGAAGGACCATACTAGAGACCACATTTCAGAAACCACGTTGCAGAATAGATCTACCTGAGGGTGTTTCTCTTCACCTCATAGGCACAAAAGGTGTCAGTTCTTTTCCTTTTTCTTTCCCCCCACCCTTTTCTCTCCCTTCAGAGCTGGCTTCTTTCAGTGTTCTCTGCTGGATGAGTTCCTGTTGTCTTATGGAAACTTAACTGTTCTGCTACTACTCTGTAACAGGCGCGACAGTGAAAATCACTCCTAGGACAACTTTGATTTCAAAACATTATTTGTCTTTTGATTTACAAGCAAACTTTTATCTCCTCTTTAACCTGCTTATGACGCAGTTGGGTCAGGTTTGCCTTCTGTACCCTGTATTTCAGCACAAGTTCTGAATAGCTGGTCAGAGCAAATTAGTTTGTCTGCTATTTAAAAGGAAGATTTATTTCACAGAGTGGATCAGGTTGGATACCTACTCAATAGCTATGTACCTGCTTTCAGTTAAGACATACTTGATTAATATTTTAATTTTTAAACCTGCTGTGTCAAAGCCTTAGCAGCAATATTCTCTCTGTCCTCACTAAATTTTGCAGTGTAATTTTTTCCCAGTCTACTACTCACTAGTAGGTGTTTTTGGAGGTCTTATATGTGTGGTTATTACGTGTATATGAGGGATCACATTATCCCCTTTGGGCTTTACATCTGATTTTGACTTAAGTGTAAAAGCTCATTTGAACGATTGCAGGGGTGTTTTTTAAAAATGGTATATTTTGGGAGCAATTACTTCACCACAAGAATTTGAGATAATTGAGTCCATTTGATCGATTCCTCTAATGATACGTTAGCAATAGGGTGGCTAATGGTAAAATGAAGGTGATTTGTATTCCATTTGAAGTCAAACAGCTTGCCAGTGACTTTGCTTAAGCTGTGTGCATCTTAGTTTGGAGATACTCTCTGTGTGTTGGATGAAAGGATTCTGTATCTTTAACTCTGACTCCTGACAAATTGACTGGGAGACATTCCCTATTGTCAGCTGAGGCTTATTTTGCCATCATTGTTAGAAATACTGCATTTTGTGCACATTCAAACGCTGCAGGTGGAAAGGTGTGTTATTTACCTACTACTGTGCAGATGTTTTGTTCATAAGTACACTCAAAATCTGCCCTTGTAACCAGCTTGCTTAGGGTCCTTATATGCATTTGAGAATACTTGATGGAGTGGAACCAAGGAATGAATCAGTTCTGTCAGCTGTGTAGGAAGAATGTAGGCTGGGAAGGATGCATTTAGATACTGCCTGACTAGAAATTCTATGTCTGACACTACTAGTGTACAGATCTGTGTGATCTTCATCCAAGTGCAGTCAGATGTTGTGGAAGAAAAATGTGAAAATAATGTATTAATATATTGAGAACAGACAGGGTAGAGGGGGGTGGGGAGGGGAGAATGACAAAAGAATTAAAAAAGGAGGAAGGTTATCTAAAAATTTAATTTTTACAATCCTGAATGAGAAATGATGTCATCTTTGATATTGTTCTGGGTTTCATTGGGTTTCTTTTTGTTTGGTTTTGTACTTTTTACTGATGTAAACTTGTGTTGTGTCCTGACAGCTAGCTCTTGATATGTGGAGAAAATTAATGATTGAGCCACTGCAGGCCATCCTTATTCGGATGCTCCTCCGAGAAATAAAAAAGTGAGTGTTTGGTTGTTTTTTGTTTTAACATAGTGTGGGGGAGGGGTATTGCACTGTTTTTACTTTGAAAAGTCTGTGGATTTTGAGTGGATTCTTTTATGTTTGGTTTTGTTAAGGTAACTTCTTACCTAATGATGATGGTCTATCAGCTTTTCTCATTGTAGCTACATATTTGTGGCTTGCATGTGTAGAAAAAGGCTCTGAAAACAAAACAGTCCACTCCCTGTAGCCTCAGGGTAGTGATCTTCTCTGTTTCAGCAACCCTTCTTTCTTCTTATCAATGGGATTGGGGAGGAATTAGAATAATTCTCCAGGTCCCATAGGATGCCTCTTGCCTTTTTCACCGCCTGATGCTGACTGCTTATGGCTTCTGTGCTGTCAGTAAAGTTAAGGACCAGGCCTTGGGCAAAGATTTGCCAAAGCCAGAGAAGCTGGTTCTTTGCATGGGACCCAGAACAATTCTTGCTTATCTGCCAGGAAGACCAAGCTTGTGGGTTTCTGTTGTTCAGATGAGTGCTTCACTTAACAGTCCTGCTGCTTTACTTGAAGGAAATGGAAATTATTTTTTTGCACTTTGAGGGGAAATTATTATTTCATTTCTGAATACTTTTTTTTTTTACTTCTAAACAAAGACCCTGGTAGCTACAGGGCTTGGGACTTTTAAAGTTTTGATTTAAAACTTCTGCTTAACTCCTAAAGGACCCTTTTATTTATGCATAAACAGAAATACTGACATTTACCACAGATCTTGTGTGTAGTTGTAAGTTCCATCAGTTTCTACAATTCTACTGCTATTTAGGGTAGCTCTGGAGTTGCTGATGACTGGGGTTTTTTTAAGTGATTACTCAGGTGACCAGACTAGTGTAGGTAAAGTGAGAGAGGTAATTTGACTGCTTGAGGTTCCTTTGACATGCATTTGATCAGATAAAAACTATTTATAAGGCATTAAAAACCTAATTTTAAGATTTTTCTTTTTATTTTTCATTCCCAAATGATATCTGTCTTGGATGGCATTTCTGAGGCCAGGAGGTATTTACTTGCTTTCAGTTGTTGAACTGTAGTGCCTTTGTAACCAGGGCTGATACTACTTTATCCATATATTTATACTGTAACAATTTATTTTTATTAAAGGAGGATTCCCTAATTCACTGTGAAGAAAATTCTCCTTTGTTACATCAGGCACAGAGACATTGAAGACTTGTTTCAGTCAATGTGTGTATTTCACTGGTGGGTGGGAGTGGAAATGTGTATAAAAACTTTTTTCAACAGAGATCTGATGCCTCTTAAGAGTAATGGTGTGTATTTACCTTGAGGCTGACTGCAGACCTCACAAGGGTGTTTAGATCAAGCTGTCACTGGCTTTGGAGGAGGCCTGAAACTGTAACAAGTTGACATTATTTGTAATTAAACTATTTGGAAAATTTTAAATAAAACTTGAGTCATTGTCTCTGATGGTTGGATCTGGATTTTCCCCCCTTCTTTATTAAGGATTCTTTTATGTGATCTCAAAGAAGTTAATGCAATTCTGCTTCTCAAAATACGCATATAACTATTCGTACTAAGTTTCTTTTAGCCACTTTGTGATCTGCATATCATTTAATGAATTATATGAGAGAGAACTACTTATAGCTTTTTTTCCTGCTATCATAAAATTTAGAGTTCACTGTGGGGATTCTGAGGACGGCCTTTGCATGTAACTCTAGGCTGGTTGCTACTCTTTGCTGTGATTTCAGTGGTCAATGCAGTTTTTAAGAGGCAGTTTTAAAGACACTGCTGTAAATGACTATTAAATGTCTTCTAGCATTGAATTCCGGAGTTCAGGGATTAAACAAAGTCTTTGGAGAAATGGATATATATCCATAAGTTACATCTGTCAGAGATGCAAGAGTATGCATGGGCATAATATTAGCTAAAAATTGTAATAAAATTACTAATACATGTATGTGCTTAAAACCTCCTCTGTAATATACCTGCTTAATAGTACTTGTGTGTGCATGGTTCTGTTTATTACAACACCTCTAAGAAACTAAAATGTATGTAGATGGGACAGTTGAACTACTTCTAGCAAGAAGATTTTGTGTAGCCTATGACGATATGTGGAGTTGATAATCAACACTGTAGTCAACTGGCTGCATATAAAACTATGTTTATTGCTGTACTGGAAAAGGTAGGGGAGCAGAGCCACAACTTTTTCTTTCAGGTGTATTTACCTGAAATTAGTGTATTTACCTGGAATTTTAAAGACTTCTGACTAAAATCTTGAGCACATCGACCTTTTAGAAGCTATAAACTCCTGCAATACAGTACACATTAAAAATAACAACAGTCTTCTTTTGGTACATGAAAATAAAGAAATACAAGTAGTGACTTGTGGTTCAGCTAAACAAAATGACTAAACTGATCTAAGAGTTTACTGATGCCAAAAAAAGAGCAGGCTGTGCTCTACTACCTTTCATGTGCTGAATTAGGTGCTCCTCTAGTCCCTTAGTGAACCAGCTCAACTGCTAATATGACAGAAAACCATCTTGGCTGTTATTTCTCCAGACTGGCACAATGAGTCAATTCAGCAAAGAATTAGATGAGTGCCAAAGCAAAGCAAGAGAGAGAGAGAGGCCTGTGACTGAGCAGAAGGGAGCAGGGTTAGCCCCCTTGAATGGCAGAAATTCTTAAATCATGTAAGCCTGTCTTGTCTGACTGCACTAGTTAATATAGAGTTCTGAATATAACACACTTTCTCCCCCCTCCCTCTAGCCCAAGCACTCCTCCTACAAGGCAAGCTGAATATCAACTTAAGCATTTTTGTTCCAACACAAAAGGAAGCCGACAAGATCTTGAATTGTGAGAAAATTCATCTATGAAATTCTTAAGCAGAAATAATTTGGAAATTATTCAGGTGCTATCTCAAATGACAGTGTGATTAGTACAGACTAACCAGGAGAGGCTTCTCTGCTAAAGATAACTAACACTTTCTAACTAACTGAACCTATTCCTGTCTAAGCTGATACATTATTTATACCATTTGTTTGAAATTAAAGCTATTGGAAGTTATCTTTTTAAAAAGTATTCAGAATGGGCTCTTCTAATTGACAGTGAATTCTCTAGTTGATTGGCCTCAAAAGACCTTTGGTTTGACAGAGCAGAGCAGTTCTTTTGAATGATGGAATCTTCTTTTAATAAATCCAGTATTTATTATTGTACCTTAAATTTTAAAAATGTTCTTTGAACTTGTAGTAGTAGTACCCTGTACAACACACGTTGGACTTCCACTGTTAGCTTTAGTCTTAAGACAGGAACAATATGGAATCAATATTAAGCAGCACAACTTCCTTTAGCTTGTGTTTTGTAACTTTTTCCTTTTTTTTTGAAAAAAGAAACTTGTCATCACCTAAATTAGTGGAACTCGTGTTTCTAGCACTTTGTTTTTATCCATGTTCCTCACCAAACATCATCATTCCCTTGTGTCCTCCCAGATATCCTGTGATATCCCTTCTTCAAATTGTGCAGCAGCTGCTATGTAGCTCTAAGCATCCCTATTGCTTGCTGACTACTGCCAAGAAGGAAGATGTACATTTGATACTCTACCTTGATGGAGTCCCCTATTTCATTTTAGTTTTGGCAGTTGCTCTTACTACTACAACTTTCATGAAAGTCATCCTTGAAACTTCTCAAATTTTGTTGAAACTAGTCATTTACATTACAAATTGCTGGGAGCAGAGCACCATTGGTGTAAATAAAAACCTGAAGCTGCTGCCAGAGCAGGCACAACCTATTCCATGCTGCACTTGTTTTCGTTTATCACCTTCGTGCGATCTGACCTCTGCTTCAAAAGCTTGTTTCCTCCCTTCCAGCTCTTCGGGGGAGCATGTCTCCTCTACTTTTACAGCTTTTTCCTAATAATGTGTTGTCCTTCAAATCCCCTGGGTCTGACCATTGCTGCCCCCTCCCTTCCCCCATCTGCCTGGCTAAGGTCTGAAGTGGCCTGTGAACTGAGCAGAGGGGAGCTGGGACTGGAGCTGTTGTTGCAGTAATGCTTCCTGTCACCAGTACCTTTCCAGGTCCAGAGCCCTGCCTGTTAGAGCTGGGCTGGACTGTCTCTTGCTAGAGCCCTGCTTTGTAACATGCTAAACTCTTAGTTCTGTGGCTTCTTGCACTCCATGACATAGCACTGTGTTCACAGGCTGCATGCATCCTGCGGCTTTCCATGCTCCTGGACCCCTCCAGGCTGGAGTTACATCCAGGCCCAGGGCAGGTGTTTCACTTCTTCCCTTTTATGATTCTGTGCTGCTGCCTCTGCCATTGTAAACCAGACCTGTAGAAGGATGTTGGCACAGATGCAGGGTGTGATTACATGTACCCAAACTCAGATTTGTTCTATTGGTTCAGCTACCACAACCAGAGGAAATCTTGCTGTTCCCTGGGCGGAAAAATCAGACCATCCCTGATGGAACCTGTCAGTTCAGTTCACTTATAATGGGTGATGAAGCTGCATAAACCATACTGTCACTGCTCATAATCTGTTAGAGAGCTAGTTCTTTACGCCCACCGTGAGCCTAAGTTTTCAGATCTTAGACAGCAGTTGTGTTTGAAAGCAATACCCATAATTAACTGGGTTGTGAATGTATGAAGATGGTCTGGTGCGTGTAGTACAATGACTGCTGGTATGGCTGTGCTGGTAAATCTCCCCAGCTCATGGGCATCCTCTGGAGTTTTTGTCAATTAGAAACCAAAACAAATGACATGAGCAAAATTACTTCTCCCCCACACCACCCCAGCCAAGATGGGTATATGGTAAGGCTTGGGTTTGAAGTATATTTTCATTGGCTTTACCTTTTTTTTTAATCAGTCATGTAAATGACTCTCCTATACCAACATAAGTTTCTAATAGAGAACTCATTTTGTCTTTTTAGTGCAGTCTAGGTAAAGTAGAAGTTCTTACTCTTTATACATGCATATATGTGTACATACATATTTTAAAAAGAAAAACCTTTGAAATTACAAGTGCTTATGCTTAAGTGTAAATATACTTTTGTAAATCATATTTTAGTTCTACTTAACACCTTAGGAGTTAGGAAATATTTTTGTGCTTTGTTGCAAAGTGCATATGAAAAATGGTCTTTTTTAGAACTTTTCATGTCTTAAGAGAAAGTCCCTGCTGTTCTGAGTGTGGGTCTGTTATTTCCAGTTTTGCAAAGGACTGAGCACCAATGTTTTTAGCATGCAAAACACTTGTTTTAATTACTTTTATTTTCAACTGAATGGAACTCAATATAACATTTTCTTGAACTCCCTGGTTTGAAGCTAATAAATTGACTGGAAAATGTAAGGTTTTCCTTTTCTGATGTATGATTAAATATTGTGACAATGTTCCTGGTCTGTTATTTGTTCCACTTGAGATCTACATGTTGGATAGTAGATATTCAGAAAAGAAAATAGCGTGCTTCTTGCTGTGATGCTGGTAAAAGCTATGGATTTTTTTTGGCAGGGGCAAGAGTGTAAAGGTAGTCTATATAATAAAGGCTACAAATACAAGATGGAACTTACTGTATCTTTTGAACTACTTGCTCAGAATATGTAATTTGGAATATTTATATCCTTAGCAAACACTTGGAAATTTCATGACCTGTAAATGCTTTTGAATTACTGTCTCAACAATTCAAACGTATATTAGAGAGAGTGCATTTTTTATTTTAAGATAAATCTTCTTCAATTTTGCCAATTTAAACAGAGGAGTTTACTGGAAAATGTTTTCATCCAATTTTATTTCATTCAGCTATCAGATGAATTACACAAGATACCTGCATTTTCATAAATGTTTGCTTTGCCTATTTCAGTGATCGCTGTGGAGAAGACCCAAACCAGAAAGTAATCCATGGGGTTATTAACTCCTTTGTTCATGTTGAACAGTATAAGAAAAAATTCCCCCTAAAGGTAGATACATATTTCTGATTCTATGTTTTTAATTTTGAATGTTAAGCCAGTATATGCATTATTTGCCCTTTAAAAAAAATTCTCCCTTCTAGTTTTATCAGGAAATTTTTGAGTGTCCTTTTCTGAATGAAACAGGGGAGTATTATAAACAAGAAGCTTCAAATTTATTGCAAGAGTCAAATTGCTCACAGTACATGGAGAAGGTAAGACATTCTTTGGTACACGTGCAGTAACTAAAATCTAGTATTATCATTTTACTGATGATACATGTTTTCCTCTACAGTTATAGTTGCTCTTTGTTATGCTTTCATGCAATACTTTTTAGTGACATGGTTAATCTGAACATAAACTACAAACCTTACTATGGATGGATGGTTGGCATCAAAATATATCATAATAAATAATAAATTAGCAGCATGTAAAGTAAAAAAAAAAGACAAAAATAAAACACGGATCAGGTTGATCAGTATTCTTCACTTCCTTGTTTTCTTTCAGTTTGGAGTAGCATAAGATGAGAGTTTTTGCATCATAGTGGTTAAAGAAGACTTTAAGTTGTTACAGAGCATTATTAAAAATTACATACTCTGAGATGGATTTTCTTTTGTTTTGCTGTGTGGTGTATAAAGTCAAGTAGTTTAACTTGTAATTCTTATACCTCGTTTGAGAAAACAAAGATTAATACAAGACTAGGAGTCAGTCCTTGGTGCTATACTGTCCACACTACTAATATAGAAAAGTTGAGGAGAAGGCTGTGAAATTGCTTTTAACCATAAGGAGCATAAGCTAATGGTTGCACACCTGTGGTGAAATTTAGGGACAGGCTAAGACTTATACTAAACCAAAAGCAATGCAGATTAATTTTGCCTATTGTTAACACTCTGCAGCTGCACTGCTCTCCCTAGACTCCCCTCATATTCACAGGATGTAAGTGCTTTTATGTGAGCATTCATATGACTTATTTTATGATGCCTATTTCCTTCCTGTACCTATTGAGCAGATGTTTTATGTACAAGCAGATGGATTTGGAGCAGTAAAGTGGTTCTTATAGTCTCTTATAGTTAGGTATTGTCATAAAACTTTCTCCAGAAAGAGCAAGAAGCGTGGTAAGAGAAATGGGGGAAAACTGGTCACAAAGTTGAAGGGAAAAAGAAGTTTTGAGAACTACTGAAAGCTGCTAGTCAGTATTTGGAGTAAATTATATTATTTCAGCAATAGCCTGATTCAAAAGAGCAAATTTAATTTTTTGGCATCCTGCACATGTTCTTTTGTAATTTTTACTTATTCTTGTGTTTCACGTTGCATACATATAGTGCTGTATATTCTGTTTCTATTTTGGTTGTTAGTATTTCTTCAGCTCTCAGTTTGAACACTTGTCTGCAGGTTTTAGGTAGATTAAAAGATGAAGAAATGAGGTGTCGGAAATACTTGCATCCCAGCTCATATGGCAAAGTGATTCATGAATGCCAACAGAGGATGGTAGCTGATCACTTGCAGTTTCTACATGCAGAATGTCACAATATTATCAGACAAGAGAAAAGAAGTGGTAAGTGTGTAGTCACAAAAAGCATAAAATGATTTTTGTTTTATTCATTTAACATTGGGATTTCCTATCTTTTCAATGGCCTTCTGTGCACTTAAGTACTTTCAGCTAACGTTACTTACCTAGAAATCCTAATTCAACCCTGAATTACGTTTTCTTTTACCATGTAATTAACTTTCATTCTTCCAAATATGTAGTCAAAACCTTCTTTTTACTGTTAACAACCCTACTTTTGGCCAGTGCTCTTTCTCTTTCCTTGTCTTAGCTTAAAAACGCACTGAAGTCCTGTGTCCTGTAGAATTGATCATATTTTATGTTTGTGTTTTCATTTGTAAACCAATGGCTCTGTCTTTACAGATTTCTTCATCATCAATTGACAGGTCAGGATTATAGAATATTTTGGCTTCTTTTCACAGCCACTTTTTTTTGTCCTGAATCTTTTGTGACCTCTTGTCCCAAATCCTTTTTAAAGAAGGAGATGTTCTTATAAATAGATTCCTTGCCTGACTGAAAAAAAGTCTTTCTGATGACTACTACATGCTTCTTACCCTTGAAAGAATGCTTATTCTTGCATGGAAGATGGTATCTATTATGTGAGACAAATTATTTTTTCACAGCCAAACTCAAATTGTATCTAATAATAGTGTTCAGTTTCCAGAGTGTTTTCCAAGTTTGATCAGAGCTTGGATCTGTTTTTTAGCAGGGGAAGGGGGCAGGAATAAAAAAATCATAAAAATAGCAGTTGCTTATTTATAGCTTTTCTAACCTGAGAAAAATTTCAAGCCACCACTGGCACAGTATTTCTCCATACTAGCCCACCTCTCTTTTTGGACTCTCTCCTAAAGAAGCAGTATTGGAAGAGTGAGTTAGTCACAGTGTCAGGACTCAGTAAATACTGGTATTAGCCCTACTCTTTCCTTTTATTATTTTGTCAGTGATCCAGTGTATGTTACTTTTTTTTTCAAAACAGTCTGGTTTCAGTCTTTAAGAAGTTCTGTGTGAAATTATGATACTACTCAAGGATGAAGGACCACCGCTTCCCTAAGATCCTGCTCTGTGGTGAACTTGCCACTGGCTGCCGCAAGAGAGGAGCCCCAAAGAAAAGATACAAGGACTCCCTGAAACAACATCTCAGCCTTGGCCATATTGATCACCATAACTGGTCCACTCTGGCCTCCAATCGGCAGGCCTGGAGACACACCATCTATAACGCAGCTGTCTCCTTTGAGAACACACGCAGGATCACTCTCAAGGAGAAAAGGCAACGCAGAAAGAACCGTGTATTGCAGAATACACCATCTAAGGAGTCTTTCTGCTGTGCCTTTTGCAATCGGATATGTCTGTCTCGTATTGGCCTCATAAGCCACCAGCGTGCCTGTAGCGAATGTGGATAGAGCCTTCCCAAATCTTCGTTCACGAAGCCCAGCCATGATGATGATTAAGTGTCAATTTTCAGTGTTTCTAACCATATTCTATAAAAATGTATCTCTGTTACAGACATGGCAAATATGTATACTCTGCTTCGTGCTGTGTCAAGTGGTTTACCTCATATGATTCAGGAACTACAAAACCATATCCATGATGAGGGCCTTAGAGCAACCAGCAATCTTTCTCAGGAAAATGTGAGTTTCCTCAGGCAGCTGAAATTACCTATTTGATTAACAGTCTTGATTAACTGTTTGCTCTTTTCCTGTTTTTTTTTTTTAATTTTGTCTGTATGAAATTAGTTTGGAACATGATGGATAACTTGTAACCTCTGATCAGCATGGTTAACTGTGTGACATATGTCTATCCTGAGAGTTGATTGTTGTGATCTAACCAGAAACAACTGCAGCTAGATATTTCTCATTGTTGCTTGTTACATGCTGTCAGGGCAAGTAGGTCCTTTTGTTCCATGTATGTATTTTTTCCTGAGTTTCTCTTAAGTCAGTGGCATTTGCTGTTCTTGTATATTAGGAACCAGTGATTCCATTTAGTTTAATTATGTAGTATTTGTAAAGACTTGACATCCTGCCCTGATTTCAGTGTGATGTTTTTCACTAATAGCTTTGTAGTCTCATATTTTTATGTTTCTGAAAATACTCTAGCTTAATTATTTTACTAAAGTGCATTTTCAGTTCATATGTATTTAAATTACTCAATTCCATATTTATTCCTCTCGCATTGCTGTTCAGACACAAACAACAAGCTTTCATTTGACATTATATTTGTACATGTGTGTACAACTTGCTGTCTAGATCTGTGCTCACTTTAGGATGGTGACTTTAGCCATCCAGTGTTTGTATCTATAATAATACATAAATACAAACTGTTGTAAATTCACTAATTTACTGACTGCACAGGAGTGCTTACTCTTCTGTGACTCCTGTGTGCATACAGAAAATGGACTGAAGTCTTTAGTAGTATATTTTGCTTTCATATTATTTGTAGATTTATTGAGCTTATTCTTTCGAACTTACAGGGTCTACACAGGGAAATAAATACAGAGCCATGAGGGTGGTGACAATTCACAACCTTATGTAGATACTTTCACAGTGTCTCTGTAGGGGCTCCTCCAGCTCCTGTCAGTCCTCTCTATACACAGTGGGATGCTAAAACGTAGTGCATGAAATTCAATTGATAACTGTCCTATGGAGGAAAATGCAAAGGGATCATCCAGATTTTGTGTCTCTGAAGTCGGTGTGTAGGAGAAGCAGCCGTTTACGTACTTCAGTTGCGTTTTGGCTTGATTACTGTATTTATGTGTTAGCATTAATGGTTTTTGGAAAGGCTAATAAAGGATTTTAGGGTATGATCCAAAAAATTAGATTACATGAGAGCAGTATAGACCCAAATCTATGTTGGATAGCAGGACTGTAAATGTAGCCTGGTCTTTTTATTTCCAAAACATGCTCTAGGACAGTCGTGTGAGAGTACAACAGTGCAGAACCAATCCTCTCAATGACTTAATCACTGTGGTATTAACTTTTATAAAAAAGAGTAATTAGGAAAAAAATCTACAACTAAGGTAGATATGTTTATACATAGATAATACTACTTTTCTCATTAACTTGCTTTCTGTTTTATTTACCTCCCTTTAGATGCCAACTCAGTTTGTGGAGTCAGTTTTGGAAGTACATAGTAAATTTGTGCAACTCATCAACACTGTTTTGAATGGTGATCAACACTTTATGAGTGCCCTTGACAAGGTAACTTTTACTTAAGTAAACAAGGGATTGGAAAACAAAATTCGGGACCCTGTTTCAGCCTCACCAGAATTCTTCAGAGCATCAACACATGTTCAAAGATAGAGTTTTTATGCAGTTTTTCTAGCTTAGAAATGCAATGGAACAAAAGACAAGCCAGTGTTAGAGGGAAAGATATGTACAGAGGAAACCACTTTAATACTTTAATGTTTTCAGAAAGAAAGGCCTTTCTTTTCATCACATTTCATAACACGAAAAGGATGCTGACACATTTAGTGTAAATGTAAGTGCAGATAATAGACAACTTGTGTTTGGGAGGTTTGGTAATTCTTAAATGCATTTGAACTTGAATTTGCTTCCTGACATAATGTTTGACTCTGAGTGCTTTTAGTATTACTTACATAGAATATTTGCAGTCAACTTGAAAAATCTAAACGAAGAGTATCTGAAAACTTACATTAACTCAATCACTGTCACAATAGGTAACTTTTTGCAGGAGAGAGCTGCAGTTGAAGTTAAATAATAAATTTAGGGAAAGAGGCTTGCTACTCTTTTATTTTAACATAACAGTTCTAATTGTTATAAAGTTTAATAATAATAATTATTGATTGTAACTATTAATTGTAAGTATCTTTCCTGTCTATAATTTCCTGTCATGGGAGGTAGACATATGGTTCATTGCTCTTTTGTGGTGTTTATAATAATTGCAGTTTGTAATCAGGGTCCTAGTCTAAGCTTTGATAATTTTCAGCCAAGGTTAGTATGAAAAGGCATAGTGAAGAAGGTACCAATAATAGCACCAATAGTAGTTACCCATTTGTATTTGTGATATGGAGAAAGTAACTATTTATCATTTTAAAACAAATACTTATCTCAGTGCCAAACACATTTCTGTCTCCACTGCAATTAATGTCATGTACCAGAAGGTGGAGTAACACGAGGTTGACAACTACCTTTGGCATATAGCAACATGGGTTTTGTTAGATACATCGCTTTTTCACTTCAGTGATCATTCTTACAATAAATATTTAAAATATTAATCTCTTGTTAATTTTTCATGGTGGAGATAAAAACTGCTGCCTCCAGTTTTATTGCAAAAAAGTGCTCCAAACTTCAAAGTTTCCTATTCCAAGTCATGCATTCCTTTCTCACAGGGATTCTAGAGACCTACTACCAAGTTTTGAAATGTTGATGTATTGTACAAAAACGTTGGTTGTCAGTTCATCTTGATAATAAGAACAATATTTTCCTTCCATAGAGGAACTGTAATTCCTGGGAACTATAATCACACAGTATTTTTGGTTCAATGTTAGTTTAAAACGTTAATTTAAATGTGATGTATGGTTTAGAAACTCGATTATTCTAACATCTTTTTTTCCATTCTAAACTTTCATTATCTTCTTCCTTTTCTTTTTATCATATTCAGGTTTTCTTTAGCCACCATATTGTTTGTACTGTATTGCTTCAAATTTCTACTTTGAACAATATTTTTCTCCTCTTTAGTCTATCAAAAAATCCCACAACCAAAATAACTTTTAGTTTTTACTGTTGTGAGCACACCATATATGCTTTTCAGTTCAAGATACATGCTGTCGATATAATCTGCTGTTGTTGTGCTGGTGTTCGAATCTGCTTTATTTGCAATTATTCCTAAGCCTCTTTCCATCCATACTTTTGCACCATAATATTGCTGTATTCAAAAATCTTCATACTTCTGCAAAGTTTCTAATCAGAACTTGATTTGTTCTCCCATTTTCTGTAATTAGCTTCTGTTCCTCTACTCTTTCCACTGTTACTTAACTCTCAACTTAAACAACCAAAATCTCCCAGGGCAGTAATTGAAACCCTTTTATTCATTGTTTCTTTTTTGATCCCCCTTTGTGTAATTCAGTTTTATAGTGTCTCAGATGGTCTTTGCCTTGAGCATTTTTTTTTTGATTTCTTCAAATCTCATAAAAGAAAAAGGTGTAAGTAATTTACAATTTTTCTCTTTGCTCTATGTTCTTATGTAGGCTTTGACATCAGTAGTTAACTATAGGGAACCCAAGTCAATCTGCAAAGCACCTGAGTTGGTAAGTGATACAAGCAGAAACTAAGAATTCTTGTTTATAATTGTCAAATCAATTGGCACAGGGTCCCTCACATGAATATCCAATTCTTACACTGGGTCACCCTCAGGTGTGTATTTCAGTAGTAGCAGTTTAACTTGCACACATGTTTTGTGGGTGTGCAGAGTTGTTATGGTCCTATTTTTTGATATAGACTGTATTTTCTGCGGATGTAGAATGTATAGTTAACCCATGAATACAGCCTTGTAATAGAATGTGAGACTGTAGACTGTGACTTATTTCACATTTGAACTTTGTGTAGAAGTTTGGAATACCTTGGCATACATTTGTTCTCAAGCTTGACAGGTAGATTTGGGTTTGATTTTTCTTTTTCTAATTTGAGCTGGCCAAGTACTGTGACAACTTGTTGAAGAAATCAGCAAAAGGAATGACAGAGAATGAAGTAGAAGACAAACTTACAAGTTTCATTACTGTTTTCAAATACATTGATGACAAAGATGTATTCCAAAAGGTAACTTTTTATATTCAATAAAGGTTAAAATATTACATTTAAAGCATACTTGAAGCATGCAATTATGCTTCTTAAAATCCTCATATCTGTTTTTTTTCAATGCAGTTCTATGCCAGAATGTTGGCAAAAAGATTAATTCATGGTTTGTCTATGTCTATGGATTCTGAAGAAGCCATGATAAATAAACTAAAGGTAACGTAATATTCTTCTAACACAGAATGAACAAAGGAACATGTAGTGTTGAGAGGGAGCAGCAGAGGGTGCCAGAGGTAACTTAGCAGTCAGTAGGTCTGTTTCCAATAGCTGAAAGGAACAACTAGTTTTTTGGTAGTCTGTGAAAGATATATGGCCAAGTATCATCTAGGCATTTGAGATTTTTATAAGGTTTTGGGTAGTTTTATTAGATGGGTTCAAATAATTCATATTAACATTATAAAAGTACCAAGGACTTTCATAGACATGTCTGTCTTTAAATTTTATAGGATAACATTGTTCATGTAGATCATTGTGTATAGAGTGAAACTAAGATAAATCTGGTAATTTTATTTTACAATGTTTGTTTTCTATTGTAACTAGTGTTTTCTGTAAACGTAACAACACTTCTGCTGACTAGATTTTCATATTGTAGTAGTGAGTGGGCATAATTTATACAATAAGGACTGTTTTCACTGTGAAACCTCTTACAATATTTCTTCACAGCAAGCCTGTGGTTATGAATTTACCAGCAAGCTCCACCGAATGTATACAGACATGAGTGTTAGTGCTGATCTCAACAATAAATTCAACAACTTTATCAAAAACCAGGACACGATTATAGATTTGGGAATTAGCTTTCAGATATATGTTCTACAGGTACTAATGTATGTTTATTACTACTGAGTTACTTGTGCTTATTTTTTATGTTTTGATAACAAGTGAACAATTTTTCTAACTATGAATGCTTCTTTGTATGGAAACTGATACCTTGTGATTATTGTAGGGTAATATTTATTTTTCTAGTGTTGCTTTTTAAAATTAACCCAGTAGCTCACTAAACAGTAGTGATATAAAATGTCTTGTGCTTTCAACTTCAGTTAATACCTCACTGGGGTGTGCATAAGGAGCAGTAAAAAATGAACAGTAAAACTTCTGGGATCAATTGATTGTCTTATGACATAATGTACACTATAGATCTGTTTAAGAGTGTTATTTTTTTCTTAATGTATATGTTGTCTGAAAATGTTAATGCTTTTATTTTTTCCCAATATCTTTAGGCTGGTGCATGGCCTCTAACTCAGGCTCCTTCTTCTACATTTGCAATTCCTCAGGAACTGGAAAAAAGTGTACAGATGGTAGGTTAGTAGGAGGCTTCTTGTAAACATGTGGAAAATGTAAAATAACTCCAAATAAAAGATCATCACTCGAACAGAGAAAAACCTGAGCTGCTTCGTTTTGTTTGTAAATTGTGGATATCCTGTTTCCAGTCCATAGGAGATGTGGAAGGGTCACTCAAATACTTTACTGAATTTATGTATGTATTTGCATAGCTTTTCTTTATTTTTAACATCTCTCTTCTACACTTTGTAATTGCTGAGGGAGATGTTAATAAAAGCAATTAAGCCAACTAGGTTGGTTCTTTCTTTAAAACCAATTCCTAATATTTAAAGAAAAGATTCTGTTTCTAATATTAAATATGAACAGATATGATAGCAGATTAAGATGCAAATACAGGGGTTTTGTCCTGTATATCATAGGAGCTATTCAAAATCAAGCTTTGTGCAAACTTCTTTAAGGCTAATTTTATGATTTCTCAAAGCAATAAAGGTTTTACTTTGGTCAAATATTCTTTTCTTACGTGATTATTTCTACTTTGTAGAGGTAAGTATTTTGTTGGTTTTGATTGTATTATTGTGTTCTAAATGTTACCTGTACCATGTGTGTTGATCTTTTTTGAAGTGTATTTAATGGTGAAGTACAATTTACACAATAAAAATTTTGTATTATTGGACATAACAGATTTTTAAAAGCAGTTTTTATACCTTAATTTACTATCTGATGTAAATTATAATGGTAAATGTCTGTTTCTGTGGTGAGGGAGCTTTTTCACATATTGCTACTGAGTTTTAGAACTATTTATTCTGCTATATTTCCCCTCTAGTAGGTGGCACTTTTAGCAATATAATAGTTTCCAATCCATACTATGCAGTCACCAGAAGGTGATTGATGAGATTTTCCTGTTCTTTGTGAGTTCAAAGTAGGAGTATTGTCAGTTGTGTCTCAGCTGGAAAATTGTTACAGGCTTCTGTATCAGAAGCAGCTTAGAGTCTGGATTGCTTGCCTAATTTCACTGTTTTGCCAGTTTAAAGGAGCAAATTTAGTCATAGCTAGAGTCAGTGCCCTAAATTATAATTTCCTAAGGCAATAGAATATGACTTTGGGGGGGTCTTTGAAAATTGTCTGACAATGTATTTACTGTTAAGTTTCATCATTTGACCCATAGAGAGAGAATTCTCTCAGGATTCTGGCCAGGATTTAGAAAGAAAAAAACCATTTTGCAATTGCACTCCAAAATATGTGAATAACTGGGCAAGCTGTTTAGCAGCTTTTTCTGAGACTGCTGGAGCTTCCTGTAAATATATATTTATCTGAATGGTGTACATATACTGGTATTCATACTGTGTAAGCTTGTGGGTGGAGAAACACCCGATTCTTAAAGAGGTCAAAAGTTCCTGTTTTTGTGTTTTCCTTCAATGTTAATCAGAGTTGCCAGACCAAATTGGAATAAGCCAAACTGATGTGTACACAGTGTTGGCTATGGGGGTTTAGAGAGTTTGATCCCGTTTTAGGTAAAGGTTCTTTGAATGTGCTTAAGTTTTTCTCATTACCAGAGGTAAACCTTATCAGGATTCAGTCATCGTCATGTTCCAAAGGAAAATGCTGCATGAATTGATCTGCAATGTTTGCATCCAGTAGGGTGAACATAAAGCCAGTATTTCTTCATTAGGGTGGTAGGGTGATAATAAACTATTATAAGTAGTTGCATGTGTGACTAATTGAAGCTCATTTTGTTTTGCAGTTTGAATTATTTTACAGTCAGCATTTTAGTGGAAGGAAGCTTACTTGGTTACATTATCTTTGTACAGGTAAAAACAAGTGCTTTGCTAAACTTACGATCTATACAACTGAGTTATTTGCTAGAAGTCCTTTTCAAATGGCAACAGACTGTGGAGTTGGAACAATATTTTGCCTATAAAGTCAACACATTATTTTGCATTATAAATTAATATTTACTACATAATATTTCCAAAACTTATGTTTTGTAAACTTGCATGTGTTACCTGTGATTTATTAAATCCAAGTAAAATTAGAGTTGTATGTTCTTAACTACAAAACAGCACTACAGAACTGCTGAGTTAATAACAACTGACCTGGAATAGTTTTTGTAGTATAGCTGTCCCTTAGATAAATATGAAATAATTTTAAGAATGCATATTATACTACTTTAATCAGGTATGTGACTATCTAAGTAAACAAATATTTATATTTACTATATGGGAGTACATGTTAACATCTTAGAAGATATATATAAAATTATAGTTTATTTTAGTAAGTGTCAGTAAATCATGTTTTATTTCAAATGCTTTCAGTATCGGGCTTTAACAACTGAGCACCACAGCATATTACATGGAGATGAAAAACCAGACTAGCATACAACAATATACTGTTATGAAAATCTAGTTGGAATTTCCGTTTTTATTATTATTATAAATTATATTGCATTATTCAAAACAGTATTGTTCTAGTATTCATAGTTAGTCAGAGGGGTTTTTTTGTTGTAGGTCACATTCTGTAACTGTGAATTCACAACACCGGTTGTCATCATCCCATTTCAAGTGTAAAATGGAAGTTTGAATTGAATGTCTGGAAATGTGTGAGGAGTTCTGGTAGTTAAACTTCAGATGACTTTTCAGCACCTTCCATCAGTTTATAAAATACTGTTGTATCATTACAGGTGAAGTAAAAATGAACTATTTGTGCAAACCTTATGTAGCCATGGTCACAACATACCAAATGGCAGTGTTGCTTGCCTTCAACAACAGTGAGACTGTCAGTTACAAGGAGCTTCAGGACAGCACACAAATGAATGAGAAGGAACTGACAAAAACCATCAAATCTTTGCTTGATGTCAAAATGATAAACCATGACTCAGACAAGGTATGCCATGATGATATACAAGAGTTTCACATTTTCGGTCTTGTCATTCTGATATTTCTTGAGGGCTTTGTTTTAATATAAAATAATCCATTGTTTAATCTCAAAACTGTATTATTGACCCTTGTGAACAATTATAAATTTGTATTTTTAAGGAAAGAGATAGGAGGAAGTAGACTGTCTGCCATATAGGCTTTCCATGCCTATAGCAGCATGGTCTACTGAACAGATAATAAAGCTGGGACTGTTTATTGCTTCTGTTGCATTTCATACATATGCCTTTAGACTCACCACTGTTGGAGGGGAATACACCACTTTTGAAGTTGTATTGAATCAGGGGAAGGAGCCTGAGTTGTAAACCAGAATCTTACAGCTGTCCTAAAAAGATATTTGTGGGATTAAGAGACTGAAAGCAACAGCAACGGGGTTCTTCCTTGCTGACAGATTACAGGAGATGGAAAGAGAGCAAGGAGGGTTTGTTTGAGAGGATTTTTGCTGCATTTTGCCGAACTTATCATTCCAGGAGTTTCATGGAATTCCAGTAATATCTGAGCTTTGTTTGTGATTAAGGCAATGGTTGATAAAGGTTCTGTTTCTGACTGTCTCATCCTTCTGTATGGCCTATGTGAAACCAGTTACCCTTTTTCCCATACAGCAAAGGACACAGAGGTCTGTTAAGTAAGAAACATGACAGAAGTGCCTGTGCATCCTGTACAGACATTAGCATGTGCTTCCAGCTAGCCCAGAAAGCCCACTATTCAGACAGTATCAGACAGAAGGTACAGAGATAAGCTGTTCAGTTCGCTTTTGAGAAGAATTCTAAAGCTGCTCTGATGGCAGGAAAATTTTAAGAAATGGGAAGTGAGATTACAAGGAAGATCTGATGCTTGACTAAAGCATAGGACATGCTTCCAATGTCTAGAAATGAGCTCAGGTTGGAACAATAGCTGGGAAGATGTCTGTTAAACCATGAGTCAAATAAAACACTGGGAGCTATTAAAGAAAACAGTGAAACTTTTCATTATCTTAGGAAGTTGCCCATTATTTAGAGGATTTACCTTTACTTATGTCTGTTGTATAAGGTTTGCCCAGTTCCTTTAAGGATATGTTATTGAAGAGGGAATGATTCAGCTTTCCAACCCTTTCACCCTTTAATGTTTACCACTGCATTTTCTAGCTCTTGGCCTTCCAAACTATTGTATTCAAGCATCTTTGCTATTTCTGTTTTCTTTGCACTCTCTCCAGTAATGTGATAGCAGATTTGTAGACAGCCTATCAGGTTACTTATTAAATAAACAAATGAACTTTAGTGGCTTAAGCAGTGGAATTCAATATACAAACTTCTCTTAACCTGTATCTGAGTGTTGTGGTTTCACCCCAGATGGAAGCCAAGGCCCAACAACCACTTGCTCACTCCCCCACCAGCAGGATCAGGGAGAGAAGCAGAGGGGGGAGAGGTGAACACCACAAGCAGCTTTTGGCAAAATCTTTATTTGTCCATTAGAATCATGCTTTTTAATTTCATGCTCAATACACAATTTATTTTGGTTTATATTCAACTGTGTAAGGAGAATAATGCTAAAATTTAATGTTAGCCTATTTTTTTCTTAGCTTATTTTTTTAAAGCTGTTGGTCTTTCCCGTTTCGTGTTAAAATTTCTATACTATGCCTGGTGTCCTGGTTTTATTTTTATTTTAACAAAGAATATTTGTTGCAGAATATAAAATTAGAATTAATACTGTTTTGAGTGCATATTTAGTTAAATATTGGCTGTGTTTACTGAAATATTTGCCCTTCAGACAGTTTGACAACATTCTAAGGTCTCAGAAGTCCAGTAACTTTATTCTGCTGGAAATTGCTAATACTTCTACAGACTCTTGCCTGGAAACTGCAAAGATCAATCCAGTTATCTTGTTAGTTGAAAGTAAAGGTGTTTTGATTGCAGGGAGTAGTTACCATTTATTGAAAGAAATGGACTTTTATGTGTGGAAAAAAATTGAGATTCTGACAGGAAAAAATTAGAAACACACAGATGTTGCAGTTTTTCAGCTGTTTCTGCTATAATGTTAAAAAAAATGCTTAGATATTTTTCCTTAAATTCTGGGAGACAACATTAGTAAGAATTGTAAAAGCAACAACTCCTTCTCGACGTTCTGCCATAAATAAATGCAAATCCTGCTTTCTCTGCAGGAAAAAAATGAGTTAAATGGAGAGTGCTTGCAACTAAATAAGATGTCAAAGTATTAAAAAAGAAATTGCTTTAATCATATTGACTTGTTAACAAAATTTATGTATGATAGAATTCTTCATAGTGTTTTCTGAAGTAGACTTCTAGGTTAGTTAAACTGTAGCTTAAAAAATTGATCTGGTTCAAGTGGCATTTTAGAATTTCCAACTACAAATCTGAAATTGTTTGTATGTATGTAAGACCCTAACTGTGACTTTTCAAAGTAAATTGCTACCGTTTTCTGGTTGTCTTTCTGATTTTTAAAAAAGATTCTTTATTGCAGGAAGACATAGAGACAGAGTCTACGTTTTCATTAAATATGAACTTCAGCAGTAAACGAACAAAATTTAAAATTACAACATCAATGCAGAAAGACACACCACAGGTGAGTATTCTTTGGTGTTTCTAGCTCGAACAGCTTAGAAACTTATTTCTCTAAAATGGAATTTATTGTGTTAGTCTGGTGTAAGCAGATTCACCGAGTAAGATTTACATAGCCATAAAAAAATTGGGTAAGTTTAAAGTTTAAGCACTGCAATTTTTTTTGTACTTAAAATACAGGCAGGGGAAGATAAAATAGGGAACAAGAAGGCAGAAGGAAAAGATAAACAAAATGTACCAAAAGGGATTGACATTTAGCTTGTCTTATCTCATGAGACTTTTTTGTTGGTGGTGTTATCTCATGAGACTTTTTTATTGGTGCTGTTTGCAAAAGCAGCTTATTCCAGGAACAGCAGAACCAATCAAATATTTTCCTATGATTTTTGTCTTTCGGCAAGTAAAATTAACTCCTGTGTTGATAATCCTGTATCTCCTAAGACATAGGATTTTGTGCAAGATATGTATATGCTGCCAAACTCAATACATTATAGTAAATTCTGCCTGCCTTTCTCCCTAGCAGAATTGGTGGTTGGGATGCCTGTCCTACCTTCCTACTGACTTTAAAGAAACCTCGTATTCTTGATTTATGGAAGTACTTTGCCTGGAATTGAACTTCTCCTGCATTTTTGTATTAGTTGACCACTTTTAGTAAAGTAAAATGTGTAGGTTCCAGATCCTTTTATGAAGTGTTTATTGGTCGTACTATATTTTAAACATTAATGTTCTTGCTATATCACAGGAGATGGAACAGACCAGAAGTGCTGTAGATGAAGACAGAAAAATGTATCTCCAAGCTGCTATAGTCCGTATCATGAAAGCACGTAAGGTGTTGCGACATAATGCTCTAATTCAGGAGGTAAGAGAAAGTCCTCCTCTTCAACTTGATTTGATGAAAATCTTCTGGAGAGTTGGGTAAAACATCTGACCACAGAACTCTCCTGTGCTGAAAGTAATACCCCAATGAAATTAGTGAGGATTTTCTTGGAGTCTGCTTTGAACTGCGGTACTAGAGCACCAGCTGGGATCCCTCAATCTTGTAAATGTGTCTTACCACTAAAACATTAAGTGCTTGCTCTTTCCTGTTGGCTGGTTCTATGCTAACAGATACTGTATATATCGAAATGTTGCCAGAGCTATAGTTACAGTTGAAAACCTGAGTATGGATATTCTAAGTATGGAATTTGCACAGAAGCACCTAGCCAATTTTTAGCTCTAATCATTATTTTTATTATAATACATGGCTTAAATTTTAAAAGTTGTCTGAGTATGAAGGCATGCACTTTTTAATCTCCCTTTTCCATTAGGTGGTACAGTTCTCTAGATTTTTTAGATTCTGGATTAATGATCTGTGAATTGTCACAGGCTGGCTGGGAAGGTAGTGCTATGTCATTGGTTTTTCTCCCATTTTTCCATCTGTTGGTCGCCTGCCTAATTGTATTTTTCATTCCAACCTTTGCTCCCACCAACCGGTTCCCAGTTTTAGTTTTCTCAACCTTCCAAGGCATTCTTTCTTCAGTCTAGTTCACTCTTGTGTCCCTGAGCCTTGCTGGAAGCCTCAGAGCAGACTGGTGGGAGGAGGAATAAAGATTCCTGCTTTATTCAACCGTTTTGAGGATGGAGGTGGAGAAGCATTGGAGTAATTTGTGGTGATGGAGGAAATAGTTTAGTACACCCACCATTTAATTTTTATTTCTTAAAAAAAAAAAAATAAGCTGGTACAGAGAGTTTGTAAGCCCAGAACTTGCAATGTGAGATATCTTAAAAGTTTTGGATATTGAAATAGTGCTTGTACACAATTACTCTTAGATTGAATATCTAAAAGGTAAGGCACCGTAGGTCCTGATTCTTCTCAAAATCTTTGGCTGTTTGGTTTTCTGTTATTTAAATCATCCATGCAGTTATGATGAAGTCCTGTAAGAATTTACAAATAAAACTAGAAAGGCAAGCCTTGTTTCGTCTTTGAAAATATTTTTCTCCCCACTCAAATTATTAGCAAAAGATTCCAAAATGTACTTTTCTTGACACCAGTTCATAAGGGTGAAATAGATTACAAATTTTTATGTTTTGGAAACAAATCCTTTCTGGTTGCTTCTTCCTCTGTTTAATGGAAGGGCCACTATCTTATGTGCCTCTGCTGTCTTTTGCTCTTGCAGTGATCTTGCAGAATAGTCTATTAGCATCGGGAGCCTTTTCTTTAGCTTTTCAAGAAAGGGGGATATTTTGATAGTTACTCAGTTAAAAACTAAGTAGGGAGTAAAGTTGCAATATTGTTACTAATTCTGGTGACATTGTTACTTTTATCATGCTGTTTATGTACATGTATAATGTATTCACTTTAATTTTCCTGTCTGACTTCTTGAATACAAATGAATCTTTTTAGAAGGAGTCTGTTTACAACAAAGAGTTAGTATTTTCTCACCTCATTAATATTACATTTTTTAGCTATAAGGGTAGGATTATATTGTTGTTAGATATATGATTGAGAGACTCCTAGCCTTAATGTAGTTGGCTCTGATTTTAACAGTTAGACTACAGCCCCACACATTTTGTTTAGGGTGAGGTGTCCAAGAAAATAGTCCAGGCCCCTGGTAGACCTATATATGTCAGCATATGGTCTTTGTCTGAATTGTTAATTGTGTTAGATATGCCCTGATAATTTCAATTCTAGCTCTATGCTGCAGTGCCTGCAGGACGAGGTAGCTTTTCCCATAAAACGAGTAAGTCCATGGAAGTAGTGGAGGGGAAAGGTCAGTGCAGTCATTCCCAGAAAAATTTTTATTCTGACCATAGGTATTTCTGTCTGTCTTTCTTATTTGTATTACCTTTGAGGAAACAAAAACAAATCAAAAAAAGCCCTTAGCAATACAAAACCTTTTGTTCTCTCTGTCCTAAGTAAATACATGAAGTACACAGTTTGAGTGTAGGGCTGAAGTTAGGTGAAACCTGAGCAGATGTATTAGTTTGTTAGCACCCGCTTTCTCCTCATTTGTGCTGCTGTGGAACATACCAGACCCTTGGCTGCAAGCCCAACAAAACTCGCTCTTTTGAGCTTTTTGTTTACTTTGCTGGGTGAGTTCCACCTGGTGAGTTCTGTTGGCTCACAGAGGGCTCCAGCAAACTCTAGAGCTGGGACAAAGCCAACCGTGAGAAGTTGTAAAGAAAACAGGAAATCCAGCTGAAATAAAGATGACTTTCTTTACAGAAGAAGTTAAAAACTACAGGCAAAATATATTGTGACATTTGAGTAGTAAGATATTTTGTTTAAAAAATTTTTCAAGTTCTAGATTTGCGTGATCTGTTACTACTCACGATTTCCTCTTCTTCTCTACAGGAGAATGAGCAAAACTGGGAACTATCAAGAGAACTAAAGTTTTGCCTGCAGTGGCAGTTTCTTCCACAATGCAAATATAGATTTGTTTTTACAGTAACTAAGTTTTTACTGCATGTATTACAAAGTTCCAGCTTAGGCAGCTGGAACTCACCAAATTGTGTATCTGTCTTCAGTGACTGAAGGAATAGAGGTTCACCCCGATTGTCTCAAATTGTATAGGAAAGGAGATCAGTGGTAGCAGAACTCCACTATGATAATAGTGAACAGATGTGTTTATATTAGATTAATTTTTAATTAATATTGTGTTCATTTGTACTGTGACAAATGAAGCAAGCAAGAGAAATGAAGAGATCTGGGGAACATGCAGCCAAACTAACCAGTGAGCTCAGCAGTCAGTGTCCTGACACTAATGCATAAAGATGCTTTCTTGATTGTTATAAATTAACTATTCCAGGGTTATTTAATCCTGTCTTTAAAAGAAAGGCATACTGAATTTGCCTTAAAGCCCTTAGCAAATACTTAGATGCAGTTTTTGACTGTGAAAACCAAAACTAACACAAAAACTATGACTTTCTTTTGCAGGTAATCAGCCAATCAAGAGCTAGGTTTAACCCAAGTATCAGCATGATTAAGAAGTGTATTGAAGTTCTGATAGACAAACAGTACATAGAGCGAAGCCAGGCCTCTGCAGACGAATACAGTTATGTAGCATGATGTTGCTATCCTGCAGGTATGATTGTAAGGAGATCATTGCTGTCACTGTTTGGTGTGTTCCTGTGGGAAGAGGCAGGCCTGTGCCTCCATAATTGGTCACTTGGCAGCCCCTGTTTTTCTGCTGTTTACAACATCACCAGTGCCATGTCATGAGCGTCAATGAAAATGCCTATAGATATTTCAAGCTCATGTCATTATGACATTTCTTAAAACTTTACTAAAAGAATGAGTGAAGTATTGCTGAAATGTGATGAATTGGTTGGGTACCATGCTTTTTTTTTTTTTTCCCCTCCCCTTTCACGTTTGCAGTTGATGTTTTTTAATGTATCTTAAGACAAAGTAAAAAAAAAAAAAAATCACACAAAAAACCTAAATATTGTAATATGACAGATAACCTAATAATTGTATCTACATTAAAATGTAAAAAAAAATGACGAACATGATACTGCTGCTTGTCAAATAAAAAAATAAAGTTATATAATGTGTCTCGAATGATTGTAGAGCTGGATATAGCATTAATGTCTGTAAATATTATTCAGGCCTGAAGAGTAAAAATAATGTTATGTGTTTGGGTTTTGGATAACCTCAGAAGTAGATCTGACGTAAGAACTAATTTATATAAAACTGAATACCAGGTATGTCATGTTTGATGTGATTATAAAAAAATATTTATGGTTAAGTGCACATCTTGTTTTCTTGAGATTAGGCTGATTTACATTCTTAGTGCCTGAAGGCCTACTCTGTGTCTGTTAATCTCGCACTGTAGGAATACCTTACAAGAGAAAATAAACTGACATTTGAGGGGATTTAATAGTGTAGTTCACAAACAGGAATAGTTATCACAAACATCAAAGATATAGTTCAGTGGCTTGTGAAACCACCTTCTTAATGGGAAAACATATACCAGACTGGTAACTGAAAGCTGTTTTTTCACTAATGTATTAGGTAGAAACACTACATGGAGATCGGTACCTGTGTTTGTTTCCACATAAGCCCGTGCAGCATCTTGACTCATATGGTTGTTTTGATTGTGTTTTGTTTTCCTCTACCCCAATTAGATTTCCAGCTATTTGGGTGGGACAAGAGATCCACGGGCTATTTCATGTCCTGTATTGTTCGTCAGGGTTGGCATGGTGACTGTTCACTCTCACATAAGCCAAGTATAATTTTATAAGGTTCTAGCTCTACCACTGGAAGTAACTGGAGTTTAAGAGCATTGAGAGTTTGAACACACTGAATCCCTGCTGCAGAAAAGAGCTTCCTCGTGGCTATACTTGCAATTATGATTGATAGGATAAATATTAAGTTAACTTTAAATGTTCTATTTTTGCCAAATTTTATTTGTGTGCATATGAAAATATATATGTAGATATATACTATTTGCAATATTTTTCTAGATTGTGTGATAACACCTACTAAAAGTCCACAGATCAAGAATTAATTTTAGAGAAAAAAATCCTTTGGAGGGAGCTTTTTCCTTTTTTCTTTTTCTAGTTCTTCACTGTATGAAAGGTTTCTCTCTAACTCTCAGATTATTGCTGTCTCTTATTTCTTAAGTGGCATTGCATTCATATGTTATCTGGAGGATATAGGAAACTTTCTATAATTAACTAGGAAATGAATCAAGAAATGGTACTATGTTTTTCTGATGTGGATTTTGCTGAGGATGAATAAAGGGCAATAAACGATGAAGGTCAGTAAACATTTCTTCCATATTTATGGTATTTTATCCCACTACATTAAGATACAGATTTTTTACATGGATTTATGTCTTAAAAAAGTGAGGGGTTTTTAACTGATTATAATATGGTGCAGTAAGTCATTGTCTCAGGTGTTAGTTTAGAGTTGTCTCTGTGTGTTGGGAGACAGCAAAAGTGTTAAGTGTCACCAAGTGTAATAAACAGGAGACACATTAGCACAGATTTCGACTGGAGTGACTTTTAATCTATTTCAGTGTGAAGCAAGCATATCCGTGCTTCATAAAAAAATAGTTCATTACTTATAACAAAAATAAGGTCATATTCTATGACACAATACAAAAAAGAGAAAAAATATTGCCTGAATGTTGAATCATCAGGTCATTTCTCCAGAGAACAAACAGTGACAACCAAAGCTTCTGGAAACAAATGTGTTTTGTCTTGTATCTTGTTTATGAGTCAACAGATTTTAAGCTTGTTTCTTCATAAAAGGGTTAATAAAAGGTTTATTTAAATATAGATTGCAGTAGCAAAATTTTAAGGCTGATTCTGAAAAAGACTTGACAAATTTTATTTTCAGAATCATTTTGGAGACAACACAAGAACTTCACTGCTCTAGCCCAAACGTGCAAGGTTTTAGCATTACCTTATCTCTGAATTTTTGCATTGCTAAACCATCAAAAGTAGTATTTTGGGTTTCAGATAAACATGCTGCTGAGTTGAGACATGTTTAGCGTGTTAAAAACATTCATATATTTCAGTGCAGTTGGCATCCCCAGACAGTGTCTTTCATAATTACAGACAAACTGGGTCTTTTCAGTGCCTCTTTGGAAATGTGGCTATAATTGGGAAACGTTTTGAATTCTACTTTATAAGTCAAACCTTCCCCCTAAGGAAAAAAGTAGTGCAAATATTCAGACCTCTGTAGCTGGGTTTCGTCACTGAAATCATTGCTGGCACACAGGGATGCAGCTTATGGTGTAGTGCTTCAGCCTGGCAACAAATACCTCTGGCAAGTGTCAGTTCAAAATACAAAGTGCTAAAGGCTATTGACAGGAGAGGCAAATTGTAGAAAGAGAAAGATATTTGTTTGTCATAAGCCTATTGACATGTATGACCTGCTGGTTTATAGGAAGCCGTACAGCTGACTCTGGAAACATAATGATTTCATACATCTTATACATGTCTCACATCAAAATGCATGTTACCTCTAGTACTGAGTGTTACTGATCATTCTTACTGTACTAATTGAAAATGTATTTCTATCACGTTTTAATTTGTCTTCAGATTGATTGTCTTATTCTAGGAAAGGAAAGTGTGTACCTGCATTTCAGTGTATTCATACACACAGGGCTGCTGGAGCTACGAAAGGTACTTAAGTCACCATAACATAAGAAACTGTTTGCAAAGCAGAGAGTATCATTACTTTCTAAGAAGCCTTTCAATGAGTACATCACTTTTCCAAATAAGAAGCAGAGTACAGAAATTGATCAACAGAGAAATACATTTTATAAGCTGATATTTTTCAGTTACACTTCGAAGATCATTCTTATCCTTAAAAAACGTTAATTTTAAAAACAATGTTGCAACATAGTATTGATTCTTGGGCATAAATTCTTTGTTCCTTGAGACAAATATGTTAAGACTGTCTATGCCCTACAATATGGTAAGTACTTAGAGTTAATTAATCTGAGATATCACAGTGTATGAAAACATACTCTCCAGAATCAGTTACTCTTTCACTGAGTATTTTCTCTTAATACAAATCTGAAATTATCTTTACTTGCTTATGGTAAGTTGTACTGCACTTCTGAGCTGATAAGAAAACAGCATTTTTCAAAGTTGTCAGGCAAAAGAAGAGGAAGGATCCAAACAGTGTTTGGGTATAATAATTTTAAAACAACCAAGACTTTGATGAACCTCTGTATGTGTGTGTGTCTGTGTGTATGTGGTTTTAAAGAGGGAGGGTGAATAAATATGATCTTAAAAGTAACCAGACATGTGTAGCTTGGATGTGCATTTCTTATTGTCACCATTCTGTGGAACTTACAATTGCATCAGTAAGGGAAGAAAATAACACACAGCAAAAGTAAAGAGGTAGATGAGGAGGATAGCTAGTTGGCCTCCTTTTTTGAAGTACTGGAGTTGTGGGTTTGTGTTCTTTATCTTAAAATAGCTTAAATGTGTATATGTTAATAAGATTACTGTTTAGTTCAGTATTGATGATTACTTGTCACGTGTTTGAGGAAGAATCGTGTCACAGTACTCAGAGAAGCTGTGCATCTGACATAGTCATCTGTTGGTGCTGCTCCCACCAACTGTCCAGGAGCACAGCACAAGACTTGAAAGCTCCCTTATAAGCCCAGCCTTCCATATGCATCTGAGAAGTGAAGGACTAAACCTCAGAAGTAGTATGAAGCAAGCCAAAAGTTCACTTCTGAAACAGTTCTAATAGTTTGGGAATTACTTCCACCATTCATTTCTGCACTTTCTTTGGGGCCCTTGTTACTGAAAGCTGTAAGTGGTGATTTAAGCAAAACTGAAATACTCACTTGTTTGGTTGCTTTGGCTGTTTGGAGTAACAAACAGCTTGCACTAACCCCATAGTTCCTCCTCAGCTGGAGAAGGTGATAGGAATGTGCATTACTTGTCTATTACAATATCAAGTACAAACTTTACACTTGAACCACTGGCAAACTTGGTGTATGGGGATCCCTTTCTAGGGCTTCTGACTAGCGGGAAATCTCCTCTGGTATTTCATACTGAGGAGGGCTAGTCTAGCTTTGTGTGTTTTCTTCCACTGAGATAAAATCATACACTGGTGTTCTGTAAATTTTGCTCTCCTAATTTTTGATGTAGTGTTGTATACCAGGAACAGAAAATCATGTACTCTGGAAAGTAATGTAGGATGGACAAAACACTTTCCAGTGTCTGTATAGCCAAGGCATCAGTTCTTTCAGTCTGACTCTTATCCAACCAAACACTTGATAAATTGGTATTTACAAGAGCAGTGGATACTTAAGGAGACTGTTAGGCGTGTCCTCATCTGAAAGAGGCAGTGTTCTTAATATAATCATTGAATGGCAAACACTGTATTTATCACCTTTTGGTGGGAGCTGGTGGTTCTCATGTGTGTCAAACTGGGTTTTTCCAGCAGCTGAGAACAGTGACCATGTAGCTGTGAACAGTCAGTAAAGAGGAGTGGTTTGAGGGCAGATTTGAATCTTGACAGGTCATGCTGTTGTCTGTCTTTTAGTGTTGGTTATATAATCTATAACTTAGTAGGTATATATGGTAAAAAGTGTAGTGCTTCTCTGGTAGTCTTTCACATTATGTTGAACAGTTTCAGTTGAGTTTCAAAAGACGTACTTGGTCTGTTTTCTTAAAAACCCTATGCATGGGTCCATTTTCCTTTCTTCTTTCTAGCCACCAGCTTAATAGAATTCATGGTCATCAAAACTTGAGTTTGAGAGAATAAAAAAATGTGTCTGAAACTTATGATACTGTGTAGTCACCTGTAGATTTAAAGCCAGTTCGTGTTTCATGGGATTTGTTTTAAGCAGGGCCAGGCATTTGGCTCCCTCAGAGCGATGACATACATGGAGTGAGGTGCTGCTAGAACTAATCAAGAGGAAACTGTCAGTGGAAGGGTATGGATGATCTGCTGACACTTATGCTTTGAAAGTTGATCTAGTGCACAGAATGTAGCACATTGCTTGTTCCCTTCAGGGTTTCCTCTGTTTTAGAGAGAGGCCACGAGCAGTGATGCCAGCAGGCATTCAAGAAGCAGGAGGCCTGGCCTTTTTGAGTCTGTCTTCATTCTCTCCTTGACCAGAAGAGTGCCCCAGTCTTACCCAATAAGGCAAGCAAGACCTGTTACCTGTCTTGGATGTGTACAAACTTAAACTTCCTTGAAGGTAAATTAAATCAAAAAGTGTGAGCTCTTTATGTATTTTTCATTGCAATATTGGAAGGACTAGAAAACAACAATTGAGACAAGGAGTCTGTAATTTAGTCATTAAGGTATTCCTGTGGGAGCTGGGGCCATGGGTGTGGGTTCCCATCAGTGGGTTGGTGCACTGAAGATGAGCCATCTGCTTCTCGGTGCTGAAGGAAAGCAGCAAGGGCCAGAATTCTGTATACAAATGTCATCCTCTGTGCTTGTGGATGTCCATAATAGACTTAAGTGACAGTAATCCAGATACCAGTAATGAAAGAGTATGTGAACATTTAAGTTTAGGGGTCAGCTCACCAGCTGGTGACTCAAAAACACTTGGAAATTGGCTTTTCAGAGCTACCTTTATGGGTTTGCATATATGTTCTTCCTGATTGCCATCTGAAGCCATGAAAAGGAGTCACATGAACCTCATCTGTAGCTTCGTCTTAGCAATTCCAGGTGAAGTTCTCTTTCCCTTCCCCCAGGTGGGTGTCTGCTGCCACATGTTTTAGTGTGCTGGTAATGGTGTATCTAAGCCTTACTGTAGCCACAAACTGAAGGGAATAGATGTACACCCACAAGCGTTCACTGCTTAAAATCTGAGTCATGACTGTGAATCAGAGATGTGCCCGTTGCAGCAGGTGAAAGAGATTTGGGAAGATGTAACATTCCTCTTGGGAATAATCGTCATCTGACTTTTGGCTAAGGAAACTTCCCATCTGCATGTACGTAGACTCTAGCCTTAAGAAATCTCTATCCATGGAGAAGACCCTCCCCTCCCCCTCGTCATCCATCCTGGAAGTGTTCAAGGCCAGGCTGGATGTGGCTCTGATCAGCCTGGTCTAGTGGAGGTGTCCCTGTCCATGTCAATGGGATCTAGTGGGAACTAGGTGGTCTTTAAGGTTCCTTCCAATGCAAACCATTCTATGATTCTATGATTTTTTTTGAGTCAAATAATTGAGAAATTACACTAGCTGCTCCTCAGCCCTCTTTCCTCACGGCAGTAGCCTTGCCTTTTTTGGATGCTCTCCCTCTTTCAGAGCACTGGCCATTTAATTTTTAAAAATATG